AGCCCTCCCTTGGTGATCAGGCTGATTCGAGGGCCATGGAATGAGCGGCAGATGCAGCTACCCAGCTGGGTTGAGCACACTGCGGCTGTGTGACTGGATTTGCATCTGTGCTCATGTTAGAGGTGCTCGTGCAGGGTGCCAGTCTGCCATGTGCCCAGTGCTAGCACTGCTGCTGAAGACGTGTTGCTGACAGGTCGCTGTGTGGGTCCCTGCAAGATACTCGCAGTGCCTGTATCCATATCTGGGTCCCTGAGAACATTTGGCTGCAGAGGTTCGGCTCTGGGACTTCTCAGCATGCTCAGTGAGGCGGTAACACTTAGTCAACTCGGTTTAAAAACACAGCAACTCTTTTAGTGATCGTTTTGAAGACAGGTATGGACTTGGAGGTGCATTTGAAAGCTGGTGTCCACTCACTTGGGCCATCCTGCACACCTGGGAAGTGGACTTTGGTCCTTAATTCCTGGGGATGAAAACATAGAAGTTTCACAGTTACACTCTGACTGCACCATGGAGACTAGATTAGGATGAGGGGGGATCAGAGGCAGGAGGCTCTGCCCTGCCTGGTCCAGGGAGGAGAGGGCCGGGCCTACAGAGGGACAGCAGTCCCGAGGGTGGAGGAGAGGGCCGGGCCTACAGAGGGACAGCAGTCCTGAGGGTGGAGAAGAGGGCTGGGCCTGCAGAGGGTCCGAGGTCCCGAGGGCAGAGAGGAGGCCATAGGCTCAAGAGCCATTTAAAAGGTGGAGCACAGACTGGGTGCGGTGGCTGACACCTGTAATCCCAGCACTTTGGGAGGCCGAGGCGGGCGGATCATGAGGTCAGGAGATCGAGACCATCCTGGCTAACATGGTGAAACTCCATCTCTACTAAAAATACAAAAAATTAGCCGGGCATGGTGGTGGGTGCCTGTAGTCCCAGCTACTCAGGAGGCTGAGGCAGGAGAATGACATGAACCCGGGAGGCAGAGCTTGCAGTGAGCCAAGAATGTGCCAGTGCACTCCAGCCTGGGCGACAGAGCGAGACTCCATCAAAAAAATAAAAAATAAAAAAATAAAAAAAAAGAGGAGCCGTGGCCAGGCGGGTTCAGGGTTGAGAACAGAGGAGATGGGAGGTGAACTGCAAGCTTGGGCAGATGCGTAGATGCAGGGGCTATATCTGAGATGGGGCAGTAGGCAAGAAGTAGGTGTGCAAGGAGAAACGGGTGAGGAGCTGTTCCATCCTGTCCAACCTGGAGCTGGAGTTGCCACAAAGGCAGTGGAAAGGAGTTTCCACAAGGGAGTGCCCCAAACCATCCCACAATGGGATGGTTAGGATTCCACAGAAAGAAGCACCAAACACCAGGGTGATCAGTCCAGAGCTTTATTAGAGGAACTTGTTTACAGAGGAGGACCACAGCATATGCTTGTAACAAACAGCAAGAAGGCAGATGTCCCACCCAGGCATGTCTACCATGAGGGATCAGGGTATGGAGTTTATCTCAGGGTTGAGGACTCTGGCTCAGGGCCAAGCAGGGTGGCTTTCTCTGTATTTAGCAAGATGGCTGATTTCTCAGAGTGTCGAGCAACAACCTAAATACCTTTATCTATGCCTGGTTCAAGCCTGGAAGGGAAAAGTTGCAGGTGGGTCAGGACAGATAAAGAAAGTGCTAGGGGCGCCGGGGGATATTACATTAGCCTATGTGGGACATCCAGGAGGCAGTGGCTCTCTGGGCTGCACCTCGGTTGATGCTGAGCTGACAAGGGAGCTTTGGGATTTGTTGGCATGTCAATGGCAGGAGAGGATGTTGTGCACTGGGACACCGTGGGCAAGGGACCGTGATAACAAGACTCGCCCTGGGGCAACACTGAGGAAGCTGAGACCACCAAGGAAGAGGCCCAAAGGAGCAGGAGAAGAATCTAGAGAGTTGTGTTTTGGGGTCAGTGAAGACTTTGATGCACAGGTGATGTGCAGGTGTGAATGCCATGGTGAAACAGGAGCGACGGGGGAAGGGCTGAAGGACTGCAACCCCAATGGGCACAGCTGACCTTAGCAGGAGCAACGGCTCCATGGCTGCTGAGCAGATCTGAGATGAGGATGTGGACACAGCTGGTGTCTATGGTTGTTTCCCCAAGTCAGGCTTTGAAGGGCAAGAGAGAGAGCAGGGGTAAGATGCAGGGCTGGTTCTGGCCCCTGTGGCCCCTGGTTACTGGTGTGTCATGAGGGGGTGTCAGAGCCTCACCACCTGCTGCTGTCCATCTGCCGGCCCTAGCAGAGCCACCAGGTCAACAAGGATGAGCTAGTGAAAGGCAGGCAGCTGGATGCATCATTATTTCCTTTGTAAAAATTAATTTACAACATAAAACACCACCTTTTGTATATTGGGCACAAATACGTTTTTTAAAAGATTTTTAAAAAATCTAACCTAAGTGTCCAACAGCAGATGAATGGATGAAGAATATGTGTTGTATATTATAGTATGCAGGGGGATGCTATTCAGCTGCCACTCAGCAACAGGGGTGAAGCTGGAGGATGTTATGTTAAGTGAAATAAGACATAAAGACAGTTACTGTACAATCTCACTTATATGTGGAATCTAAAAATGTTGAATTTGTAGAAATGGAGAGTAGAGTACCAGAGTCTTGGGGAGGAGGTAGGTCATGGAGATGTTGGTCAAACTGTACAAAGTTTCAGTTGGGAGGAATAAGTTCAAGAGATCTATAGTACAACATGGTGACTGTAGTTAATAACATGTATTGTATTCTTGAAAATTGCTAAGAGAGTGGATTTTTAGTGTTGTCACCACAAAATGATACATATATGAGGTAATGCGTATGTAAACTAGCACAATTTAGCAATTCCACAGTATATACATATTTCAAAACACATTGTTCATAATAAACGTATACTTTTTTGTAAAGTTAAAAAAGGACTTTTAGGATAAACTACAGAGTGAGGAAGATGCAATAATAAAAGAGGTCATGCAGAAAAATTTCAGAAATTATAAACAACATGAGTCCTAAAATTTGTAGATTCACAAGAAATCATTGTAAGTGTAAAGAAAATAAATTCTCAGCTAGACATAACATAGTGAATTGTAGAAGGCCAAAAAACCAAGAGGAGAGCCTTAAAACTACCACACAGAAGAATATATTAAGAGAACAACAGTTATCCTTCCTATAGATTTCTCAGCAGCAATGAAGAGCCCAGAAATGAAATGATGGCATAATGTCCAAATTAGGAAGGGAAACAACTGTCAACCTAGAATTCTGCACCCAGCTAAGCTATCATTCAAAAGTGAGTGTGAAATAAAGACATTTTCAGGAAGTAGATTGACAAAGTTTACCATTCACAAAACCTTCCTGAGAGAATTACCAATAGATACACTTCATAAGAGGAAAATGTCATCTAAAGTAACAGAATAGGTACTGGAAGTAGTGATATGAGGAAACTGAAATAATGAAAAGATCCAATCCCAAGGCCTAGGATTAGATTATACCAATGACAATTGGCCCTCTAGAAGTTGTAGGCTGTATTAGCAGTCCTTTGTGTGAGTCAGGGTTACTGCCCATTCTGCCAGTATTGCTTAAAGAATTATCTCTGAAAATACCTATGCTTTGGTGTGCAGGTCACAAATTGTGCTTCTCTTTGTTTTTATACTTAGGAGATCACAGCTGGTAAATAAATGTGAAAACCTGAATTGCAACATATACCAGTCTAAAAATTATCTAACTGGGAGGCTTCAGATTCTGAGAACTAACCTATCGTCTGCCCTGTGCATCTTCAAAATGTAGTTCTTTTTGTTGAGAAATCCAGGAAGAGGGCAGGCTGTGGCTGAACCATCAGAGTTTTGAGATCATTCAGTTCTAGTAATTGGAATATGTCTGACCCTGTGTGTCACACTCTATCCCCAGAGCCCAAGGTGGTGTTTGCCAAGGAGCAGGTGGCACACAGTGAGGTGCAGGCTGAGGCAGGGGCCAGGGCCACACTGAGCTGCAAGGTGGCCCAGGCCCAGACAGAGGTGACGTGGTACAAAGATGGGAAGAAGCTGAGCTCTAGCTTGAAAGTGCATATTGGAGGCCAACGGCTACAGACGGAGGCTGGTGGTGCAGCAGGTGGGCAAGATGGATGCTGGGGACTACAGCTGCGAGGCCAGGGGCCAGAGGGTCTTCTTCCACCTGCACATCACAGATGGGTTTCTTGAGATCTTTCTTATGTTCCTTAGGATAATTCTTAGCGACATTAGCATAGAGGTGCCACCTAATTGCCTCTTTTCTTACAAAGCCTCCCTTATAGTAACTAGCAAGTATTAATTTTGTGCCAAGGAGCATAGATTTTGTGAATGCTAGTTGTCTTTCTGCTTGCTTAAACTTCAAAACAATTCTATGAGGAGGAACTCTGATTATTCCCATTTTAAGATAACACACAAGGAAGTAACTCACCACAGTTCACAAAGCCAGAAAATTGCAGTCAAGATTTCAACCCAGTATTCTAGGATTATTATTCTTTTTTTCTTCTTGAAGAGTTCTATCTTCAGTATTTATGTTAGCAGCTCTGCTAGTTATATATATTCCATCATTTTTTTTTTCTCATATGAAAACCTATTTGTTCTCCCTTTGATTCTGAGGACTGTTTTATCTGGATATAACATTACAGTTTATCAGCTATTCCTCCACTCCCTAACATTTTAAAGAGGTCATTCCATTATCTTCTGGTTTCCATATTTCCTTTGAAATATCAACTGTAAGATTTACTGTAGACATTTTAAGGGTCATGTATCTTTTTTCATCATGTTGCTTTTAGATTTTCTTTTTGAATTTGCTTCGTGGCCTTTTTTTCTTTGATGAACCTAGTTGTGGTTTCCTTTCTCTGAATCTGGGTTGGGATTGTAGAACATCTTGAGTCTGTGGGTTTATGTCTTTCATCAGCTGTTTGCTGTTACTGAATCCTGAATCTTCAGTGCCTGTGAAATGGGTTGGTTCCAGATTTGTGTCTCTAACTGTGCATCTCTTCTTGTCCACCCTCAGAGCCCAAGATGATGTTTGCAAAGGAGCAGTCAGTGCATAATGAGGTGTGGGCTGAGGCGGGGGCCAGTGCCATATTGAGCTGTGAGGTGGCCCAGGCGCAGATGGAAGTGAAGTGGTACAAGGATGGGAAGAAGCTGAGCTCTAGCTCAAAAGTGCGCATGGAGGTCAAGGGCTGCACAAGGAGGCTGGTGGTACAGCAGGTGGGCAAAGCAGATGCTGGGGAGTACAGCTGCGAAGCTGGGGGCCAGAGGGTCTCCTTTCAACTACACATCACAGGTGAGTTTTTTGAGGTCTTTCTTATGCTTTTAGGATAATCTTTATGTACTTAGGGTATGTATGGAAGTCCCACCCAAGGGCCTTTTTTCTCATAAAGCTTCCCCTGTAATAACAACTAGCAGGTATTAATTGTGTGCTGAGGACCTAGATTTTGTGAAGTGCTTCTTGTCTTTCTGCTTGCTTAAACTTCAAAACAATTTGTGAGGAGGAACTCTGATTATTCTCATTTTAAAATAACACACAGGGAAGTAACTCACCACAGTTCACAAAGCCAGAAAATTGCAGTCAGAATTTGGACGCAATATTCTGGGATTACTATTTTTTTTTCTTCTTGTAGAACTATGTCTTCAGTATTTATGTTAGCAGGTCAGCTGGTCATATGCCTTCTCTAACTTTTTATTTCTTTTGTGAACACATATTTGTTCTCCCTTTGATTCTGAGGGCTGTTTTATCTGGGTATAACATTACAGTTTAGCAGCTACTCCCCACTCCCTTCTGGTGTCCATATTTTCTTTGAAATGTGAACTGTGAAATTTGTTATGGATATTTTAAGGGTCATATACCTTTTTTCATCCTGTTGCTTTCAAGATTTTCTTTTTGATTTCGCTTTGTGGTAGTATTTCTTTTATGAACGTAGGTGTGGTTTCCTTTGTCTTCATCCTGGTTGGGATTGTAGAACATCTTGAGTCTGTGGGTTTATATCTTTCATTAGTTGTTTGTTGTTGCTGAATCCTGAATCTTCAGTGCCTGTGAAATGGGTTGGTCCCAGATTTGTGTCTCTGACTGTGCATCCCTCCTGTCCACCCTCAGAGCCCAAGGCGGTGTTTGCCAAGGAGCAGTCAGTGCATAATGAGGTGCAGACTGAGGCAGGAGCCAGTGCCACACTGAGCTGTGAGGTGGTCCAGGCCCAGACGGAGGTGACATGGTACAAGGACGGGAAGAAGCTGAGCTCCAGTTCGAAAGTGCGTGTAGAGGCCTCAGGCTGCATGCGGCAGCTGGTGGTGCAGCAGGCAGTCCAGGCAGATGCTGGGGAGTACAGCTGTGAGGCCGGGGACCAGCGGCTCTCCTTCCACCTGGATGTTTCGGGTCAGTGCTTTAGGGGTACTAACTTTGTAGAGGTGATGATGAGACTGGTTGATAGACTCTGGTGCTCTTCCCATTAGCCTTTACCTCTGTGGTTTCCTATCCTCCCAATTCCTATTTCATAACTGGTGTGGTCAAGGGAGGCCAGATGGGAAAGGTATGTGTGGAGGGACAGGGGCTGTTGCTGTGTACCTGGAATGGTGTTTATATGCAGTAATGCTCGATCATACGTTCCCATCATCTGCCTAGAACCTTGCTGGTGTTTCTTCTTGTCTCTACCAGGCCCTGTGGTCAAGGTAGACCAGGTGTCTCCACCTGGGGATATGTGAATTTCCTTCTACTGGATGTCTGGCAGCTCCCACATGCCCGCATGCTTGTTCTCCCTAGTGACAGATGTTTGAATTTAACTCAGCTGGGAGAAAGGGGAATTTCAGCCACACAACCATACATGGAATTATCTCAGTATCACACTGTGGATTATCTGATTTTCGATGTCCTGGGACCTTCTCCCTTCTTTTGCATGGACATGGAAGTTAGCTGTGCACCCACAGGTAGCAAAACCTAGATCCATGTTTGTTGCAGTGTCTGTGTCAAGTAAAACAGCAGCATGGATTTGTACATATGAGCCTGTGATATGCACCCATGAGGTCTGGAATTCTCTGCCAAAAACAACTCTTGTTTTCCTTTGTTTTTAGTTAGAATATGTCAGATTCTCCTTGGAGCTTGATTTTTAAATTGAGAAATGGAAAGGAATAAGTAGCTTAGATGACATCACCAGGCACTGATACAACTGAGATGCAATAGTAGCATTGTATTAGTCTGTTCTCACACTGCTAATAAAGACATACCCGAGAGTGGGTAAGGAAAGAGGTTTAATTCACTCACAGTTCTGCATGGCTGGGAAGGCCTCAGGAAACTTGCAAGGCCTTAGGAAACTTACAATCATGGTGGAAGGCACCTCTTCACAGGGCTTCAGGAGAAAGAATGAGTGCCGAGTGAAGAAGGGAGCTCCTTATAAAACCATCAGATCTTGGTAGTAGTCACTTACTATTACGAGAACAGCATGAGGGAAACTGCCCCCATGATTCAGTTACCCCCACCTGGTCCCACCATTGCAGCGTGGTGATTATTACTATTCAAGGTGAGAGTTGGGTGGGGACACAGAGGCAAACCATATCAAGCAGCCCCTAACTGACAAAAGCAGTATTTATTCAGTAGCATTTCCCAGTAATTATGTTGTGGCTTTTCCTGACTGGGTCATAGAGAATTCTGAAACCACATTTATTTTCTTTTCATTAAGAGAATCTTCCCATCAGAGATCTGTGGGCTGCAGCCCCATGTTGATGCCTGGGGGCCAACACATGACAGTCTGGTATTACCACTGTGCAGTGGTTTGTGGGTGGTTATAGATGCCAGTAAACCCACTATGTGTCTTTCTAAAGTGCTATTTTAGGAGAGTATGACAAATTATTTATTGGTAATAAATATGAACAGGTTCAACAAATTGTTAAATTGTTTAAAAAGTATATAAAAAGTAACATAAGAAGAAATAGACAGCTCAGATAGTCCTATAACTTTTAAATAAATGGGACTAGTAACAAAAAATGTTTTCACCAGTAAATTTCTAAGCAATATCTAATAACTATACAGTAAATTGTACCAAACAATCTGCAAATAAATTATTCCATGTTCATGGAGATTCTTCTAGAGAATACAATGAAGAGATGTACTCTCTGATTTGTTTCATGTAGGTAGCATAACATTGATACAAAGTAAGAAGAATTAAAAATAGGCCAACCTATTATGGATAGCAAGGACAAAATCTTAAACAGCATATTATTAATATATATTTAGCAATATACTAAGAGAATAGTATGCTATGAAGAAAGTCGTATTACCCAGGCATGGTGGTGTGCACCTGTAAGTCCCTGCTACTTGGGAGGCTGAGGCAGGAGGATCATTTGAGCCCAGGAGTTGGAGGCTGCAGTTGGCTATGATCACGCCACTGCATTCCTGCCTGGGCAACAAAGCAAGATCCCATCTCTAAAGAAATTGAAAAAAAAGTAGCTGGCTGTGGTGCCATGTACCTGTAGTCCCAGCTACTTGGGAAGCTGAGGTGGGAGGATGGCTTGAACTCAGGAGACTGAAGCTGCGGTTAGCTATGATTGCATCACTGCACTCCGCTCTGGGTGACAGAGTGAGACCTTGTCTCAGAAAATAAAAGGAAAAAAAAAAGATTTGGATCATTAAACCACATGGGAAATACATCAGACCAGGATCTCAACCACACACAAAGTCAACTCCAGTTGGTTAGAGATGCCAGAATCCTGGGGAAACCCATACAAGTCTTAGAGGAAAACAGAGATGTTTCTGGTGATTTCAGAGTAAAGCATGACTTCCTAAACAGAATACACATGCCCTGATCACAATGAAACACATTTGATATATTTGAATACATTAAAATTAAAATTTTTGATTCTTTGGAAGACACCATAAGAGAATGAAAAGGCAAGCTACACAGAAAAGGAAGATATTTCTAACATGCTAATGGTCACTGCTCTAGTATTTCAATGTAAAAAGAGATCTTAAAATGAAAGTGTAAAAGAAAGACAGTGCTATTGAAAGTCAGACAAAGCACTTGCACAGTGACTCCACAGAAGAGTGAAGACTCCATCCCCAGACCATCAGAAGGCAGCCAGCTTTCAGTCCTCCTGACAGGGCCCCAGGAAGCCACGGGAGGCCCAGGCCCTCCCCGCAAAGGCCAGAGCTGACCCTCCTGACAGTGGCAGGAGCGGGAGCCTCAGACTCTGGGGCCCTGGGGTGAGGACGCACCCTGCACAGTCGCCTGGGGAGAACCCGGCACATCTGTGAGGGGAGCTGTGCAGGCGTCAAGACTCCAGTCCCTGCCCTGGAGGATCTGTCATGGCAGCCCTGCCTGGGACAGCCCATGGCACCATGCAGAATGGATGGAGAAACTGTGTTCCTTGTGCTGGCAGGTGGTGGGGCTTCTCCCGACCACATGGCCAGTGCAGAGCCTGAGGCTGGGGAAGGTTCTCTCCCTCCCGCCTCCCTGCCCAGGCCTTCTCTCCCCAGTGCTGCCTTCCTGATCTAGATGGTGGTGGTCACCCTGTGCATCCCTGCCTTCCCCAGAGCCCAAGGTGGTGTTTGCAAAGGAGCAGCCAGCACACAGGGAGGTGCAGACCGAGGCGGGAGCCAGTGCCACGCTGAGCTGTGAGATGGCCCAGGCCCAGACAGAGGTGACATGGTACAAGGATGGGAAGAAGCTGAGCTCCAGTTCAAAAGTGCGAATGGAGGCCGTGGGCTACACACGGAGGCTGGTGGTGCAGCAGGCAGGCCAGGCGGACGCCGGGGAGTACAGCTGCGAGGCCGGGGGCAAGCAGCTCTCTTTCCGCCTGCATGTGGCAGGTCAGTGCTTTGGGGGCGCCGAGGAGCCTCTTCAGAGGTGATGGTGGTTCTGACTCGTAGCCCCAGCATATCTCTGTGCACTTTCCTTCAGCTTTCATGTCTCGGGCTTCCCATCCTCCTGCTTCCATTTCCATCCCTGTGGCTGGGGCGAGAGAGAGGTGTGCATGGGAGGCAGAGGGGCTGTATCTGCAAACCCGGAGGCGTGTTTGCACTTTATAATGCTCAGCCACTTGTTCCCAGCACCTGCCCAGAACCTTTCTGGTGCTCCTTGACATCTGGGACTCTGGATCTCCCTTGTTGGGTTCTGAGGTTGACCAGGCGTCTCTCTCCTGGGGTTCTGTGAATATCCTCTCAGTATATGCTCTGGCAGCTACCATATGCCCTCACCCAGCAGCACATGCTGGTTCTGGTCAGCGAGAGATATTTTAATTTTTTTCCTGGTGGAGTGACCCAAACCTTCATTCCGGAAGGGTCTAGATCATTTGTAGTCCTGCCTGGATTGGGCTGTTGTAGTTTCCCACTGACCTTAATCACAGGGCATGGTAATACTGAGACACGCCCAAAGGAATTGCCTATATTCCACACACATGCCTCCTTACCTCCATTGTGAAGTAGTAGACTGATTTCATCTTGATAGTTTGGGTCAGTCACCCTAACCAACAATGTAACTCCCTTAGCCTGTTGACTTAAAGGTAGGAGGAGCCCAAAGTGGCCAGGTGGCAATCTTAAATTCTAGTTTAATGGGATCGTTGTTGTGTCTCCTGGTGGCAGCATTCCTCCTTCCGGAACTAAGATCTCTAAGCCAGCAGAAGGTGATGTCATGGGAACAGGAAGCAAAAATTTTGCTAGTGGGTCACTAGGGGTGATGGTGAGTGGTGCCACTTCCACTTCTATCCTTTGATTCCCGGACTCGTGAATCCTGGCTTTGGGAGAAACAGTACCATATATTAGACACCGATTCAGAGCATACGCAGCCTCTGGAGAACTTTACCCCAGCCCTGAAAAGTATTGTCACCTAGCTGGCTTTGGAATTGTGACTTCAAAAGGCCATTCCACTGTTCTATCAGTCCACCTGCTTCAGGATGATGGGGAACATGGTAAGACCAGTGAATTCCATGAGCATGAGCCCACTGCCACACTTCTTTTTTTTTTTTTTTTTTTTACTTTAAGGTTTTTTGGCTGTAAGTTTATTCAATGCAAAATAATCCTCTTCAATTTTACTGAGGTGGCTGACCACGTCCACGACCAAATCCGCCTCTAAACTGGAATTCAGTTGCTGACCCAGCCCCAGTCTTGGCTTTCTTGTCGGCACCAGGTGGCACAGCACTCCGTCTGTAGGTATCTCTGTCAGCTTCCCCTCTTGTGAGTCTCACAGGTCACTCACCCTCCAGACCTTTAGGCCGAGGCCTGCCAGTCTCTGGACGGCTACGGCATAGGGCGGCAGGCACAATCTCCGGGGGCAGATGAAGGTAATCACGGAGATACTGGATACCCTCATTGGTAAGGTACCAGTAGAAATGTCTCCAGGCAAACTGTTCCTTCACATAGCCTCGGGACTTGAGAGACTGCATGGCCTTCATGACATGAAGGTTGGGCACATTCTTGTCTGCCAGCTCCGGGTGCTTAGGCATGTGGACATCCTTCTTGGCCACCATGACTCCCTCCTTAAAAAGGAGTTCGTAAATGGCAATCCGGTTCTTCTTAGGCATCAACATCTTGGTGGCTGCTGCCACACTTCTTTAACCATAGAGTGCCTTGGTCAGAGACAATGCTGTGTGGAATACCATGACGGTGGATAAGGCATTCTGTGAATCCATGGATGGTAGTCTTGGCCAAAGTGTTGTGTGCAGGATAGACAAACTCATATCTGGAGTAAGTGTCTATTCTGGTGAGGACAAACCATTGCCCTTTCCATGATGGAAGAGGTCCAATGTAATCAACCTGCCATCAAGCGGATGTCTGATCACCCTGAGGAATGTTGCCATATCGAGGGCTCATTGTTGGTCTCTGCTGCTGGCAAATTGAGCACTCAGCAGTGGCCTTAGTCAGGTCCGCCTTGGTGAGTGGAAGTCCATGCTGCTGAGCACACGTGTAACCTCCATCCCTGCCACCATGGCCGCTTTGTTCATGGGTGATGACAGGGGTGGCTGGGGAAGGAGGCTGAGTGGTGTCCACAGAACGAGTCATCCTATTCACTTGATTATTAAAATCCTCCTCTGCTGAGGTCACCCTTTGGTGAGCACTCGCATGAGATACAAATATCTTCATAGTTTGTGACCACTCAGAGAGGTGCATCCACATACCTTTTCCTCAGTTTTCCAATCACGCTTCTTCCAGGTCCCTGACCATCCAGCCAAACCATTGTCTACAGCCCATGAATCAGTGTATAATCACTCATCTGGCCATTTCTCCTTCGAGCAAAGTGCACAACGAGGTGCACTGCTTGAAGTTCCGCCCACTGGGAAGATTTCCCTTAGCCACTGTTCTTCAGGGATGTCCTAGAAAGAGGCTGTAGTGCTGCAGCTGTCCACCTTTGGGTGGTGCCCGCATATCGTGCAGAACCATCTGTGAATCAGGCCCTAGTCTTCTCTTTCTCTGTCAGTTGATCATAGGGAACTCCCCATGAGGCCATTGGTGCAGGCTGGGGGAGAGAAGGCAGGGTGGCAGGAGTGGGGACCATGGGCACTTGAGCCACTTCCTCATGTAACTTACTTGGGCCTTCAGGATCTACTCTAGCCCTATCATGTATATACCACTTCCATTTGATGATAGAATGCTGCTGTGCATGCCCAACTTTATGGCTAGATGGGTCAGAAAGCACCCAGGTTATGACAGTCAATTCAAGTCACATGGTGACTTGATGATCCATAGTCAATTGTTCAGTTTCCACCAAAGCCCAGTAACAGGCCAAGAGCTGTCTCTCAAAATGGGAGTAGTTACCTGCAGAAGATGGCAGGGTGTTGCTCCAAAATCCTAGAGGCCTCCACTCTGATTCACCTGTGAGGGCCTGCCAAAGGCTCCAGACAGCATCCCTATTTGCCACTGGCACCTCAAGCACCACTGGATCTGCTGGGTCATATGGCCTAGGTGGCAGAGCAGCTTGCACAGCAGCCTGGACCTGTTGCAGACCCTTCTCCTGTTCTGGACCCCACTCAAAACTGGCAGCCTTTTGGGTCACTTGATAAATGGTCCAGAGTAACACACCCAGATGAGGAATGTGTTGCCTCCAAAATCCGAATAGGCAATGTGCCTCTTTCTTGGTTGTAGGAGGGGCCAAATGCAGCAACTTATCCTTCACCTTAGAAGGAATATCTTGACAGGCCCCACACCACTGGACCTCTAGACATTTTACTGAGGTAGAAGGTCCCTAAATTTTAGTCAGATTTATTTCCCATCCTCTGGAATGCAAATGTCTCACCAGTAAGTCCAGTGTGTTTGCTGCTGTGTATGTCTGTGTTCTCTTGGCTGGTACATAGGGAAGCCTGATAAATACAATTAATTTTCTTTCAGAAAAAAAAAAGGGAGAGTGTTGATGCCAAATAGGGGTGGGCTGAAGTCCCATGGTGACCTCTGGGTGCTAACACATAAGTTTGGTATTACATCAGCATCAGTGTTATGTGGATATATATATAGATAACAGAAATCCCACTGTATATATTTGTGAAGTTATTTTCGGAGAATATGACAAGATGTTTCATGTAATAAATTTGAAGAGTTGGGACTATTTGGCTAATTCCTAGTAAATTACATGAAAACTCACATAAGAGGATACATAAAACTTAAATAGTCCTATAAGTTTTAAATAGATGGAGGCAGTAGTAAAAAAATATTTTAAATCCAATAATTTTCTAGTAAACTGTTTCAAATATTCTGGAAAGCAGTTATTCCATATTCATGAATATTGTTCTGGAGAATAGTAAAAGGAGATTGACTCCATATGCCATTTTATGTTTTTTTTTTTTTTTTTTGAGACAGGCCCTCACTCTATTGTCCAGGCTAGAGTGCAGTGGCAGGATCTCGGCTCATTGCAGCCTCTGCCTCCTGGGTTCAAGTGATTTTCCCACCTCAGCCTCCCAAGAAGCTGGGATTACAGGCATGCACCACCAGCACAAAAATAGCATGTATGCTGGCTATTTTTTTGTATTTTTTTTTTTCAGTAGAGACGGGGTTTTGCCATGTTGCCCAGGCTAGTCTCAAACTTCTAGGTTCAAGCTATCCACCTGCCTTGGCCTCCCACAGTGCTGGGATTACAGGTGTGAGCCACCATGTCCAGGCCATCATTTTATGTAGATAGTGTAACATTAACACCAAAATCTGACAAAGGAAGTGGGAAGAACTAAATTGTAGACCAATCTGTATGGATTTGTCATTATCGATATCAAGAACACAATCATAAACAAAGTATTAGCAAATGGCATTCAGCAACGTATCAAGAAGACAGTGCACTCTGTTGAAGATCCTGGTCCCAGAATGCAAGGCTAGTTGGCTTTAGAAGCATTAGGTCAGTATAATAAGCTTGACCTTAACAGATTGAATGAAAAATGATATAGTTATCTCAATAAATGCAGATTAAAAGTATTTGATAAAATCTAGAAGATATATTTGAGAAAATTTAGCACTATCATAGGATTCTTAACAAACTTTATAGAAGTGTTTTTCCTTAATTTGATAAATGATACTGCAGAAGCACCACTAGGATCCCACTCAGAGTGAACCTTCAAAGGTTTGATTCAGAGGAGACAGGGCAGTGTCACCACTTGTATCCAACATTGTATGTAAGGGTAAGGAGGAAGATAAAGCAAAAGGCATAGCACTTGGAAAAAGTAAAAGTGAAATTTACTGATGATATGACCATCCACTTGGAAAATCCAATAGAGAACTTAGTAGACTAAGTAACATTGTTGAGAATGATTATCCTGTAAAAAAAAAATCAACACACAGAAAACATTTCTGTATCTATATACAGCAGTAAACAGTTGCAAAATGAAATTTGAAAAGACTTACAGTAGCATCAAAATTACAATGTTTCTAATTCAAAGTCTAGTAAAGATGTTTAAAGCCTGGGGAGGGACTAGGAAATTATTGTATGTTTTGCAAGACCATTAAGAAATCTAATTAAATGGATAGAAATTCATGAAAAAATTAAAATATGTTCATTAACAATCAGGATCCAAACAATTTTTTTTGTGGGGGAATGAAAAGAAAATCAAAGTATGAGCATGACTGTACCAGATGTCAAAAATTATTGTAAAGTTACAGTAATTAAGACAATGGATTTCAACGAATGGTTAGGTATCAGAACAAAGAAATGGAATAGTGAACTCAGAAATAGTCCCATGCATCGATGATCTCTGGACATCCCCCCCCCCTTTTTTTTTTTTTTTTTTTTACCATGGCATCTGTGCAAGAAATAGAGAAAGGATAGTGTTTTCTTTTTTCTTTTTTTTTTTTTTTTTTGAGATGGAGTCTAGCTCTGTTGCCCAGGCTGGAGTGCAGTGGTGCGATCTGGGCTCACTGCAAGCTCCGCCTCCTGGGTTCACGCCATTCTCCTGCCTCAGCCTCCTGAGTAGCTGGAAATACAGGCATCTGCCACCACACCTGGCTAATTTTTTTTGTATTTTTAGTAGAGACGGGGTTTCACCATGTTAGCCAGGATGGTCTCGATCTCCTGACCTTGTGATCTGCCCACCTTGGCCTCCCAAAGTGCTGGGATTACAGGTGTGAACCACTGCACCTGGCCAAGGATAGTGTTTTCATAACTAGTGTGTGGACCATTTAAACATATGGGAAGAAGTAAAGCATATTGGTAATTCATAGCATGTGCGAGAGTCAGCTCCTGGTGGGTTAGAGACCTCAGGGTAAAAGGTAAAACCATAAACCCCAAGACGGTAAGCATAGGCTATCTAGAATTTAGGGTTTAAGGAAGTGTTTAAATAGTACACGAATGCCCTAACCACAATGGACAAGATCGATGTATTTGAGTAAATTAAAACTAAAATGTCTGATTCAGCAGAAGACGCCATAAAAGATGAAAACCCAAGTCACACAGGTAGGGAAGATACAAAGTACATAATTCCGATCTCTCTAACATTTAAATATATAAAGAAGACCTTAAAGCCGGAGTCCCCAACCCCTAGGCTGTGGACCAGTACTGTTCTGTGGCCTGTTGGGAACTGGGCCACACAGTAGGAGGTAAGTGGCAGGTGAGCATTCCTGCCTGAGCTCTGCCTCCTGTCAGATCAGCAGCAGCACTAGATTCTCATAGGAACATGAACCCTATTGGGAACTGTGCATGGGAGGGATCTAGGTTGTGCTCCTTACGAGAATCTAATGCCTGATGATCTGAAGTGGAACAGTTTCATCCTGAAACTGTCCCCCAGACCTCCATCTGTGGAAAAATTGTCTTCCATGAAACTGGTCCCTGCTGCCAAAAATGTTGGGGACTGCTGCCTTAAAGTGAATAAAGACAAGACAGTGCTATTAATAATGGGATAGAATTGAGTAGTGACACTACAGAGGAGCAAACAGAATGGCCAATCCTCTAGAAAGATGCTCAGCCCTGTGAGCCGTAGAACAATAAAGAAAGCCACAGTGACACACCCCACTGAGGCCAAAGCTGACCGTCCTGACAGTGGCAGGATTGGGAGCCTCAGGACTGGGGTTCTGTGGTGAGGATGCGCCCTGCACAGCCGCATGGGGAGACCCTTGCTCCATTCATGAGGGGAAGGGTACAGGCATCAGGACACCAATCCCTGCCCCAGATGAGCTCGTGCTTGCAAGATCTGTCACAGCCACCCTACCAAGGACAGCCTGTGGCACCGTACAGAATAGATGGAGAAGCTTCCTTGTGCTGGGAGGTGGTGGTGCAGCCTGGAGAGCATCTGTCCCTCGCACCTCCCCTTCCAGGCCTTCTCTCCCCAGTTCTGCCTTCCTGACCTAGATGGTGGTGGTCACCCTGTGCATTTTGCCTTCCCCAGAGCCCAAGGCGGTGTTTGCCAAGGAGCAGCTGGTGCACAGGGAGGTGCAGGCCCAGGCGGGGGCCAGCGCCACGCTCAACTGCGAGGTGGCCCAGGCCCAGACGGAGGTGATGTGGTACAAGGACGGGAAGAAGCTGAGCTCCAGCTCGAAAGTGCATGTGGAGGCCGAGGGCTGCACACGGAGGCTGGTGGTGCAGCAGGCGGGTCAGGCAGACGCTGGGGAGTACAGCTGCGAGGCGGGGGGCCAGCGGCTCTCCTTCCGCCTGCACGTGGCAGGTCAGTACTCTGGGGGATGGAGAGTGACCTTGTGTGGAGGTGATGATGAGACTGGCTGATGGACTTCACGGCCCCCAGTGCCCTTTCCATGAGACTCCACCTCTCCACTTCTCCATGCCCTCACTTACCAGGTTCATGCCTGTGGCTGGGCCAGGCTTGGCTGGATGGGAGGGTACAGGGAGGGCCAGGCCCTGTGGTGCACTTGGAGCGGCGTTCCCATGCAGTGCAGCCTCATCACACTGAGCCCCTGCCCCAAACCCCCATGCTCTTTGGTGTCCAGGCCCCTGGCACTATCTGGCCCTGTGGTCTGAGGTGGACCAGGTGCCTCCCCTGGGAAAGTGGGGTGTCCTTTCTATCATCCAGTATCTCCCGCCTGCCTCCCTTCAGCACCATGTGGGGCTTCTAGCCCATGAGAGACATTTTGAATTCATATGAACCACATAGGGGAAATTCTGCCCACGCAGTCCCAGTTGGAATTCTCTCCAGACTGAACTTCGGAGCATCAAAGCTTTTGGTGTCCCAGGAGACTCTTTCCTTTTTTTTTTCATGGATCTAGAAGCTTTAGAAGCTCACTGTGCACCTATACGTGGCAAAATCTCGGTCCTTGTTTTCTTGCAGTGTCTGTGCAAAAAATCCCAGCCCAGAGGGCTGGTGACTGTGCCCCTGGGATACAATTGTGAGATTCCAAGTGCTCTTCTTAAGGCTAATCTGGCTTTCCTTTTGTCTCTAGTTACAACATTCTGAGTCAGAATTCCCCCTTGGAGTCTGATTTATGAATTTAGCAGTAGAAAGGAAGAAAGAGCTTAAGCTATCTCAGCACACCTAAGATATGTATATATTTTGTTAAAAGAGTCTGGCCTGGGCATAGTGGCACATGACTGTTGTAGTCCCAGCACTTTGGGAGGTCGAGGCAGGAGGATTGTTTGATCCCAGCAGTTTGAGACCAAATTAGGCGCTATAGCAAGACCTCGTCTCTACAAAAAATACAGAAATTAGCTGGATGAAGTGGCACATGCCTGTAGTCCTAGCTACTCAGGAGGCTGAGGCAGGAGGATCACTTGGGCCCAGGAGTTCCAGGCTGCAGTGTGCCATGATCACACCACTGCACTCCAGCCTGGGCGACAGAGTGAGACCCTGTTCTGGAAAAAATAAAAAATAAAAACAACAACAACAATAACAAAAAACCAGGCTAAATATCAGAGAGAAAAAGGTTGTGGTACTATATTGACTCCCAAATGCCAACCCTTGAGAGCTTGGCATTCTATCAGTATATAGTCATTTGTAGTTGTGTATAGATACCAAAAAAGCCCACTATGTATCTTTCTAAAATATTGTGTTAAGAGAGTGCGATAAATTATTTAATGGTAATACATTTTATAAGTTTTGGAGAATTGCCAATTTCTTAGAGAAAACTATATGAAAAAGTTACACAGGAAGAAACAGACAACTCAGATAGTCCTATAGCTTTTAATTAAGTGGAACCAGTGATACAAATATTTTTATAAAAGGTCTAAGCCCAGTGGATCTACTGATAAATTATACCAGATATCCTGAAAACAAATTATTTCATATTCTTAGAGATCCTTTCAGAGAATAGAATGAGAAGATACACTCTTGAATCTGTTTTATGTGGATAGCATAACATAGATACCAATTTTGACAAGAACAGTATAACGATTTGAAATTACAGGCCAATCATTATGGATATGTAGGCCAATGCTTCAACAATATATTTTCAAAGTGGTATGATCAGTATGTCAAAAGGAAAATGCACTATGATAAAAGGCATAATTTAGAAATGCTGTACTGGTTCAATATTCAGAACATCAGAAAATGTCAAACAGATTGAAAGAGAAAAACAGTATGATTATCTCAATAAATGCAGAAGAAAAGTTTGATAAAATTTAACATCATAAATTCTGAACAGCTCTTTGATAAAATTTAGCATCAGGCCTGGCACGGTGACTCATACCTGTAATCCCAGCACTTTGAGAGGCTGAGGCAGAAGGATGGCTTGAGCTCAGGCATTCGAGACCAGCCTCCCAAGCAGCAGGGACCACAGGAACATGCTACTGTTCTGCAGGATGCCCTGGGGGTGTGACAGATCCTCCATGGAGAATGAATGGAGAAACTGTGTTCCTTGTACTGGTAGGCAGTGGTGTAGAGCCTGGAGAGCATCTGTCCCTCGCATGTCCCCTTCTAGGCCTTCTCTCCCCAGTGCTGCCTTCCTGACCTAGATGGTGGTGGTCACCCTGTGCATCCCTGCCTTCCCCAGAGCCCAAGGCAGTGTTTGCCAAGGAGCAGCCAGCGCACAGGGAGGCGCAGGCTGAAGCAGGGGCTAGTGCCACACTGAGCTGTGAGGTGGCCCAGGCCAAGACAGAGGTGATGTGGTACAAGGGCAGGAAGAAGCTGAGCTCCAGCTCGAAAGTGCATGTGGAGGTTGCAGACTGCACATGGAGGCTGGTGGTGCAGCAGGCAGGCCAAGCAGATGCCAGAGAGTATAGCTGTGAGGCTGGGGGCCAGCAGCTCTCCTTCAGCCTGCACATGGCAGGTCAATGCTTTGGGGATGCTGAGTTACCTTGTGTGGAGGTGATGATGAGATTGGCTGATAGACCCCAGTACTCTTTCCACTAGAGTTCATCTCTGGAAGTCTCTCGTAATCCTAGCTGCCGTTTTCCTACCCATGGCTGGCCCGAGGTTGGCCAGAAGGGATGAGTGTGTACAGGAGACACTGTGAGTTGTGTTTACAGGCAGTAATGCTGTTCATATATTCCCAGCACCCAGTCAGAACCCACAGGTGCTCCCAGGTGTCCCGCCCTTTGGCTCAATGGAACTGAGGGGGCTGCTACAGGAGGCTAAAGTAGACCAGATGTCTCTCACCTGAGGCCATCTGAGAGCTTGCACCCAGCCTCACCAGCACGACCTGAGGGCTCTCCCTATGGAGAGATGGTTGAATTCCATTGAACCAGGATAAGGGCAAATTTCAGCCACACAATCATTCTTGAAATTATCTCATGATTTGAACTTTGGATTATCCAAGTTTTAGGTGTTCGGGGACCCTCTTCTCATCTTTCTTATGGGCATAAAAGGTCACTGTGAACCCACATGTGGCAAAATCTATATCCTGGGTTTTTTTTTGTTGTTGTTGTTGTTGTTTTTGAGACAGAGTCTGTCACCCAGGCTGGAGTACAGTGGCACAATCTCAGCTCACTGAAACCTCTGCCTCTTGGGTTCAAGCAATTCTCCTGCCTGAGCCTCCCAAGTAGCCGAGATTACAGGCGCCTGCCACCACACCTGGCTAATTTTTGTATTTTCAGTGGAGATGGGGTTTCATCATGCTGGTCAGGCTGGTCTCAAATTTCTGGCTTCAAGTGATCCACCCGCCTTGGCCTCTCAAACTGTTGGGATTACGGGTGTGAGTCACTATACCCGGCTTGTTTTTATTATACTGCCTACAGAATAAATACAGAGCTGGGAATTGGTGGATTTGGACTGCGATACACCACTGTGAGGTTTGGAATTATCTTCTGAAAGTGTATGTTGTTTTCATTTGCTCTTATGTCAGAACATTCTGTGACTGAACTTCCCTTAGTTTAATTTTGTATATTTAAAACTGAAGAGGAATAAACAAATCAAGCTACATCAACACACATTTTAAAGATGAATTACTACACAGCAGCCACTGACAGATAAAGCAGTATGTGTTTCATACCATTCTAATAATTCATGGCTAGTTGATAGAGAAATCTGAGAACCAGCTTTATTTTCTTTTAGTAAGAGAGTCTTTTGTTGGATGGAGATGGAGTGCAGTCACACACTTGTTCATAGGTACTGACACTTAACACTGGTGTCACATCAGCATCTAGGAGTTTGTGGGGGTGTATAGATGCCAGAAACCCCACTTTGTAGGTACTGGAAATGTTGTTATGTGAGAACATGCCATTATTATTTTGAGATGGAGTCTCGCTCTGTCACCCAGGCTGGAGTGCAGTGGTGCGATCTTGGCTCACTGTAACCTCTGCCTCCTGGGTTCGAGTGATTCTCCTGCCTTAGCCTCCCGAGTAGCTGGGACTACAGGCATGCACCACCATGCCTAGCTAATTTTTTTGTATTTTTAGCAGAAACAAGGTTTCATTATGTTGACCAGGCTGGTCTTGAGCTCCTGACCTCAGGTGATCCACCTGCCTCGGCCTCCCAAAGTGCTCTAATTACAGGGGTGAGCCACCATGCCCGGCCCTATTATTTATGTAATCAAATTTGAAAAGTTTTGGCAAATTGATCAATTTCTTCAAAACTATATCAAAAGTAAAAATAGGTAAGTTGAACAGTCCTATAACCTTTTATAGAAATGCAACAAATAATCTTCTCATAGAAGATTACCCCAGTGCTCTACTGTAAACTGTACCAAATATTATAGAAAGAAATTATTCCATGTTCATACACATTCCTCTAGAGTATTGAAAAAGGACCTCAGTGCTCTATCTCGTTTAATGTAGGTAAATATCATTAATACAAAGCTCTGACAGGGTGAATATGAAGAATTAAAATTGGCCAATCTCTTATCAGTGTCAAGGCTCATTATCTTAAACTAAGTATTAGCACCCTGAATTCAGCAATTTATCAAGAGGATAACACACAATGACAAAAGTCATAGTCCAGTAGTGCAAGGCTGGTTTAACATGAGAAACATTTGAAAATCAGTACAAAATGTGACATTAATAGATTGAAAGAAAAACGAATGTGATTACCCCAATATGGAGACTAAAAGCATTGGATAAAGTACAACATCATAAATATGCAAAAAAAATTTGGAAAAATTTAGCATCAATTCATGTCATATAATTCTTAACAAACTCTAAATAAAAACATTTTTTCCTTAATTTCATAAGCAATAGTATAAAGAAAACAAGCTAATATTACACAAACATGAAACCTTGAAAGTGTCGCCTTTGAGATTGGAAACAGGACAAGGACTCCATCCATCACCACTTCTTCCAACACTATATAGCAGACAGAGGAGGAAAAGAAAGTACAAGGTGTAAAACTTGGAAAATAAAACATGCAACTCACAGATGATATGGTTATTAATTTAGAAAGTCCAAAAAAACCCCTAATTATTAGTAAGACATTTGGGAATGGTTATCACATAAAAAAATCAATATACAGAAAACACTTCTAGATCTATGTACCAGAAACAAGTAGATGGAAAATAATGTTTTAAGAGATTTCCAGTACCATCCAAAGTCTTGTAGTTACCAATTGCAAGCCAACAAAAGATCTTTAGATGGTTTGTGGGGGGGAAATTATTAAACATTGTTGAGAGACAGTAAAAAAGATCTCAATAAATAGTTAAAAGGCTGTGGAAGACCTGAAAGTATAAATCCCAGTCAACCATAGTTCTGTTGGGTGAGAGAATACTGACAAGCACATAGCAAAGGCCAAGCAGAGCCAAGCTACCCTTGAAGAACACAGTGTGAGGGCCTTTGCTGTACCAGACAGCAGAGTGTCCTCTAAAGCAGTGGTGATCCAGATACCTGGACCCAAAGGCAGAAAGAGATCAACAGACCAAAATAATTGAATACTGAGCTCAAAACAGCTTTGATGGAACCAGATTCCTCCTCCCTTTCTTTATTTTTTACCCTGGTGCTAGGAGGAGGTGTAGAGGAAGGGTGATCTTTTCACAGATGGTGCTAAGACAATTAACTGTTCGCAAAAATAAAATAAAATTGGGTGTCTACCTCCCCATACAAGAAATCAACTCAGTATGTGGGTAGAACAGCTCTTACCAGATAATATAGATAATATAGATTATCTGGCGACCTCTGGGTAATAGAAGATGTTTTGAACAGAACCTGAATGCACTAGCCACACAGGATGAATGATTATTTGCCTGCAATAAAACTGATCACTTTATTTCATCAGAGAATTTTCATACAGGAGTGAAAGGGCAAGGCACAGAGATAGAGAAGATGTTTGTAACATACATAGCTTTTAAGTATATGAAGTTCTTAAAATTAATATGTAAAAGACAGTGCTACTGAAAATTGGGGTTGGGCATGGTGGCTCATGCCTGTAACCCAAACGCTTTGAGAGGCCAAGGCAGGAGGATTGCTTGAGCCCTGGAATTTGAGAACAGTCTGGGCAACATAGCAAGACCCTGCCTCTAGAAAATAAAAAATAAAAGAGCTAGGCATAGTGATGCATGCCTGTAGTCTCAAGCTCCTTGGGAGGCCGAGGTGGGAGGATGTCTTGAGCCTAAGGATTGAACCTGCAGTGGGCTATGATCACACCAGTGCACTCCAGCATGGGTGACAGAGTGAGAGCCTGTCTCAAAAAAAAAAAAAAGAAAAGAAAAGAAAAGAAAATTGGGCAAAACACTTTAACAGTGACACCACAGAAGAGCGAAGACTCTGTCCCCAAACCATCAGAAGGCGCTCAGCTTGACAGTCTTCCTGACAGGGACCCAGGAAGCCACAGGAGGCCCAGGCCGTCTCTGCAGCGGCTAGAGCTGACCCTCCTGACAGTGGCAGGACTGGGAGTCTCAGACTCTGGGGCCCCGGGGTGAGGACATGCCCTGCACAGTCCCCTGGGTAGACCGTGGCACATCCATGAGGGAAGCTGTGCAGGTGTCAGGACCCAAGTCCCTGCCCTGGAGGACCTGTCATGGCAGCCCTGCCTGGGACAGCCCATGGTGCCGTGCAGAATGGAAGGAGAAACTGTGTTGCTTGTGCTGGGAGGTGGTGGGGCTTCTCCCGACCACATGGCCAGTGCAGAGCCTGAGGCTGGGGAAGGTTCTCTCCCTCCCGCCTCCCTGCCCAGGCCTTCTCTCCCCAGTGCTGCCTTCCTGATCTAGATGGTGGTGGTCACCCTGTGCATCCCTGCGTTCCCCAGAGCCCAAGGCAGTGTTTGCCAAGGAGCAGCCAGTGCGCAGAGAGGTGCAGGCCGAATTGGGGACCAGTGCCACGCTGAGCTGCGAGATGGCCCAGGCCCAGACAGAGGTGACGTGGTACAAGGACGGGAAGAAACTGAGCTCCAGCCCGAAAGTGCGAATGGAGGCCGTGGGCTGCACACGGAGGCTGGTGGTACAGCAAGTGGGCCAGGCAGACGCTGGGGAGTACAGCTGCGAGGCCGGGGGTCAGCGGCTCTCCTTCGGCCTGCACGTGGCAGGTCAGTGCTTTGGGGGCCCTAGGAGCCTCTTCAGAGGTGATGGTGGTTCTGGCTCATAGCCCTAGCATATCTCTGTGCACTTTCCTTCAGCCTTCATGTCTCGGGCTACCCATCCTCCCACTCCCATTTCCATCCCTGTGGCTGGGCCAAGGGAGGGGTGTGCCTGGGAGGGAGAGGGCCTGTTCCTGCAAAACGGGAGACGTGTTTGTACTTGGTAGTTCTCAGTCACACCTGCGGGCACCTTCCTAGTTTTCTTGGTGTCCAAGGAGTCTCACTGCCCCTGGAGCTGGGGGTTGAGGTGAACCTCGCGTCTGTCGCATGCACAGAGGTGAATGTGCTGTTGTTGGATGTCTGGCAGCTCCCGCATCCTCACCCCACAGAGCGTAGGGCTCTCGCCAGGGGAAGGGGAGCTGCCTCCATTTCATCCAAACAAGATAATGGGAGTTTTCAGTCACCAGATTGTCCTTGGAATTTTCCCAAAACTAAAATTTGGCTTATCATAGTTTTAGAGGAGGAGAGACACTCTTCCCTCTTCCCGTATGTTACAAAATGTAGATCCCTGACTTGCTATGATTGTGTGAATCGTAAGGAGTGGTGCCCCAGTGGGGACGTGCCTGTGCAGTGCATCCATGGGCTTAGAATACTGTTTCTAAGACAAAGCATGTTTTCCTTTTCTCCTCAATTGGAGTATTTGGTGTCAGTGTTCTCCTTGTAGTTTGATTCAGAAATAGAAAAGAGTAAGTAGAGTAGGCGACACCACCACACTTTGTCAAAGGCGAGTTCCCTTCGTAGCAGCCTCTGTTTGTTATGTGTATTTATTTTATAGAATTTCCTAATGGTTACTGTGTTTGAGCCTCCATGGCTGCTTCATAGAGAAGTCTGAGAAACAAATTTATTTTCCTTTCATTAAGACAGTCTTAGTAACCCCGGCTGTAGGTCCCACACTGACCTCTAGGTGCCACCATATAACAGTTTGTTACTGCATCAGCATAGAGTGATTTGGGGGGTGTATATACACCCAAAACCTCACTCTGTATGTTTGTCAAATTTTAAGAGAATATGACAAATTATTTTATAGAAATATATTTGTGGTAATAAATTTTGTAGTAATAAATTTGAAAAATATTGACAGTTTGGCCAGTTCCTAGAAATATATCAAAAGTGACACAAAGAGAAATAGATAACTCTAGTAGTCCTAGAAACTTAAAAAAATTGAACCATGAAAACCATCTGCTCATAGCAAAAGACGTAAGCCTGGTGGCTTTACTGCTAAATTATACTAAATATTTAGGAAATAAATTATTCTATGTTCATACAGATTCTTCTACTAGGGAACAGAAAAGCAGATATACTCTCCAGATAGTCTTGTAGAAACATGATATAGCCTAGGGCAGTGGCTCATGCCTGTAATCCCAACACTTTGGGAGGCCAAGGTAGAAGGACCACTTGAGCTCAGGAGTTCGAGATCATCCTGGGCAACACAGCAAAACCCTGTCTCTGAAAAACAATTTAAAAATTAGCTGGGTGTTGTAGTGGGTGCCTGTAAGTCCTAGCTGCTTGGGAGGCTGAGGTGGGAGGACTGCTTGAGCCCAGGAGGTTGGAGTTACAGTGAACTATAATGGCGCCACTGCACTCCAGCTAGGTCAACAGATTGAGACTCTTGTCTCAAAAAAGAAAAAAAAGAAAAATAAGAAATATAATATGGATATCATAATATGGACAAGGAATGTTAACAAGAATTAAAATTTTAGACCAATCCATTATGGATATAAAAAAAAAAATATTAGCAAACTGAATTTAGCTATCTCTCAAGACCCTCTAAGGAAGGATGTAGTCCCAGAATGCAAGGCTGGTTTAGTTTTTGAAATATGCAAATCTGTATAAAGGATGATGTAATTGGATGCAATGAAAAAGTTGTGTGATCTTAATAAATACAGAATACAGTGTTTGATTAAATTTAATATTAAAGTTTAGAAGTATTATTTGATAAAATTCAGCATCAATTCATGTCATGAAATTTTTAACAAATTATAAAGTGTCCTTCTTTAATTTGGTCAATGGTACTGCAGAAAACACCAGGTAACTGCATATTTAAAGAGCACCTTGAAAGCTTTGCCTTTGAGATAGGAATCAACACGTGGAAACCAACCATCCCCACTTCCATTCAGCACTGTACAGCAGAGGAAGGAGGAAAGAAAAAGAAAAGGTATAACACTTGGAGAAAAACATAAGTGGGATTCACAGATGATATGAGTATCAATTCAGAAAATCCAAAAGATAGAGAGATAAATAATAAGATAAATAATAAGTAATAACAAATAATATGAGAGTTGAGAAACATCACATAGAAATTCAACATGCAGAATACACGTATATATGTATGTATGTACACATACACACACACGCACACTAGCAACACAGTTGTAAGGTGAAATTTTAAAAGATTTACAAGAGCATGAACAGCATCAAGTATAGTAAAGATGTTTAATATCTCAGTGGAGGAAAATTGTCAAACATTTTTGTTTTTGAGTCAGGATCTCACTCTGTCACCCAGAGTGGAGTTCAGTGGTATAATCATGGCTCACTGCAGCCTCGACCTCGTGGGTGGGCTCAAGAGATCCTCCCACCTCGGCCTCCTGACTTGATGAGACTATAGGCCATGCACCACCACGCCCAGCTAATTTTTTAAGAATTTTTTTTGGTAGCAACAGGGTCTCACTATTTTGCCCAGGTTGGGCTCAAACTCAAGCAATCCTCCCACCTCAGCCTCCCAAAGTCCTGGGATTACAGGTGTGAGCCGCTGTGCCTGGCCATTGTGAAACATTTTTGGCAGACAGTAAGAAGACCTAAATAAATAGATAGAAACCCATGGAAGACTCAAATATGTTCACACCCAGTCAAAACCCAAGCAAATGTTTTTCTTTGGGGAGGTGAAGGTTGAGAAGCAGATTCTGAAGGCCAAGTGGAGTAACACACTCTTGAAGAGCCACTTGTGAGCATTTGTCTACCAGATATTAAGAACCAATCAGCTGCAGGAATGGAGACAGCCAGGCACAACACAAGGACAGTTGTCAGACCAAAGGGACAGAATCGTGAGCTCATGATCAGACCCAAATACATGGATTCTCTCTTTTATTGTTTCTTGTTTTTTTGTTTTTGTGTTTTGTGTGTGTGTGTTTTTTTTTTTTAACCTTCACACCTGAACAGGCAGTGGAGAAAGGATGATCTTCTGAAAAAAAAAATGGTTCTTTGATTTTTTAACCTTATAAAAATTTAGACTAGTAACTTATTTCACACTAAAAAGTAAGTTCCAGGGAGGTTAGAGGCCACAGAGTATAAAGGTAAAACCATAAAACCCCTAGATGATAACATAGATTGCTGAAAACTTCAGGGAAAGGAAAGATTTCTTAAAACTACAGAGTGGAACAATGGTATATTTACCTACATTAAAACTACAACTTTAATTTGTCAAGACATCATTTGAGAGTGAAAAGGCAGGTCAAGGACATGGGTAAGATGTTTACAAATACACAGTTATCATTTGCTAGCATTTAAAATATATAAAGAGTTCCTAAAAATAAGAAAGGAAAAGACAGAAAAGGCTATTGAAAATTGGACAGAAGCCTGAAGAGTGACACCCCAGAAGAGCTGATGTAACGGCCAGAAGTGGTGGAAAGGGCTCCACCTTGCATGTCACCAGGCAATGCATGACAAAGCCCAGGCCTTCCCTGCAGAGGCCAACACTGATCCTCCTGACAGTGGCAGGACTGGGAAACTCAGTATTCTGGGGCCCTGTGGTGAGGACACGCCCTGCAGTCCCGTGGGGGAGACGCTGGTATATCCGTGAAGGGAGCTGTGCAGGCATCAGGACCCCAGTCCCTGCGCTGGAGGAGCTCGTGCACGGAGTCTGTCACTGCTGCCCCGCCTGGGACAGCCCATGGCACTGTGCACAGTGGATGGAGAAACTGTGATTCTTGTGCTGGGAGGCGGTGGGATTTCTCCCGGCCACATGGCCAGTGCAGAGCCTGGGGAAGGTTCTGTTTCTCCTACTTCCTTATCCGGGCCCTCCTACCCTAGGGTGGTCTTCCTGACCTGGGCAGTATCTTTGACCTCATGTGTCCCTCCTTGTCCATCCCCAGAGCCCAAGGTGGTGTTTGCCAAGGAGCAGCCGGCGCACAGGGAGCTGCAGGCTGAGGTGGGTGCCAGTGCCACGCTGAGCTGCGAGGTGGCCCAGGCCCAGACGGAGGTGACATGGTACAAGGACAGGAAGAAGCTGAGCTCCAGCTCGAAAGTGCGTGTGGAGGCCGTGGGCTGCACACGGAGGCTGGTGGTGCAGCAGGTGGGCCAGACAGAGGCTGGGGAATACAGCTGCGAGGCTGGGGGTCAGCGGCTCTCCTTCCGCCTACATGTGACAGGTCAGTGCTTTGGGGATGCTGAGTGAGCCCTGTTTGGAGCTGCTGCTGTGACTGGAGTAGAACCACTGCTGACTCAGTGGGCTTTCCATTAGACTCCATCCCTCAACTTCTCCCATCCTCTCATCTCCTACTTTTATGCCTGTGGTGGAGCTGGGCTGCCTAGTGGGAAGGGAGTGAACAGAAGGGTCACGGCCCTCCTTGTCCATGTTGGGTGGTGTTTCCGTGCAGACATGCTGGGTCACATTTTCCCAGTACCTTCTCCAAACCACTGATGTCCCGAGGTGTCCAGGACTCTGGTCCTATCTAATGCACGAGATGGTGGTAGGCCAGACATCCCTCCCTCGGGGATGCTCCTGCAGTCCCTGCACGGCCTCATCTGGCCCCACGTGAGGGCTCTCCCTGTGCAAAGAGATTTGAATTCGTTCAGCCAGGGTGTAGGGAAATTCCAGCCACACAGTCTTATTTGGAATTATATCAACACTGAACACTGGGTTCCCAAAGTTTTTAGTGTTCTGGGACGCACTTCTGTCCTTCCCCGTGGATGTAGAAGCCCTGTCTGAGTCTTCATTAAAACCCAGATCCACAGCGTTAGTGTGTGCAAAACGAGTAAAGAGCAGCGCATTGGCAGGTGCACACATGACACTGGAATTCCATTTCGGAAGCCAATCTCAATTTCCCTTTGCATTCTGTTAAAATGTTCTGTGTCCGAATTCCCCTTTGGATAGATTTAAAAGTTATAGGAATAAGTAGCTTATGGCACAGTCACACACCGGTAGAATTAAGTTACGGTGGTAGCAGCTGCTGACTGGGGAAGCCATATTTACATCATCCTGTTTCCTTGACAAGTCCTGTGCCTGTCCTCTCTGGCTGATTCATAGGAAGTCTGAGAACGATCTTTACTTTCCTGTTGTTTGTTAGGAGAGTTTAACTTCAAACTCCAACCCTGAGCCCTGAGTGCTGCCACATAACAGTTGGTGTTATGTATGTCTAAAATGGCTTACAGATGTGTAGATACCAAAAATACTCACTGCAAGTAAATTTGAAAAGTGTTAAATTATATAATTTCTAGAAACCAAAAACAGACTTAAGAAATAGATAACCTATATGCAGGTATCTACTGTTACCGAAGTTATCTGCAGTTACTACAACCTAGTAAAAACTAGAACCGGTAGCAAAAAATCTTCCCATCAAACAATATCTAAACCATGTGGCCCTATTGAGAAATTCTTCCAAACATTCTGGCCAGAAATTCTTCCATGTTCATGGAAATTCTTCTGGAGAATGGAAAAAGGAAGATATACCCTCTAACTCATTATATGCAGATAGCTTAATGCCGTGACTAAAATCTGGCCAGAAAATAGGAAGTTTGCATATTGTAGATCAAACAATTATGGATATCATGGCCAATTTTTTAAACAAAATATTAGTAAACTGAATTCAGCAATACATCAAGATGATTGTACACTATGATGAAATTCATAGTCTAGGAATGAGGGCTGCTTTCATGTTAAAACATTAGAAAATCATGATATTATGTGATTGAAATTTTAAAACAATGTAATTATCTTAAACTCAGAATAAAGTACCATATTTGATAAAAATTTAACCTCATACATTCAGAAGAAATGTCTGGCAAAATTTAGCATCCATCGTGCCATTAAATTCTTAACAAAGTATAAATAAAAGTTTTTTTTTCTTGATTTGACCCAGGGTATTACACAAAAATCACAAAGGGAGACTTTGTAAGCTTTGCCTCTGAGCCAGGGACAGCATGAGGAAGCCAGTCGTCAGCACTTCCATCCAACATTGGACACACAGTTAGGAGGAAAGTAAAACAAAAGGTGTAAAAGTTGGAAAAAGGTGAACTGACAGAAGATATGGTTTACCCAGAAGATAAATTATTAGAGAGTTGAGAAAGATCAACCCTTGCAAGATCTATGTGAAGAAACTTCCATACATGTAGACTAGCAGCAAGCAGTTGGAAAACGAAAACGTGAAAGATTGACAGATGCCTCAAAGGCATCATGTTTATGATTCCAGTCTAATAAAAGATGTCCAGAGGCTCTGCGGGGGGGGGGGGAAGCTGTGTAACACTTTTGAGAGACAGTAAAGATCTAAAGTGGATAAAAGTATGGAAGAATGAAAGTTATTCAGTCTTAGTCAAAATCCAAACAAATGTGGTTTTGGTGGATGCGAGGTTCAAAAATGACAAGTGGATTTAAAGCCCTATACATGCTTGAAGAAGAGCCACGTGTGCAGGCACCCCAGTCCCTGCCCTGGAGGTGCTCGTGCATGGAGGGTTTGTCATAGCTGCCCCACCTGTGATAGCCTATGGCGCCGTGCACAGTGGATAGACAAACTGTGATTCTTGTGTGGGGAGGTGGCAGGGCTTCTCCCGGTCACACAGCTAGTGCAGAGCCTGGGGAAGGTTCTGTTTCTCCTACTTCCTCATCCAGGCCCTCCTACCCTAGGGTGGTCTTCCTGACCTAGGCTGTATCTTTGACCTCATGTGTCCCTCCTTGTCCATCCCCAGAGCCCAAGGTGGTGTTTGCCAAGGAGCAGCCGGCACACAGGGAGGTGCAGGCTGAGGCGGGGACCAGCACCATGCTGAGCTGCGAGGTGGCCCAAGCCCAGACGGAGGTGATGTGGTACAAGGACAGGAAGAAGCTGAGCTCTAGCTCAAAAGTGCGCGTGGAGGCCGTGGGCTGCACACGGAGGCTGGTGGTGCAGGAGGCAGGCCAGGCGGATGCCGGGGAGTACAGCTGCGAGGCTGGGGGCCAGCGGCTCTCCTTCCACCTACATGTGGCTGGTGGGTGCCAGGGTTAGGTGAAATAGAGGTGATCCTGAGTGTCGGGTGTGAAACTACAAGGGCACGTTTGGGTGGCCCAAGGTGCTGTGGGCCCTGGCACCTTCCCTCTCTGTAGACCTTAGAATCTGTGTCCCCAGCTCTCCCCAGTGGCTCTCAGGCCAGTGTCCTTATGTCATGAGACCAGAGCAGGCCCATGGACTGAGTTGACCATGGTGTGTGCCCTGCACTGGCTGAGCTGGGGGTGGTAGGGACAGTAGCATGATGTCCTTGGGGTGGGGGTCTGGGGTCTGGTCTCATGTGAGGACCCCTGTCTGGGTGGTAGGGACAATAGCGTGATGTCCTTGGGGGTCTGGGGTCCAGGTGTAGTCAGATGTGATGACCTCTGTCTGGGTGGTGGGGACAGTGGTGTGATGTCCTTGGGGTGGGGGTCTGCTGTCTGGGTTGGTCTAATGTGATCTGCTGACTCCTCTGTGGGTGCTGGGCTATGGGAGGGCCCTGCAGTAACTGGAGAGCGTGTCCTGGGTGGTGGGGGGCTTGTCTCTGTGCTCTGGGCCCTAGATCTCTGCAAGTCTGTGCTGGGCCCCTTGGTCATCACCATGTGTCCACCTGTCTTTCTGACATCCGACCCCTTCCACCCTGTCTCTGAGCCAGGGACAACAAACCACACTCAGCTTGGCATCCTCTTTCCGGTGGCCCTGCCCGACACTCTGCTGCCTCTGGGCCAGCCCAGGTTGCTGGTCCATCCCTCCTGACCCTTCATGTCCTGCTGCCTGTGGCCCCATGTGGTGGGGAGGGCTGGCAACGGGTGAGGGCCCCAGGGCCCTGGAAGACCAGGGCAGGGAAGGGACCGCATCCTCTTCCCAAGGGACATGATGGTGGTGCTGCCAACATGCACTCTTAGACCTTCGGCTCTGGTAGTGCCGGGGGGAGCTCTGTGCGTCACAATGCACTGCTCAATGATGGACAGCCCCGCCTGGCTGTCGCTGGGTTAACACATGGGCTGCGTCTGCTCTGGAGCCTCTAACCCTACATCCCTCCTTGTCCATCCCCAGAGCCCAAGGTGGTGTTTGCCAAGGAGCAGCCGGCATGCAGGGTGGTGCAGGCGGAGGCGGGGGCCAGTGCCACACTGAGCTGTGTGGTGGCCCAGGGCCAGATGGAGGTGACGTGGTACAAGGATGGGAAGAAGCTGAGCTCCAGCTCGAAAGTGCACGTGGAGGCCGAGGGCTGCACACGGAGGCTAGTGGTGCAGCAGGCGGGCCAGGCAGATGCTGGGGAGTACAGCTGTGAGGCGGGGGGCCAGTGGCTCTCCTTCCACCTGCACGTGGCAGGTTAGTGCTTTGGGGTGGCAAATCCGCTTCACCTGGAGCTGATGGCCACACTGTATGGCTCCTGGGATTCTGGATGGTGGTTGATGGTGCTCAGGACGGCACTGGGCCATCCTTGAAGAGCAATGGGTATCAGGGGTGCCAGGTGGCATTAGGGTGGCCCTGAAGGGGAGCGGGGCCAGTCCAGGGATGCCAGGGTCCCCCTCTCATGCCAACTCACCTCTACCCAGGGCCGGAGCCCCAAATTTCAGAGAGACCCTGCCGCAGTGAGCCTCTGGTGGTCAAGGAGCATGAAGACATCGTCCTGACTGCCACGCTGGCCACACCCTCTGTGGCCACAGTGACCTGGCTTAAGGATGGTGTGGAGATTCGCCGCAGCAAGCGGCACGAGACAGCCAGCCAGGGGGACACCCACACCCTGACCGTGCATGGCGCTCAGGTGCTGGACAGTGCCGTCTACAGCTGCCGTGTGGGCGCAGAGGGGCAGGACTTCCCAGTGCAGGTGGAAGGTGAGCTGGGCACGGGGCGGGGACTCCTCCAGACCCCTCTCTCCCAGAGCTGGGCAGGGGCAAAGCTGGGGCTCAAGTCTGGTCTGTTAGGAACCTGGCTGATGTCCCCTTCGTGCCCACAGAGGTGGCCGCCAAGTTCTGCCGGCCGCTGAAGCCTGTGTGCGGTGAGCTGGGCGGCACGGTAACACTGGCCTGTGAGCTGAGCTCAGCGTGTGCAGAGGTGGTGTGGCGCCGTGGCAGCACGCAGCTTCAGGTGGGCAAGCGCTTCCAGATGGTGGCCGAGGGGCCTGTGCGCTTGCTCACTGTGTTGGAGCTGCGCGCGGAGGACGCGGGGGAGTACGTATGCGAGAGCCGTGATGACCACACCAGTGCGCAGCTCACTGTCAGTGGTATGTGAGGGGTCGGGTGTCCCTATCCAGGGCAGCTTCCTGGAGGAGGTGGCCTTTGGCACTCCTGCAGTGTGGGGGCTCTGCCGGTCCCGCGCGCCCGCCTCTTAAGCAGTGCTCCTGTCTGCAGTACCCCGAGTGGTGAAGTTTATGTCCGGGCTGAGCGCCGTGGTCGCGGAGGAGGGCTGCGAGGCCACCTTCCAGTGTGTGGTGTCCCCCAGTGATGCGGCAGTCGTGTGGTTCCGGGACGGTGCCCTGCTGCAGCCCAGCGAGAAGTTTGCCATATCACAGAGTGGCACCAGTCACAGCCTGACTATCTCCGGCCTGGTGCTGGAGGACGCGGGCCAGATCACTGTGGAGGCTGAGGGCGTCTCATCCTCTGCTGTCCTGAGGGTCCGAGGTGAGTGTGGGGGGCAGCAGGACTTGCCTGGCTGGCCGGGGCTCCTTGCACAGGCACCTCCCCTGTGGGCTGGTTCTGAGTGGGCACCTGGAACTGCTGTCCTGTTATGGCTGATCTGGCTGATCTCAGGAGACACAGGGTGTGTGGACTGCAGAGAGGAGATTCGGGTAGGCTGGATGGATCAGGTGCCTTCTCTTGGTATAGAGAAGATGCAATCCTGCAGGTGCACCTGGTGGGGAATGGGTGGAGGTTGAGGCAATCCAGGGAGGCTTTCTGGAGTAGGTGGGTGCATACTTAGCCTGATGGATGGCAGGGAAGAGAGAGTGGGGTTAGCACCAGTGCAGGCAGTGACATGGGCTTCCCATGCTGCTGAAGCCAGAAGCCAGAACTTTCCCTGAAGGGAAGTGGGAGTCATGGCAGGTTCTGGAGTAAGGGAGTGATGCAGTAGATTCACCTTCTGCGGAGTTCACGGGTGGCCTAAGGCAGAGGCCCGCCAGCGCCTCTTCCTCAACCTGTGCAGGACTCCTGGGCTTTGCTAAACCCCCGTTGCGCCTGGGGGAGCTCTGTCTTCCCGCCTCTGCAGTTCCCGCCAGTGCTACTAGTGGGGATTACGCCTAGGATTTTGAGGCACGAGGGCCTGGCGTCTTGTTCAGAACAGGGGAGCTGGAGGTAGAAGCGGGGCTTAAGGAAGCTTCCCGGTTTCCTCGCTTAAAGTGTTTCCTTGCCCACGTGTGGCCAGGGCCGCGCCGCCGTTTGGATTGGGATCCCCGGGCGCCGTGCGGGCAGCTCTGCCTGGGCGCGGCTCAGGGCAGGCGCCGGGGCTGGGCGGGCCCTCTGTACCTTGGCTTGCCCGTGGAGGAGGGCAAGGACTGCCATGACCTCCCCTCTCCTGCGACCCCAGAGGCGCCCGTGCTGTTCAAAAAGAAGCTGGAGCCGCAGACGGTGGAGGAGCGGAGCTCGGTGACCCTGGAGGTGGAGCTGACGCGGCCGTGGCCGGAGCTGAGGTGGACACGGAACGCGGCGGCCCTGGCGCCAGGAAAGAACGTGGAGATCCACGCCGAGGGCGCCCGCCACCGCCTGGTTCTGCACAACGTAGGTTTTGCCGACCGTGGCTTCTTTGGCTGCGAGACTCCAGATGACAAGACACAGGCCAAACTCACCGTGGAGAGTGAGTCGCGGGCGGGAAGGGCGGGGCACTGAGGAGGAGTGAGGAGGGAGACGGAGAATTGAGGAGGAGTGAGGACGTAGACAGGGTACTAAGGGGAGGAGGGAGGAGGGGCACTGAGAGGAAGAGAGAGGAAGGAGGTGGGGCACTGAGGGGAGGAGGGAGGAGGGATGCGGAGCACCGAGGGGAGGAGGGAGGAGCCAGGCGGGACACTGAGGGGAGGGGCGAGTCCTCTGGATGGGGCCTAGGGCTGGGGGAGGGGCAGGTCTCTCGCCGGAGGGGCTAGCGCTGGGGGTGGGCGTTGGGAGGCTTCCCCAGCCCTCCCTGAGCTCCTGGGGAAGCTGGCTGTACCCCAGGGTTCTAAGGCGGTGGTCTCAGAGCAGCGGCTGACCCGTGACCCCGCCTGTGCACCGCAGTGCGCCAGGTACGGCTCATCAGGGGCCTGCAGGCTGTGGAGGCACAGGAGCAGGGCACGGCTACCATGGAGGTGCAGCTGTCGCATGCGGACGTGGAGGGCAGCTGGACTCGCGATGGTCTGCGGCTCCAGCAGGGGCCCACGTGCCACCTGGCTGTGCGGGGCCCCACACACACCCTCACGCTCTCTGGGCTGAGGCCAGAGGACAGTGGCCTTATGGTCTTCAAGGCCGAAGGAGTGCACACGTCGGCACTGCTCGTGGTCACCGGTGCGTTGGGGGGACCGGCAGGGCTCAGCACAGATCATGCCTACCTGTCCCGAGGGAATCCCTGGGAGGTCGGTGGGGACTCTAGGGACCTGGATGAGCCAGCTCCATATAACTCTGTCCAGCTTGGGCACTGTCCCACCCTAGTCCTGTCCCCACTCTGAAGGCTCCTCCAAGCCCTTTTTCTCCTCCCACCTCCTACTTCCTCCTCCCCAGAGCTGCCTGTGAACTTCAGCCGCCCGCTGCAGGATGTGGTGACCACCGAGAAGGAGAAGGTTACCCTGGAGTGTGAGCTGTCTCGTCCTAATGTGGATGTGCGCTGGCTAAAGGTGCCTCCCCCTGACCCCACTCTGTTGCCTCCTTCCCTCCTCTCCTGGGGGCAGGCCCAAGTGGAACCCCAGGGCTGAACCACCTGTATGCCTGACTGGGCTTCTGCGCTCCACAGGACGGTGTGGAGCTGCGGGCAGGCAAGACGGTGGGCATTGCGGCCCAGGGCACCTGCAGGAGCCTCACCATTTACCGGTGCGAGTTCGCGGATCAGGGCATGTATGTGTGTGATGCCCATGACGCCCAGAGCTCTGCCTCTGTGAAGGTGCAAGGTGAGGGCTGTGTGGGGCACGTGGGGCACGGCAGGTGTGGGCACCTCCTCCTGTCTTCCATGTCCCCCAGCCAGGGGCTTGGCCACTCTGCTTTCACCTTCACAACCCTTGGCACACTGGGGCACTGGGTGGGGGGTGCTGGGGGTGGCTCTGTGTGTCCAGGTGTGGCAGGGCCTCCCTTGCCACCCCAGGCCGCAACATCCAGATGGTGAGGTCACTGGAGGATGTGGAAGTGATGGAGAAGGACAGTGCCACCTTCTCCTGTGAGGTCTCCCACGACGAGGTGCCTGGCCAGTGGTTCCGGGAGGGCAGCAAACTGCGGCCCAGTGACAACGTGCGCATCCGCCAGGAAGGTGCGAGGACCAGTGGCTATGGTGGGCATGGCCCAACCCCCAGGTCCTCCTCTGTCCCCGCCCATACTGAGCCGCCTTTTTCCCCAGGAAGGACATACACTCTCATCTACCGGAGGGTCCTGGCGGAAGATGCAGGAGAGATCAAATTTGTAGCTGAAAATGCAGAATCTCGAGCCCAGCTCCGAGTGAAGGGTGAGGTGGGGGCTGAGGGGAGGGCGAGGCTGGACAGTGTGCATGTGTGGCCAGCTGGCTCAGCACAGGCCCGGACACCCCAAGCCCGCTCTCAGGACCAGGACAGCAGGGACTCACGAGGAGGGAAGGGGTTGTCACCTCCTTGGCAGGAAGATAGAGGCCAGAGAAGCGGCCATGAGGGGCTTCTCCCTTCCTTAAAACCGAGATCCTGGTGAATCCTCCATCTGGCTGCAGCATGTGCTGCAGAGGCCAGGCATGAGGCCCTGTGGGGCGGGGGGGAGGGGGAGGGTTGTCGGGCTCGGGGAGTTCTACCTGGTGGCAGTGAGGAGGAGGATCAGGGGATCAGGGAGAGTGGTGCTGGGGCAGCAGGGAGGGAGGCTCTGCAGACAGGTGGAGTGGGGACGGGCCAGTAGGGCTAAGTCAGAGGTGTGCGGGGAGGGGACATGAGTTCCTGGGACTGGGCTAGGGTATGTGGTTATGGTTCCAAAGTGGGGGCTTGGGGAGAGGACTGCAGGGGGTGGGACTACATGGGGCAGAGCCTACCCTGCTCTTGGTGGTCCAGGACAGCGGGCAGGACCTGGGTGGTGGAAGTGGGAGTGTGGGATATGGAAGGGCAGGGTAGGCAGAGGCGGGCACACTCCCCTTGCTGGTGGTCTGCTCTGTGGAGCAGGTCGTAGCACAGCTCCAAGGGGGATACTCAGCCTAAACACCTGCTGTCCCCTGGCGGGCAGACATGGGCTGTTGGGGCCTAGTGGGGTCCGGGCCCTTGGTTGCCCAAAACACCCAGTGCCTTGTCGGAGCCTGGGCCTGGGAGCCTGGAGCACCGTCTCTGATCCACCCCGTGCCCCAACTATGCTCACAGAGCTGCCAGTGACCCTCGTGCGCCCTCTGCGGGACAAGATTGCCATGGAGAAGCACCGCGGTGTGTTGGAGTGTCAGGTGTCCCGGGCCAGCGCCCAGGTGCGGTGGTTCAAGGGCAGTCAGGAGCTGTGGCCCGGGCCCAAGTACGAGCTGGTCAGTGATGGCCTCTACCGCAAGCTGATCATCAGTGACGTCCAGGCAGAGGACGAGGACACCTACACCTGCGACGCCGGCGATGTCAAGACTAGTGCACAGTTCTTTGTGGAAGGTGCAGGCAGGGAGGGCAGCTCTGCAGGTTGCTTTTGTTGGGGGGAGTCTCCTAGGTCCATGGTTTGCCCTACACTCCTGGAGACGCTGGGTCTGGGTAGCTCAGGAGGATGCTAACATGCATCTAGTGGGGCAGGGGCTTGTTCCCAGGAAGGAACCCTGCCAGAGGGGCAACTTGTCCTATCCATGGGATCCGCCAGCAACTGCTCCTCCCCAACAGAGCAATCCATCACCATTGTGCGGGGTCTGCAGGACGTGACGGTGATGGAGCCTGCTCCTGCCTGGTTTGAGTGTGAGACCTCCATCCCCTCAGTGCGGCCACCTAAGTGGCTCCTGGGGAAGACAGTGTTGCAGGCTGGGGGGAACGTGGGCCTGGAGCAGGAGGGCACAGTGCACCGGCTGATGCTGCGGCGGACCTGCTCCACTATGACCGGGCCCGTGCACTTCACCATCGGCAAGTCTCGCTCCTCTGCCCGCCTGGTGGTCTCAGGTGAGCACTCCCGCCCCGGTGGGTGGACGCGAGGCAGAGGCATAAAAGGACAAGGCTGTGGGTGGGTACAGGGCAGGGTCATGGGAGGAGAAGGCTCAGTGCAGTGACGGGACACAGTTCAGGGCCACAGATGGGTATCACTCATGGCCAGGGGAGGACACAGTTCAGGGCCACAGAGGATACAGCTCAGGGCCAGGGGAAGGCACAGTTCAGGGAACAGTGGACACGGCTCAGGGCCAGGGGAGGACATAGTTCAGGGCCATAGGTGAGCAGGCTCAGGGCTTGGCAGACAGGACAGGGTGATTGGTTCCTGTGGCCCCGTGGCCCAGCCTGTCTCCACTCCCTGCAGACATCCCCGTAGTCCTCACACGGCCGTTGGAGCCCAAGACAGGGCGTGAGCTGCAGTCAGTGGTCCTGTCCTGCGACTTCCGGCCAGCCCCCAAGGCTGTGCAGTGGTACAAGGATGACACACCCCTGTCTGCCTCTGAGAAGTTTAAGATGAGCCTGGAGGGTCAGATGGCCGAACTGCGCATCCTCCGGCTCATGCCTGCCGATGCTGGTGTCTACCGGTGCCAGGCGGGCAGCGCCCACAGCAGTACTGAGGTCACTGTGGAAGGTGGGGCATGAGGGACACGGGGCTACTGAGAGGGTTTTGGGGAGGGGTTGCCTGGTGATGTGGGCACTGAGGCCCGGTGTGTCCCTTGCAGCGCGGGAGGTGACAGTGACAGGGCTGCTGCAGGATGCAGAGGCCATGGAGGAGGGCCGGGCCAGCTTCTCCTGTGAGCTGTCCCATGAGGACGAGGAGGTCGAGTGGTCGCTCAACGGGATGCCCCTGTACAACGACAGCTTCCATGAGATCTCGCACAGGGGCCGGTGCCACACGCTGGTACTGAAGAGCGTCCGGCGTGCTGATGCAGGCACAGTATGCGCCTCCTCCCCCAAGGTGTCAACCTCTGCCCACCTGGAGGTCCGAGGTGAGCCATCCCACCAGTCTTCGGGGCTCCCCACTAGGGATGGGACAGGTGCTGGGCTCCCCTCACCCTCCTACCCCTCCTGCAGTGAAGCCGGTGGTGTTCTTGAAGGGGCTAGATGACCTGTCCGCAGAGGAGCATGGCACCCTGGCCCTGCAGTGTGAGGTCTCTGACCCCGAGGCCCATGTGGTGTGGCGCAAAGATGGCGTGCAGCTGGGCCCCAGCGACAAGTATGACTTCCTGCACACGGCGGGCACGCGGGGGCTCGTGGTGCATGACCTGAGCCCTGAGGACGCCGGCCTGTACACCTGCCACGTGGGCTCCGAGGAGACCCAGGCCCGGGTCAGCGTGCACGGTGTGTGGCTGTGGGCATGGCGGAGCTCGGAGAAGGGAGGTGTGCTGGATGGGCATGGATGTGGGGCTGGCCACTACCTGGGTGGCCCACATCATTCTCTGAGATTGAAGGGCTGCTCTGCTGAGCCGGGGAGGTCAGGGGAGCCTTCTAGAGGAGCCATGACTTGACATGGTCCTGTGAGGCCTGGGTGCAGGCAGGTGGACCTGGGGACTATGGGTCCCGGAGCCAGGGTTGGAGGCTGTGCTGTCCCTGCCTGGTGGTCCCGACGTAGCCCGGGGATGTTGCCCTGTACCAAGGGATGTGTCTGCACAGAAGCCACCAGGCCAGTGTGGGACACCAATGGGGATGGCCAGGGAGAAGCCGAGATGCCAGGCAGGGGCTGTGAGTAGGCCATGTCTCTGTCCTTCATGGGGCCCCAGCAAGGCCCCAGGGCCACTGGGCTGACAGGGTAGAGCCATCCCTGAATCCAGCCCTGCAGCACTGGGGGTGTGCGTGCCCTGGAGTCTGTCCTGTTTTTCAGGGGCAGTTCCCTCAACTGCAGGGTGGCTACCTGGCCCCCTGTGTGTGTATGCACAGTCCCAGTGGCATCCTGGTGTGGGTGACAGGCGGCGTAACCAGCCTGTTTGCTGGTCCTTGACAGTCTTGTAACGAGATGGGGAAGGGGCAGGAGGCGTGGCGAGTTTGTCCTGGAGCTGGGACTATGGGGTCCTGTGCCTCCTCTCCTCCCTGTGACGACCATGGGTCCTCCCTCTCCCTGCTACCCTGATTGGAGCTCAGAATTGTTGGTTATGCAAATGCCAGGGGACAGCCAGCTCCAGCAGAGGGGTGTCTACTCATTGGCTGGTGCAACGTGGCACCCTGCCCCCACAGGGCCTGGCCTCTCCCAGGGTCTGACACCTCCCAGGGTTTGGTCCCTGTGGGGTCTGGTTCCTCTAAGGGATCCAGCTCCTCCTGGGGTCTGGTCCCTGTGGGCTCTGATCCCTCCCAGGGTCTGGCCCTTCCTATGTCTGGCCCAGGGCAGTGCTGTCCTCTTGCCTGGCCTGACAGTCTCCGATGGCCCGCAGATCTGCACGTGGGCATCACCAAGAGGCTGAAGACAGTGGAGGTGCTGGAGGGGGAGAGCTGCAGCTTTGAGTGCGTCCTGTCCCATGAGAGTGCCAGCGACCCAGCCATGTGGACAGTCGGTGGGAAGACGGTGGGCAGCTCCAGCCGCTTCCAGGCCACACGTCAGGGCCGAAAATACATCCTAGTGGTCCGGGAGGCTGCGCCGAGTGATGCTGGGGAGGTGGTCTTCTCTGTGCGGAGCCTCACCTCCAAGGCCTCACTCATTGTCAAAGGTGGGCAGGGCCTGCCGGACGGGGGCTTATCACCTGGGCTGAGGAGTGGGGACCCTGGGCCTGTCCCCAGGAGTCCAGGAGTTGGGCCCCACGGGCTGCAGAAGCCGGTGGGGGTGCTTTTGGGGCCTGCCTCCCCCAGCTGCTGCAGAGCACCCCTTCTAGGAGCCACAGGGCCTGAGGCACCTGCTGGATGCTGGGGGCAGTTCTCATGTGGAAGTGGGGTTGCATTCTTCTCTGAGCTCTGATATAGGCCTGGATTCTTTTCCAATCTGTGTTCTGAGTGCCCTGAGCACTTGGTAGCTCCCAGAGCTGTGGCTCACAGGGCCAGTCTGGCAGCACTGGCCTGAGGGCCCAGCCACCTGCTCTGCTGACATCACCACCAGCGCCCGAGTTCGCGCCCCTGACGAGCACACTTGGTGCAGTTTGGCGGGGCACGCTCAGAGGATGCCAGCGTGGGCCTGAAAGATGCCAGAGGATAAAATTCTGTAGTTGTTGATCTTCCTGCCTCCTGAGTCCCACCCTGGTGACAGTGGGGACACTAACATTCCAGGACTCTGAAGCTCCTGAGGGCCGAGGTCCCAGAGTTTGGGGGTTGCAGGTTCTGTTGTCTTGGTCACCAGAGAATCAGTGTTCTCAAACACTTGTCCTTGCCCCAATCCTGGTCATGGTGAAGGTGGTAGGGTTTTGGCTGGGTCTGTGCGTAGAGCTATGGCTGTAGCCAGGATGGTGGCTGGGGCCGTGACTGCAGTCATCTGTGGCTGGTTCCGTGGCCCTGGCTGTGCTTCAAGGGCAGCTGTCTTTGCTCTCTTCAGAGAGGCCGGCAACCATCATGAAGCCCCTGGAAGACCAGCGGGTGGCGCCAGGGGAGGACGTGGAGCTGCGCTGTGAGCTGTCACGGGCGGGCACGCCTGTGCGCTGGCTGAAGGATGGGAAGGCCATCCGCAAGAGCCAGAAGTACGATGTGGTCTGTGAGGGCACGATGGCTGTGTTGGTCATCCGCGGGGCCTCGCTCAAGGACGTGGGCGAGTACACGTGTGAGGTGGAGGCTTCCAAGAGCACAGCCAGCCTCTGTGTGGAAGGTAAATGCTGCAGGAGCCCCACGCGTGGCCCTGGAGTGGCGTCTCTACCCTAGCGGGGCACAGGGCCACCCCTGGAGCCTGAGCTCCTCTGTCCCAGGTGAAAGGGCTCACCCAGGTCCCAGAGCTTCCCCAGCCAGGCCTGGAAGATAACAGGGCCGGCCTGGGGTCTGTGCAGGCCTAATGCCCCACCTATTCTGCCTCCGTCTCCCTGCCCCAGAAAAAGCAAACTGCTTCACAGAGGAGCTGACCAACCTGCAGGTGGAGGAGAAAGGCACAGCTGTATTCACGTGCAAGACGGAGCACCCCGCGGCCACAGTGACCTGGCGCAAGGGCCTCTTGGAGCTACGGGCCTCAAGGAAGCACCAGCCCAGCCAGGACGGCCTGGCCCTGCAGCTCACCATCAGTGCCCTGGAGAAGGCAGACAGCGACATCTATACCTGCGACATCGGCCAAGCCCAGTCTCAGGCCCAGCTCCTCGTGCAAGGTGAGGTGCCCAAGTGTGCTCGGGTCTAGGCTTTGAACGGCACTGGAGACTTGGAGGTGGAGAGGCCCAGCCTCAGTTTCTTATCATAAGGGTAGAGGGATGCACCCTGGGTGGTCACTGAGGCTCCCCAGCATGGCTGTGAATGAGCTGCTGGTGCTCACTTACTTGTGTGTTGATTTGGTCACTGTGTATTTCTCCCACATGCCCTGTGTGCCTGGCCCCCATGCGTGAGCTCAGTGTGTATCTGTACATACAACGTGTCACCCTTATCCCAGAGGGACAGCCTGACTCAGCTGTGCCAGGCAGCCTCAGGTGCTCCCAGGGAAGAACTGATGGTCATTAGGGTTGTCATTGAGAGTTACAGTGGCATTTTAGTCTTTTTCTTGTTTACAACAGAATACCTGAAACTGGGTAATTTATAAAGGAAATAAAGTTACTTCTTACAGCTCTGGAGGCTCAAGGTCAAGGGGCCACATCTGGTGAGGGCCCTCTTGCTGGCAGGGACTCTCTGCCGAGTCCCCAGGGGGTGGCACAGGGCATCTCATGGGGAGGGGGCTGAGTGTGCTAACTCAGGCCTCTCTTCATCTTCTTTTAAAGCCACCACTCACATTAAAGCACTTTAACACATTAACCTGTTAACCCACTGATCCATGAATGGATTAATCCATTCCCACCTTGGACCCAATCCCCTCTTAAAGGCTCCACCTCTTAATATTACCACATTGGGATTAAGTTTCAACATGAGTTTCCAGGGGGACATTCAGATCATAGCAGGTGGCTGTTTGATCTTACTGTTTGGCTCCACATTTGAGTGGCAGGCAGAGTGACAGCTGTCATTCTCCCCACTCTGTAGATAAGAAAACTGAAGCTTTAGTGGGTCCATGGCCAGGGCAAGGTCATCAGGCACATTGGGATCAGAGCAGGCGAGGCCCAGCCCCTTCACCACAGCCTTCACTTGGCTCTGAAGTCCCGGGCTGGTGTGTCCAGAGCTGAGTTTGCAGGGGGTCCCTACTGGGGTCTGACCACAGGGTGTTCACAGGGTTCAGTATTTGAAAGGCCCCAGTTGTGATCATGAGAAGTAATGTAAAGCAGGAATCATCACTGATTTTTCCTCTCCAATGGATTTGGTGACCCTGGTGAAAGCATTCTGTTAACACAGTAAAGCCCCATGATCTAATAAAGTTGGTACCCGTAGTTAATTTTTTTTAAAAGCCATCAAGAGTGAGAGTCATAAGATAACAAAAGATGCTCTTTAAAAGTTTAACATGGCCGGGCTCAGTGGCTCACGCCTGTAATCCCAGCACTTTGGGAGGCTGAGGCAGGTGGATCACGAGGTCAGGAGTTCTAGACCAGCCTGGCCAACATGGTGAAACCCCATCTCTACTAAAAATACAAAAATTAGCCAGGCATGGTAGCACGTGCCTGTAATCTCAGCTACTCAGGAGGCTGAGGCAGGAGTGTTGCTTGAACCCGGGAGGCAGAGGTTGCAGTGAGCCAAGATCGTGCCACTGCACTCCAGCCTGGGAGACAGAGTGAGACTCCATCTCTAAAAAAATAAAATAAAATAAAAGTTTAACATATGAGGATGTTGGCTGGCCTGGTCAGGGGCCCAAGCCATTTCCTTGTGTGCCATCCACTGATGAGAGCTCTTCATCCATGTGGATTGCCCAGGTTGGGGTTGCCTTCTTTGAGGTGGAGCTATGCCTGCAGGACACTCATGCATGCAGAAGGAATCTGAATGCAGGACCTGTCTCGATATTCGTAAACGCTCATCTTTTACCATCCCTAATTCAGCAGCCAAAAAACCTCGTTTCTAGGAATTCACATTTCTTATCTTCCAAGCATTTGATTTCAAGTTCAGCGTAACTATAGCCATTTTTTTTCACACTCCTCTTTCATCTGTTACTACAAGAGTTAATTTCATGGCACAATTGTAATGATACACACAGCTGTGTATGCAGGTTTGGGAGCCAACCGCTCCTGGGAGCACAGCTTGGATAGGGGGCAGAAGTGTGCTCTCCTGGGTTCTCAGCAGGCTGCAGACTCGCCCAGCAAGCCTCGCAGAAGGACCTCCAAGGTGCAGAGAGGTGGACTCGGGGCTCCGAGTGGCCCTCAAACAAGTATCTAGACCGTTCAAACTCTGACCCACTTACTGTTTTCGGAGTTCTGTCCCTGCAAACTTGTTAAAACACAGACATCTTGCTCTGTCCTGGGGAGTGTCTGTCCTGGGGAGCACTGCTGGCTGAGCCTGCCCAGGACGCTGTGCCTTTGCAGGCCGGAGAGTGCACATCATCGAGGACCTGGAGGACGTGGATGTGCAGGAGGGCTCCTCGGCCACCTTCCGTTGCCGGATCTCCCCGGCCAACTACGAGCCTGTGCACTGGTTCCTGGATAAGACACCCCTGCATGCCAACGAGCTCAATGAGATCGAGGCCCAGCCTGGGGGCTACCACGTGCTGACCCTGCGGCAGCTGGCGCTCAAGGACTCGGGCACCATCTACTTCGAGGCGGGTGACCAGAGGGCCTCAGCCGCCCTGCGGGTCACTGGTGGGTCACATGCTCACGTTGCACATGTTGCTCAGAGCTGCAGACAGGTGGAGAGGCAGATGGCAGCTCAGCCATGTGCCTAGTATCCCTGGGCACACAGAGAAAGCACCCTTGGCTGACTGTGGGGTGGGGGCTCGGAAGGCTGAATTGGGCTTTCAGAATGAGTGCTTCTGCATGGTTTGCAGAACTGTTCTTGGTGTGCACTGGCTAGGCTGCATCCCCACTGGGGCAGGAGCCGCACAGAGCCTTCCCTGTTCCCTCCACAGCCTGTTGCGTGGCCCCAGCCTGAGGGTGACTGGTGGGTGCTGAGCCAGGGTGTTGCCTGGTCCGCAGTGAGACCCAGGGTTTGTCCCTGTTGGCCCCTCCAGCAGCAGCACGACAGGATCCCACATGCTCCTGCTTCTCTCTCTGTCCCCCAGGTAAGCCAAGTGTCTTCTCCCGGGAGCTCACAGATGCCACCATCACAGAGGGTGAGGACTTGACCCTGGTGTGCGAGACCAGTGCCTGCGACAGCCCTGTGTGCTGGACCAAGGATGGGAAGACCCTGCGGGGATCTGCCCGGTATCAGCTGAGCCACGAGGGCCACCGAGCCCAGTTGCTCATCACTGGGGCCACCCTGCAGGACAGCGGACGCTACAAGTGTGAGACTGGGGGCGCCTGCAGCAGCTCCATTGTCAGGGTGCACGGTGAGCCCCAGCAGCCCCAAAGCCTAGCCACAGGCCAGGTGCCTACAGCTCTCTTCTCAGGCAGCACCGTCTTCAGGGCAGGGCATGTGCGCCCACAAGGAGCCCAAGGTGGGAGGACCCAGGCTCCTGTGCATCCTTTATGGGGTGCCCACAGCTCCCCGTGTCCTTCCTGGCTCTCCCTGGCACCTCATCCACCCTGCTTGGCTTCCGCTCTGGCCTCTGCCACCCGCAGGAGCCGCCCTGCAGAGCTGTCTCCTCAGCGTCCCTGAAGGGCTGTCCCTCTGTGCATGCCTGTGTCCCTGACCTCCCATCTTAGGAGGCGCCAACCACAGTGGCTTAGGGCCCACCGTGACCTCATTTGACCTTACTTCCCTCATCACTACCACGCTTTGAGGTCTGGGCTAGGGCCTCCAACTGTGAATTTGGGGGCACAGGTCCCTGACACCCCACCCTTCTGTTCTCCTGCTTGGTTCATCCTTTCTATCCCTCACCCTCAGAGCTGCCCCTTTCCAGAAGTCTCGAGGTCCTTGCCACAGGCCCCAAAGGAGAAGGGGGACCCTGCAGCTGATGTCCCCAGCCCTCCACCACCTATAGGGGACCCCTAGTGGACCAGTCGGGGGAGGGCAAGCTGAGCCTGTGCCTGTCTGCAGCCCGGCCAGTGCGGTTCCAGGAGGCCCTGAAGGACCTGGAGGTGCGGGAGGGTGGTGCTGCCACACTGCGCTGTGTGCTGTCATCTGTGGCTGCGCCCGTGGAATGGCGCTGTGGAGACAATGTCCTGAGGCCAGGTGACAAATACAGCCTACGCCAGGAAGGTGCTGTGTTGGAGCTGGTGGTCCGCAACCTCCGGCCGCAGGACAGCGGGCGGTACTCATGCTCCTTCGGGGACCAGACTACTTCTGCCACCCTCACGGTGACTGGTAAGCATCTCTGTTCACCCTGCCCATGTGGCCCAAAGATGCCACTTCCTCCAATGCAGGGGAGCAAAGACGATGTTCTCTGTGTCTGACCTTCCTGCAGCCCTGCCTGCCCAGTTCATTGGGAAACTGAGAAACAAGGAGGCCACAGAAGGGGCCACAGCCACGCTGCGGTGTGAGCTGAGCAAGGCGGCCCCCGTGGAGTGGAGAAAGGGGTCTGAGACCATCAGAGATGGGGACAGATACTGCCTGAGGCAGGACGGGGCCATGTGTGAGCTGCAGATTCGTGGCCTGGCCATGGTGGATGCTGGGGAGTACTCATGTGTGTGTGGAGAGGAAAGGACCTCAGCCTCACTCACTATCAGGGGTAAGACCCTGTGTCCAGAGTCGTGGCCGGTGTCCAGTTCTTTACCTCTGCTGTCAGTTGCACCAATTCCAGTCTCCCCCAACTGTGCCATGCCCTTCCCAGCACATCACGGAATCCCTTCCAGCTTTCTGGACTATCGAAGGAACCAGGAGAACCTGGCATTTGCAGCCAGACTCCCACCCTCGAGGCACCCTGGGACCTGTCCTGTGGGAGTCTGTCTTATCCTCCATCTCGCCATTGCCTGTCCCCCTGTGCTTCCCAGAGTCTGATCTCCTGCATGTCTGTCTGTCCATCCCTCCCCAGCCATGCCTGCCCACTTCATAGGAAGACTGAGACACCAAGAGAGCACAGAAGGAGCCACAGCCACACTGCGGTGTGAGCTGAGCAAGGTGGCCCCCGTGGAGTGGAGGAAGGGCCGTGAGAGCCTCAGAGATGGGGACAGACACAGACTGAGGCAGGATGGGGCTGTGTGTGAGCTGCAGATCTGTGGCCTGGCCGTAGCAGATGCTGGGGAGTACTCCTGTGTGTGTGGGGAGGAGAGGACCTCTGCCACTCTCACCGTGAAGGGTAATGACTGCCTCTGGCCACGTGCATGGGTGGCTGTGTCCGAGTGGGTATGCGCATTCCTGCCCTGTGCCCATGTCTGCGCTATGGCCTTCCCTGTTTGTGCATGGTGTTCCTGAATCATTCCTTCAGTAGGGATTCCTCACACCTGCTGCGTGTTACCCGTCTTAGGAGCAGTAAGACAGCAGAGAAGAGAGGGCTGCTTGAGCCCTGTGGGGTTGTAGGCAGAGACAGAGGATATGGGGAGAACCAAATCATTACAAAAGTGAGATCATAGATCTTCTCCAGGGTTAACACCAGGAAGGCAGGAAGGCAATCAGGAGGAGCCCCAGAAATGGAACACAGAAAGGAGTGGGGAGATGGCACGTGGGCTGGAGTGCACAGCCAGGGAGGGGAGGGTCCATTGTGAGGAGGAGAGAGGTAGGGTGACTGTGGGGAGGAGGTGATGGGGTGACTGTGGGGAGCAGGTGATGGGGTGACTGTGGGGAGCAGGTGATGGGGTGACTGTGGGGAGGAGGTGATGGGGGGACTGTGGGGAGGAGGTGATGGGGGTGACTGTGGGGAGGAGGTGATGGGGGTGACTGTGGGGAGGAGGTGATGGGGTGACTGTGGGGAGGAGGTGATGGGGGTGACTGTGGGGAGGAGGTGATGGGGTGACTGGGGAGGAGGTGATGGGGTGACTGTGGGGAGGAGGTGATGGGGGTGACTGTGGGGAGGAGCAGCCACAGTGACTCTTCATGTGTCAGCCAAGCAGAGCAGCTGTGTGGAGTGGAGGAAGGGGCCCAAGACGATCCAAGATGGGGGCTTTGACCAGGACAGGACATCCGGAGCCCTGTGGCCTGCCTGCAGTGGATCTAGGGTGTCGTCATGTGTGGGGGGTAGGAGTGGATCTCAGCCATGGCTGGGTGCCCTAGGGACATGAGGCTGCAGAACTCACCCTGGGCCCTGAACCTCTCAGTCACAGCAAGGAGAGGATTCCAGCCTCAAGCCACCAGTGTTAGCAGAAGGGACAGAACCCTGCAGGCCTGGCCTCTTGTGTCTGTGGAGCTGGGACCCATGGCCCGGTGTGGCTGGTGGTGTGGTGCGACGTGTGCAGGTGCTCGGGGCCTTGGCCTGGCTTGATTCTGTCAGGGAAAGCACATGGGATAAAGCCGGCCCGGGTGGAGGGCCCGAGCACCTTAGAGGGAATGCAGGGAAGGACTCTCCCAAGCTCGAGGACTTTCTTGCCCAGGACTCTGGTGGGCTCCCGTCACACCGCAAGGAGGGATCCCTCAGGCCAGTGAAGGGGCAGGTTCTGGGGGCCAGGCATGGCTGTCTGGATGCCAGTGCCTCCTCAGATGGGTGGCTGAAGAGCAGATGACCAGAGTGGACCCTTGCCGGCTGCCTGAGGCAGTTGCTTCCAGAAGTGGGCGAGTTCCAGGGAAGCTTCAGGTGGTGGGTGCCCTGCTGGACCCCCTCTTGTGCCTCCTTAGAGGGCACCCTTGCATGCTGGAAGTTTCCACTGGACCCCGAAGCCCCAAGGATGCTCTGAGCTGCAGTTCCCTGGGGGCGTCCAGGGGATGCAGCTGGGCACTCTGAGGCTCCAGTCTCCATCTGGTGGGCTGGGAAGCCACCCAGCTTCAGTGCACAGGAGACAGTGGCCCTCGTCTGTCCCTGTGGTCCATGGCTATCTCCTGCATGCAGGGCATGTACAGGTGGACCGTTCCTTCATGTATTCGTTTGGTCATTTCTTATCTGCTGGACCCATGCCCCAAGGCACCTGTTGCGTGGGGTTCTTGCTTGCATCATGAACACAGGGTGACGGTCAAGGTGGAGGGTGGCACCCTCCTTTCTCCCAGCAGCAGGCTCCTTATTCCCTGTCTGCCCTGGGCTCTGGCCACAGGAGCAGCAGGAACTGATGAGAAGCAGGAGCCTGGATGATTTTGTGGGAGATTTTTAGGCAGCTGATTTTGTGTCTTTTTTCCTCCAGCTATTCATCAAGATCATGAGGCTGGGCACGGTGGCTCACACCTGTAATCCCAGCACTTTAGGAGGCCGAGGCAGGAGGATCATTTGAGCTCAAGAGTTCCAGGCCAACCTGGGCAACCCAGGGAGACCCTATTTCTACAAAAAATATGAAAATTAGCTGGTTGTGGTGGTGCACACCTGTGGTCCCAGCTACTCAGGAGGCTGAGGTGGGAGGATTGGTTGAGGCCACAAGTTTGAGGCTGCAGTGAGCTGTGATGGCACCACTGCACTCCAGCCTAGGCAACACTGAGACCCTGTCTGAAAAAGAAGAAAAAAATTACGAAGGAGCTATAAAATAGGGAACCACAGAATGGGGCCTGGGCCACAGTATAGTGTAACTGAGCCACCAGGCTGGTCTTGGGCCCTTGAGCATGATGACAGATTCAGTCTGAGCCAGGATGGGCTGCAGAAGACCTTGGGGATGGGGAGATCCTGTTTGGTTCTGTCTCTTCCTCCCCATGTCATGGGTCTTGTGGCCACTGCATGTGTCTGCCATCATCTTGGGGTCCCTGCTAGGATTCCAGCTCCTCTGTGTCCTGGGCGGCTTTCCCCTGCGTGTCCGTGGCCAATCTGTTCTCTGCTCCCAGGGCACTGTTTCACGTCCACGTGTCCATGCTTTAATTCCTAGTTTCCTCCATAGTTGGAGTGTGTCCTTGCTGAGTGTCCCAAGGTGTCTCCAGAGGGCCTCATGGTCTTTGTGTCCTCTCCAGCCCTACAAGCCAGGTTCATAGAAAGTATGAGGCCTGAGGACACCTCAGAAGGGGCCACACCGTGATGCTAACGGGCTGGACCGTGGGAAGCCGCAGTGCACACCTTGTACTCAGCACACCCCAGGAGTGGCCCGTGTTCAGATGGCTTCCCTGTCTTCTCTGTGTTGTCCATGTCCTGTCTCTTCTGTGGGCTCAGAGGGTGTGATTGTGGCCATCTCTTTCTGATACCCCAGCCCTGCTGGCCAAGTTCACAGAGGGTCTGAGGAATGAAGAGGCTGTGGAAGGGGCCACAGCCATGTTGTGGTGTGAACTGAGCAAAGTGGCCCCTGTGGAGTGAAGGAAGGGGCCCAAGAACCTCAGAGATGGGGACAGATACATCCTGAGGCAGGAGGGGACCAGGTGTGAGCTGCAAATCTGTGGCCTGGCCATGGCGGATGCCGGGGAGTACTTGTGTGTGTGTGGGCAGGAGAGGACCTCAGCCACGCTCACCATCAGGGGTAAAGATCATGTGTGGCCTTGTGGACCCGTGGCTTGGTATCTACATGTCACCATGTCATTCTCATCTTCCAATGTGGCACAGCCCCTGTGGCAATCCTGGGGTTGTCTCTTCTCCAAGTGAGGTCCTCCGGTTGTCTCCCACCTACCCTTCTTGTCCAGGGGGTGTCCTCATGCTCATGCTGATCCCTTTGTGTTCTCTGTTCTTCCCAGGCCATTTGCTTCCTCCTCATGTGAATGTTTATTTGCTTCTTCACGTGTGGTCCTTTGGTGGTTTGTGTGGCTCCTTGTGGGTGTCCATGTCCCGTCCACAGAGTCTTCCAGACAGTCTGATGATCTCAGCGACTGCTTGGTCCTTCCCAGCTCTGCCTGCCAGGTTCATAGAAGATGTGAAAAACCAGGAGGCCAGAGAAGGGACCACAGTCATGCTGCAGTGTGAGCTGAACAATGCAGCCCCTGTGGAGTGGAGGAAGGGGTTTGAGACCCTGAGAGATGGGGACAGATACAGCCTGAGGCAGGATGGGACCAAATGTGAACTGCAGATTCGTGGCCTGTCCATGGTAGACACTGGGGAGTACTCGTGTGTGTGTGGGCAGGAGAGGACCTCGGCCATGCTCACTGTCAGGGGTAAAGGCCACATGTGGCCAAGGAGAGCCATATTCTGGTGTCCATGTATTGATGTCATGCCGTCTGTCTGTACTCACACCATGTGCTCTCCCTGCATCTGCACCACCCTGTTCCCATCACTCTGCAGGGTCTCCTCCAGCCTCCAGAGCTGTTGTGGGAACCAGGAGAAACCAGCCTTGCAGCCAGCTTCCACCCCATGTGCCTACAAGGATGGGCTCCATCATGTTGTCCTGTTGGCTTCTGTACCTTGCCCTTCACGCTGTCCTGTCCTTCCCCCCAGAGTGCTCCAGAGGCTCTCATGGTCCTTGTGTGTGTCTGACATACTCTGGCTCTGGCAGCCGGAGTTACATAAAGTGTGAGGACTCAGGAGGCCATGGAAGGAGTCACAGCTACAGTGCTGACATGCTGGAGCATGGGAAGCCCCAGTCCACAGCCTGTGCTCAGCACACCCCACATGTGGCCTGTGTCCAAATGGGTTCTGTGTCTTCTCTTTGCCATCCATGTTCTGTATCTTCCATGTGCTCAGAGAGCAAGATTGTGTTCATATATTCTGATCCTCCTCCAGCGCTACCCATCAAGTTCACAGAGGGTCTGAGGAACGAAGAGGCCACAGAAGGGGCAACGGCCACACTGCGGTGTGAGCTGAGCAAGGTGGCCCCTGTGGAGTGGTGGAAGGGGCATGAGACCCTCCGAGATGGAGACAGACATAGCCTGATGCAGGACGGGGCCAGGTGTGAGCTGCAGATCCGCGGCCTGGTGGCAGAGGATGCTGGGGAGTACCTGTGCATGTGCGGGAAGGAGAGGACCTCAGCCATGCTCACCGTCAGGGGTAAAGGCCACACGCGGCCAAGCAGCGCCATGCTCTGGTGTCCACATGTTGACTTGACGCCATCTGTCTCTGCCCATGCTGCGTTCTCTCCCCATGTCTGTGCCTGCCTGTGTAACTGCACAAGCTTCTTCCAGCCTCCAGGGCTGTTGTAGGAAGCAGGAGGAAGCAGCCTCTCTAGCCGGCTCCCACTGTGTGCCTCTGAAGACTGTCAACATTGTCACGTTGGATTCTGTGTCTTCCATCCTGTCACATTCTGTCCCCTGATGTTCTTCATGTGTTTCTGACCCTCTCTGGGCCTGGTGCCAGAGATTCCTATAAAGGCTGAGATGTGAGGAGGCCACAGGAGGGGCCGTGGCCATGTGCTGTAAAGCCTGTACTAAGAGAAGTCCCAGTCCACAGCCTGTGCTCAGCACACCCCCATGCAGCCTGTGCCTAGTTGGGTTCTGTGTCTTGTCTGTGCCATCCATGTCATTCCTATCTCTTCCATGTGCTCAGAGAATATGATTATATCTGTGTCTTTTGATCTCTTCAGCCCTGCCTTCCAAGTTCATAGAGGGTCTGAGGAATGAAGAGGCCACAGAAGGGGCCACGGCCATACTGTGGTGTGAGCTGAGCAAGGTGGCCCCGGTGGAGTGGAGGAAGGGGCATGACTGCCTCAGAGATGGGGACAGACACAGCCTGAAGCAGGATGGGTCCAGGTGTGAGCTGCAGATCCGTGGCCTGGCTGTGGTGGATGCCGGCGAGTACTCGTGTGTGTGTGGGCAGGAGAGGACCTCAGCCATACTCACTGTCAGGGGTAAAGATCGTGTGTAGCTATGTGGACCATGGCTTAGTGTCTCCACATCTCTGTGTCACCACCTTCTGCCTTCGAATGTGGCATGGTTCTGTGGCAACCCCATGGTTGTCTGTCTTCTAACTGGGGTCCTCTGGGCATCTCCCGCCTCCCTTCTTATCCAGGAGGTATCCTCATGCTCATATCCTTTTGCTTGTGTGTTCTCTGTTCCTCTGGGGCCATTTGCCTCCTCCCCATGTGTACGTTTGTTTGCTCTTTCACTTGTGGTTCTTTGATGGTTTTGTGTGGCTCTTTGTGGGTGTCCATGTCTTGTCCACAGAGTCCTCCAGATGGTCTAATAATCTCAATGACTGCTTGGTCTTTCCCAGCCCTGCCTGCCAGATTCATAGAAGATGTGAAAAACCAGGAGGCTAGAGAAGGGGCCACAGCCGTGCTGCAGTGTGAGCTGAGCAAGGCGGATCCCGTGGAGTGGAGGAAGGGGTCTGAGACCCTGAGAGATGGGGACAGATACAGCCTGAGGCAGGACGGGACCAGATGTGAGCTGCAGATTCGTGGCCTGTCCGTGGCAGACACTGGGGAGTACTCGTGTGTGTGTGGGCAGGAGAGGACCTCGGCCACGCTCACCATCAGGGGTAAAGACCACATATGGCCACCTGAGTGATTCCTGTCTCCTCCCGCCTAACCCATATGTTCTGTGCTCTCCCAATGCTTGTTGATGTCATTGCCTCAAGACAATGCCTCAAGTGACTCATTCAGTCACTCCCCTGTGTGATACATCCCACAAATGCACATGGAACCCACTTGGATGACTTAATCTAGGGCCTGGGAATATGGACTTCAAGAGTGAATAGGGCAGGGACCCAAAGGAGAGCTCCACAGACAGACGTCAGGGTCCAGGAGAACTGTCTGAGGCCACTGGCATCTTGCTGGGGCTTGCACATGTGCGTGGGCTCTGGGGACCCAGGCCTAGAGGTGAGGGCCTGTGTTTCTGCTGATGGACATGCACAGTAGGGTTGAGGGCTCACTGAGGAGGTGGTCAGGCCAGGCTCCACTAAATCTGCTGAGAGTGTTTGAGTGGTTCTTGTGGTCATGCCAGGCTCCTGAAGGACTGCTGCCTTTGTCTGCTCGGCGGACACAGCAGAGCACTACGTCTGGGTAACTTCACAGCAGATACTTATTTTCTCAGACTTCTGGAGTCTGAAATTCCAAGATCAAGGAGTCACTCAGTTGGTTTGTCCTTAGGCCTCTTTTCTTGGCTTGTAGATGCTCTCTGGTCATATTGGATTGGGCCCACCCTAACAACCTCATTTTACCTTTCAAAGATCCTATTTCAATACTCTGACATTGTGAAGTGCTAGGAGTTAGGATTTCAACATACGGATTTGGGGAGGGGACTCAATTCAGACCATGACATTCTGCCCTCTGGCTTCCCACAATTAATTACCTTCTAACATGCAAAATACATTTGCTCGTTCCTAAGAGCCTGTAATCTTAACCCATTCCAGCATCAACTCAAAATCAGAATCTCATCTGAATGTCATCTAAGTCAAGCGTGAGGGAGGTGAAGTATGACTCATTCTGAGGCAAAATTCTTCTTCAGTTGTGAAGCATGAAACCAGACAAGTTTTGTGCTTCAAAAATTCAATGGTGGTGCAGGCATAGGATAGACGTTCCTGTTCAAAAGAGGGGAAGTTGGAAAGAAAAAATGGGTCATGGATCTTATGCAGGTCTGAACCTAGCAGAGCAAATTTCACTAGATTTTAAGGCTGGTGACTCAGTACAGTGGCTCACGTTTATAATCCTAGCACGTTGGGTGGCCGAGGCAGGAGAATTACGTGAGGCCAGGTATTCTAGACCAGTCTGGAAAATATAGCAAGACCCTTTTTCTAAAAAAAAAAAAAAAAAAAAAAAAGTATTAGATGTGGTGGTGCACACCTGGGGTTCCAGTTACTGGGGAGGCTGAGGCATGAAGATCACTTGAGCCTGGGAGTTTGAGGCTGCAGTGAGCTATAATTGTACTGCACTCCAGCCTGGGTGACAGTGAGACCCCATCTCTACTTTTTTTCTAAAAGCCTGAAAAATAATTCTCTTTGACTTAATTCCAGTCCTCCATGCCAACCAGAGTGTTGTCCCCAATCTCTCAGACCTGGGTAATATCTTATCCACTCATCCTTGGGTAACAACCTCTTCCCCCTCTGTTCTGGGAAGAGGTGGTCCGGATCCCTGGACCTCTAGTGGCAGTGACAGCCCTGCTGATGCCTTTGGGGCCATTCTTTTATTTTGAAGGATAAGACATGTTTGCAGCCATATAGTGATAATAGCTCATCCTGGTGAATCCCGGAAGTCTGATAGCCTTCCTTCATTTTATCCCACCTCAATCCAATTCACTCCAATCTGCTGGTATAAGATTATCAAAAACTGAGTTGGCCTCCCATGCAATTCATGGAGGTCCACACCATCAGACAAGAGGCTTTTCCAGATAACTGCATCTCTATTCCTGGCTTCTGTTGAGATGACTAATTGGATCCATAAATTGCACACCTGGTGCTTTAGCAAATAGTTGTCTAGCCACACCCTTCATGTTCTCTTCAGAACACAGTTTCTCATTTTTTACCATGTGGTTAGGCTGAAAAATTTCCAAAGCTTTAAGTATTGGTTCCTTTTTTATTTACAATTCCTTCTTCAATTTATTTCCCTCCTCTTGCACTTTACAATAAGCAGCAAAGAGAAAACATGTTGCACCTTCAACACTTTACTTAGAAATTTCCTCAATTAAACATGCAAAATTTTATTGTTTCTTAGTCCTACCTTCTACACACAACAACACAATTTGGACAAGTTCTTTGCCACATAATAACGAGGATCACCTTTCCTCCACTTTCCAATAACCTGTTCTTTATTTCCATCTAAGGTCTGACCAGAAGCATTTTTAATGTCCATCTTTACATGAACAGGTTGTTCACAGCAATCTAGATTTCCACTTCCACATTTTTAGATAATTGTTACAATGGCACCCTACTCCTGGTACCAATATTTCTGTTAGATTTCTGACTAGAAGTCTGAGGTGAAGTGTTATTAGGTTGACTTCCTCTGAGGCTTCTCTCCTTGGCTTGTTGATGCAGTCTTCTGTTTTTTCGCGTGGTCGCCCCTCAGTGTGTCTCTGTGTCCTAATATCCTCTTTTTATAAGGACACCAGTCATATTGGATTTGGGCACACCCTAACAACCTCATTTAACCTTAGTTACCATTTTAAAGGCCTTATCTTTAATACAGTCACGCTCTGAGGTTCCAGAGGTTAGGTTTGAACATATGAATTTAGGGGGACACAATCAGACCATAACAGGGGGTAACCAGGGTGGGGCTTGCTCCATTGTACTTTGTGAGCTCTCACTCTACCTAGAGTCAGGAAGCAAGAGAGGACAGCAGGTTGAAGAGTCAGAGGTGTGGTGTCGAAGCCATATCTGGAGTCTGTTGGGGGTTTTGGTGATTGAGCCAAGGCAATGTGTATCCAGTAAAGTCAGGACAGGAGCAGTGAGGTGGAGACAGCAGGTCCTTGTGTGGGCTGGTATGGTTGGCAGTGAGCCGAGGTATGCCCATGCATGAGTAGTGCTGGATGGAAGCCCTGCCTGGGATGGGTATCTCCTGTATGAGAATGGGGAAGCAGGTGTCAGGACAAGGAGGTGCCTCCTGTGAGACTGGAGAGAGAGAAGAGAGAGATGTGTCACATTATTGCATATGTGGAAGTTGGAGGAGCCTGTCTTGCTTCCTAGAACGATAGGACATGGGTAGGACAAGATGTCCTTTGAGAATAGATCCAGGATGGAGCCCATCTCCCAGACAATCTGCACCTCACAGGCAGAACACAGGAAGACCTCAGTCTCGCACAGTCTTTGGTCCACCTTATCCCATGTCCTCGAGATCTGCTTCTGTTTCCTTCCTGGATAATCAGGTTGTGTCCCTCAGATCCTCCAGTGGATTTGATGGCTTCTGTCCATGTGACCCTTCCTAGCCCTGCCTGCACGATTCACTCAAGATCTGAAGACCAAGGAGGCCTCAGAAGGGGCCACAGCTACACTGCAGTGTGAGCTGAGCAAGGTGGCCCCTGTGGAATGGAAGAAGGGTCCTGAGACCCTCAGAGATGGGGGCAGGTACAGCCTGAAGCAGGATGGGACGAAGTGTGAGCTGCAGATCCATGACCTGTCTGTGGCAGATGCTGGGGAATACTCATGCATATGTGGACAAGAGAGGACCTCGGTCACGCTCACCATCAGGGGTAAAGTCCATGTGTCCAGATCTGTGTTCTGGTGTCCAGTTGTTCACTTCCTGCCGTCAATCTCTGCCCATTGCATGGTCTCCCCCAGACTGCCACACTTTTCACATCATGCCACGCTATCCCTTCCAACTTCCTGGGCTGCTGAAGGAACCAGAAGAAGCTCATCTACATCCAGATTCCCACTCCTGTGATACTGTGGGCCCTGTCCTATTGGATTGTGTCTTTCTTTCATCTTGTCATGTCCTGTCTACCAGCGCTTTCCAAGGAGTTTAATGTTCTCTGTGTTTTCTGACTCTCTCTGGCCCTGCATGCCAGATTCATGTTATCTCTGAGACCTGAGGAGCCCACGAAGGGGCCATGACTGTGATGTTACCAGACTGAACAGAGGGAATCTACAGCCTGTGCTTGGCATACCCTGCATGTGGTCTGTGTCCAGTTGGGGTTTGTGTCTTCTCTGTGCCATCCATGTCCTGTCTTTTCCATGTGCTCAGTGTAATTGTGTCCATGTCTTTCTGATCCCTCCACCAGCCCTGCCCGCCAAGTTCACAGAGGGTCTGAGGAATGAAGAGACCATGGAAGGGGCCACAGCCACACTGCAATGTGAGCTGAGCAAGGCAGCCCCTGTGGAGTGGAGGAAAGGCCTCGAGGCTCTCAGAGATGGGGACAAATACAGCCTGAGACAAGAAGGGGCTGTGTGTGAGCTGCAGATTCATGGCCTTGCTATGGCAGATACCGGGGTGTACTCCTGCGTGTGTGGGCAGGAGAGGACCTCAGCTACACTCACTGTCAGGGGTAAAGATCCTGTGTGGCCATGTGGGCTTGTGGCTTGGTGTGTACACCTCTCTGTGTCACCACCTTCTGCCTCCAAATGTGGCACAGCTCCTGTGGAAACCCTGTGATTGTCTGTCCTCTAACTGGGACCCTCTAGGTTTCTCCTGCCTCCCCTTCTTATCAGGAGATGTCCTGCTCATGCATGTCCCTGTGTGTTCTCTGTGCCTCCTGGGCCATTTGCCTTCTCATTGTTTGTATATTGCTCATCTTGCTGTGGTCCTTTGGTGGCTTGTGTGGCTCGTTATTGGTGTCCATGTTCTGTCCAAAAAATCCTCCAGACAGTCTGATGATATCAGTGACTGTTTGGTACTTCTCAGCCCTGCCTGCCAGATTCATAGAGGATATGAGAAGTCAGAAGGCCACAGAAGGGACTACAGTCACACTGCAATGTAAGCTAGGAAAGGCGGCCCCCGTGGAGTGGAGAAAGGGGCCCAACACCCTCAGAGATGGGGACAGATACAGCCTGAAGCAGCATGGGACCAGGTGTCAGCTGCAGATTCATGGCCTGGTCATAGCAGATGCTGGAGAATACTCATGCATATGTGAGCAGGAGAGGACCTCGGCCACGCTCACTGTCAGGGGTAAAGACCACATGTGACCACCTGAATGACTTTTGTCTTCCCCAACTTAACCCACATGGTCTGTGCTCTCCCAGTGGCTCTCAATGTCGTTGACATTTTATTCAGTCACTCATCTGTGCGGTCCCTCCGACAGATGCACACTGAGAACCCACTTGGATGACCTCATCTAGGGCCTGGGCATACAGACCCCAGGGGTCAGGACAGGGAGAGCAGCAGACAGGTGTCAGGGTCCAGGAGAGCTGTCTGGGGCCCCTGCCATCTTGCAAGGGCCTGTGGATGTCCACCAGCTCTTGGGCCCCAGGCACGGAGGTCAGGAAATGTGTCCTTTGACAGACATAGCAGTGGCTTAGGCCAGGCCCCTCTTCAGTCTGGTGAGTGTTTTGATTGATCCTTGTGGTCATTCTAAGCTTCTAAAGGAGTATTGTCTTCATCTGCTCAGGCTAACGTAACAAATCACTGCAGACAGTGTGGCTCAAATAACAGAGATTTATTTTCTCAGAAGTGGGCTGAAATCTCAAGACCAAGGTGTCAGCTCCTTTCTTCTTGTAGATGGCTGTCTTCTCCCCGTGTTGTCCTTCTGTGTGCATATGTGTGTCCTAATAACCTCTTTTTATAAGAGCACCAGTCATACTGGATTTGGAACCACCCTAACAACCTCATTTTACCTTTCAATGATTGTCTTTAAATACAGTGACATTCTGAAGTGTACTGGGGGTTAGGACTTCAACATACGCATTTTTTCTGAGGTGCAATTCAGACCATAACACTCCACCATGTGGATTGTCAAAATTCATGGCCTTTCTCACATGCGAAATATGTTTACTTCTTTCTAACAGTCCCAAATCTTAGCCCATTTCAGTATCAACTAGTCCAAATCACCTCTAAATATAATCTGAGTCAACTGTGAGGGAGACAAAGTGTGACTCATCCAGAGGCAAAATTTTTCTTCATCTGTGAGGCTGAGAAATCAGACAAGTTATTTGCTTTGAAGTCACAATGGTGGGACAGGCATAGGATGGACATTCTTTTTTTTTTTTTTTTTTGAGACGAAGTCTCGCTCTGTCGCCCAGGCTGGAGTGCAGTGGCGCGATCTCGGCTCACTGCAAGCTCCGCCTCCCGGGTTCACGCCATTCTCCTGCCTCAGCCTCCCGAGTAGCTGGGACTACAGGCGCCCACAACCGCGCCCGGCTAATTTTTTGTATTTTTAGTAGAGACGGGGTTTCACCGTGGTCTCGATCTCCTGACCTTGTGATCCGCCCGCCTCGGCCTCCCAAAGTGCTGGGATTACAGGCGTGAGCCACCGCGCCCGGCCAGGATGGACATTCTTAATCAGGGAAAAACTGGAAAGGAGAAATGGGTCATGGGTCCCAAGCAAGATGTAACCCTAGCAGGACAAATATCATTAGGTTTTAAGGCTTTGGATTAATGCCCTGTCCTCTGGACCCAATAGGATTGCAACTCTACCCCCTCAGCCCTGAGTGGAGGTGTCTGGCTCTCTGTAACTGAGGAGGAGACAGCCTTACTTCTGGAGCCTGTGCCCTCTACCCCCTGGTTATAGTGGCATTCCTGTCAACCCCTGAACCAATTTTGGGGTCATTATTCCTTTTTCTTGCGGAATATCATGTTTATATCCATGTAGCTCTATTGGCCCATCCTGTGGATTCTCAGAAGTCTGACATCCTTCATTCATTTTGTCCCATCTCTGTTCCAATCAATTCAAGCTAGCACAGCATTTCCTCTGGTATAAAGGTCTCAAAAACTTTGTCCCATGCGATCTATGTGGATCAAAGCCACCAGACAAGAGTTTTCCACAGATCTTTCCTTGATGATCTCATTTTTATTACTGACTTCTGCTGAGAGGGCTGAATGGATCCATAAACCACACACCTGATCTGTTTAGCAAATGGTTGTCCAGCATTGATATTCTCCCAGAATAATGCTTTCTCAATTTTTTTTTTTTTTTTTTTTGCAGTACGTATAGCCTGAAAATTTTTCTGTATCTTCAAGTTCTGGTTCCTTTTTGCTTAACAAATCCTTTTTGAATTTTATCTCTCTCCTCTCACATTTTCATATTAGACAGAAACCAGGCTATGGTTTCAATTCTTTGCTTAGAAACTTCCTCAGGTAAATATATCCAATTTTGTTGTTTGCAAATCCTACCTTCCACAGAACACTAGAATAAAATTTGACCAGGTTTTTGGCCACTGTATAACAGTGATAGTCTTTCTCCAGTTTTTAATAATATGTCTCCCATTGTCATCTGAGGCTTGACCAGAATCACTTTTAACACCCATGTTTTCACCAACAATTGCTGCCTGCAAACCCCGGTTTTTGGCATGCGCCTGAAATATCTTTCAGCTACCTCCCATTACGAAGTTCTAAAGCCACGTCCACATTTATAGGTATTTGTTCCTTTGGCACCCCACTCCTGGTACCAAAGTCTGAATTTGTTTGCTTGGATTGCCATAAAGAAAGTATCATAGACTGGGTGGTATAAATAACAGAAATGTATTTCCTCACCATTCTGGAGACTAGATGGTTTGAGTTCCAGGTGTCAGTAGGGTTGGCTCCTTCTGAGGCCTCTCTCCTTGGCTTGTAGGCAGCCATTTTCTCTGTGTCTTCACTGGTCCTTCTGTGTTTGTGTCCTAATCTCCTTTTCTTATGAGGACAGCATTTATATTGGATTAGATGCCACCCTTGTGATCCCATTTAGCGTTAATCACCTCTTTAAAGGCCCTATCTCAAAAACAGTCATATTCTGATAGTGGAAGTTAGGACTTCAATGTTTGACTTCTGTAGAAACACAACCCATAGCAGGCTATGGCTATGTAATTGGGTTAGGCTCTGCTCTGCTAACTTGTGAGCCCCCTGCCTGGAGTCAGGAGGCAAGAGAGAATGGTAGATTGGAGGTTCAGAGGTGTGGTTCGAGGCCACATCTGGTGTCTTCATGATCTAGGTGATATGAATCAGGGTAATATGTGGGAATGTGGATTTGTAGGGTCAGTCCAGGAGCATGTTAGATGGAGGTAGCAGGGCATTGTGTGGGCTGGGATGTTGTACAGTGAGCTGAGGTATATCTAAGCATGGGCAGTGCTGGATGGAAGGCCTGTCTGGTCAGGCTGTCTCTTGTGTGAGGGATGACAAGGGATCAGTGGATATTGGGACCTGAAGGTGCCTCCTATGTCATCATAGAGAGATGTCCATCACATTATTGCATATGTGGGTTGCAAGTTGGAGGAGCCTGTCTTGCTTCCCCATGATGAAAGTTCACAGGTAGGACAAGATGCCCTCTGAGAAGAGATCCAGAATGGAGCCCATCTCCCACCCAATCTGCACCTCACAGGCAGAATGTAGGAAGTCTTCACTGTCAAATGCACTTTGGTCCACCTCATCCCAAGTCCCTCCAGCCTTCCTGCTTCTGTTTTCTTCCTCGATGTTCAGGTGTGTCCCTCAGATCCTCCCGAGGGCTTGATGGCTTCTGTCCATGTGACCCTTCGTACCCCTGCCTGCCCAATTCACACAAGATCTGAAGACCAAGGAGGCCTCAGAAGGGGCCACAGCCACACGACAGTGTGAGCTGAGCAAGGTGGTCCCTGTGGAATGGAAGGAGGGACCTGAGACCCTCAGAGATGGGGACTGTGTTCTCTGTTCCTCCTGGGCCATGTGCTTTCTCACCCTCTGTACATTCATTTGCTCATTCTGCCATGGTCCTGTGGTGGTTTGTGTGCCTCCTTGTGTGTGTCTGTGTCCTGTCCACAGAATCGTCTAGTTATTCTGATGATCTCAGTGACTGCTCGGTCCTTCCCAGCCCTCCCGGCCAGATTCATAGAAGATGTGAGAAATCACGAAGCTACAGAAGGGGCCACGGCTGTGCTGCAGTGTGAGCTGAGCAAGGTGGCCCCTGTGGAGTGGCAGAAGGGGTCTGAGACCCTTAGAGATGGGGACAGATACAGTCTGAGGCAGGACGGAACGAGGTGTGAGCTGCAGATTCGTGGCCTGGCTGTGGAGGATACTGGAGAGTATTTGTGTGTATGCGGGCAGGAGAGGACCTCAGCTACACTCACCGTCAGGGGTAAAGATCCCGTGTGGTCACATGGACTTGCGGCTTGGGATCTATGTGTCTCTGTGTCACCACTTTCTACTTCCAAATGTTGCATCCCTGTGGGAACCCTGAAGTTGTCTGTCCTCTAACTGGGGTCCTCTGGGCATCTCCTGCCTCCCCTTCTCTTCATCAGGAGATGTCCTCCTGTTCATCCCCATCCCTGCATGTTCTCTGTTCCTCTTGGGCCAAGTGCTTTCTCGCCTTCCGTACATTCGTTTGCTCATTCTGCCATGGTCCTTTGGTGGTTTGTGTGGCTCCTTGTGTGTGTCTGTGTCCTGTCCACAGAGTTGTCCAGATAGTCTGATGATCTCAGCGACTGCTTGGTCCTTCCCAGCCCTGCCAGCCAGATTCATAGACAACATGACAAACCAGGAGGCCAGAGAAGGGACCACAGCCACACTGCAGTGTGAACTGAACAAGGCGGCCCCTGTGGAGTGGAGGAAGGGACCTGAAACCCTCCAAGATGGGGACAGACACAGCCTGAGGCAGGACGGGACCAGGTGTGAGCTACAGATTCGTGGCCTGGCTGTGGCAGATGCCGGGGAGTACTCGTGCATTTGTGGGCAGGAGAGGACCTCAGCCACACTCACCATCAGGGGTAAAGATCACATGTGGCCAAGCAAAGCCATGTTCTAGTGTGCCAGTACTGATTTCATGCCCTCCGTCTCCTCTCATTCCGTGTCGTCTCCCTGTGTCCATGTCATCCTGTTCCCATAATTCCACAGAATCCCTTCCAGCCTCCTGGGCTGTTGCAGAAACCAGGAGAAAACAGCATCTCCAGCCAGCTCCCACCTGTGTACCAGCATGGGTTCAGTCATGTTGCCCTGTTGGGCTCTATGTCTTGTCCTCCATTCTCTCATATTCTGTCCACCAAAGTGCTCCAGATGATCTGATTTTCATGTGTGATTGACCCTCTCCAGCTCTGTATGTGCCAGATTCATACAAAGACCTAGGCGTGAGGAGGCCACAGAAGGGGCCATGGTCATGTGCTGTACAGCCTGGACTGAGGGAAGCCACAGTGCACAGCCTGTGCTCAGCACATCCCGATGTGGCTCATGTCCATTTGGGTTCTGTGTCTTTTCTGTCATCTGTGTCCTGTCTCTTCTGTGGACTCAGAGGCATGATTGTGTCCTTATCTTCTGACCTCCCCAGCCTTGCCTGCCAAGTTCACAAAGGGTCTGAAGAATGAAGAGGCCACAGAAGGGGCCACAGCTATGCTGCAATGTGAGCTGAGCAAGGCGGCCCCTGTTGAGTGGAGGAAGGGACCTGAAACCCTCAGAGATGGGGACAGATATAGCCTGAGGCAGGACGGGACCAGATGTGAGCTGCAGATTCATGGCCTGTCCGTGGCAGACACTGGGGAGTACTCATGTGTATGTGGGCAGGAGAAGACGTCAGCCACTCTCATTGTCAAGGGTAATGACCACATGTGGCCACATGGACTGATGTGGGTGTGTGTCTTTCCTCCATGTGCAGTCACAGGGACAGCACACTTTCTCCTTGTGGATGCTCCTTTCCTCTTCCTCCTGCTGTTTCCTCTGTCCCCTCTGCTCATGGGTTCCAACGTTATCCCGTGCCCTGGTATCTATACTGAGCTTCAGCCATGTGACCTTGTGTACCAGTCATGGTTGTAGGGAAGGAATTCCCACCTTGTCTCTCTCCCCCTGCCTCCCATCACTACCTAATCAATCCAACTTTCTGCCATCCTTCATTTGAGACCTGAAGTCTTTTAGCCACAGGGTCTCATGTCCTTCTTGGAGGGAGGCCTTTGGTGCCCAGGAAAGGGAGGCAGGACCTAGAGCCCTGGGCCCTGCAGGCTGGCCCTGGTTCTCAGTGTAGCCTTGTGGGGCAAACAGCCCCCATGACACCTGAGGGTCTAAGGGAACCTGGTCCCTGCCCTGGAGTCTGGGGGACATGGCCCTGTCCTGGGGTCTGGAAGACATGGCCTCACTCTGGAGTCTGAATACACATTCCTGCCCTGGGATTTGGGTGCCCACGGAGGGGAGGTGGAACCTATAGCCCTGGGCCCTGGCCTCGCCCTGGGATCTGGGGGACTCAGCTCTGCCCTTGGGTATGGGGTACAGGGCCTCACCTTGGGTTCTGAAGTACACATCCTTGCCCTGGGCTCTGGAGGGTGTGGCTCTGCGGGGGTTGGGAGTGGGGTCCTGGGTGAGAGGACAGCCTCCTAAGCCCTGGGTAGATCTAGCCCCTCCCTGCTTTCCCACCACGCTGCCTTCTCGCTCCTGAATCACAGACTGGTGGTACCATCTGAGGCAGCACCGCCTGTGGAGCCAGGCCAGGGAGCTGGGAGGAGCCCAGGTCCTCATCTGCCGGCCTGGAGAGCGATGCCTGGTGTAGATCTGGAGCTGACCCTGCCCCTTGCCCCTTGCAGCCCCACAGCCAGTGTTCCGGGAGCCGCTGCAGAGTCTGCAGGCAGAGGAGGGCTCCACAGCCACCCTGCAGTGTGAGCTGTCTGAGCCCACTGCTACAGTGGTCTGGAGCAAGGGTGGCCTGCAGCTGCGGGCCAATGGGCGCCGGGAGCCACGACTTCAGGGCTGCACTGCGGAGCTGGTGTTACGGGGCCTACGACGTGAAGACACTGGAGAATACACTTGCACCTGTGGCTCCCAGGCCACCAGCGCCACCCTCACTGTCACAGGTGGGAACCCAGGCTGGCCTGGCCCAGGATATAGCACAGTTCCAGTGCTTTGGGCCTGCCTCCTTCCCGGTAGCTGCTCTGGTGCGGTTCCCCCTCCCCACTTTGCCCTGTATCACACTTGTTCATTCCCCCTTATAGCTCCTCAGGGACCTGCCCTCACGCCCTGCTCCCTTCCCTGCAGCTGCCCCTGTGCGGTTCCTCCAAGAGCTGCAGCCCCAGGAGGTGGATGAGGGAGGCACAGCACACTTACGCTGTGAGCTGAGCCGGGCGGGTGCAAGCGTGGAGTGGCGCAAGGGCTCCCTGGAGCTCTTCCCTTGTGCCAAGTACCAGATGGTGCAGGATGGTGCAGCTGCGGAGCTGCTGGTACACGGAGTGGAGCAGGAGGATGCGGGTGACTACACGTGCGACACAGGCCACACACACAGCATGGCCAGCCTCTCTGTCCGTGGTGAGCTGCTCACCAACCCCTGCCTCCCACAGCCCCTCACCCTTGGTCAGAGGCAAGAAGTGTTAAGCATCCCTTCCTGCATCCCCCGCAGTCCCCAGGCCCAAGTTCGAGACCCGGCTGCAGAGCCTGGAGCAGGAGACAGGTGACATAGCCCGGCTGTGCTGTCAGCTGAGCGATGCAGAGTCGGGTGCCACGGTGCAATGGCTCAAGGAGGGTGTGGAGCTGCATGCAGGCCCCAAGTACGAAATGCGGAGCCAGGGGGCCATGCGGGAGCTGCTGATCCACCAACTGGAGGCCAAGGACACGGGCGAGTATGCCTGCGTGACAGGTGGCCAGAAAACCACTGCCTCCCTCAGGGTCACAGGTGAGTGGTGGAGCCTCCCAGAGGAGAGGGTGAGCCCTTCCCTGCCATCCCACCCGCTTATGGTTGCCTTCTGGGTGCACCTGAGTCCCCTGCTCTCACGCTGTCTTCCTCCTCACCCTCGCACCTCCCAGGGTCCCTGTCAGGGCTCTCCGAGAGAACCTGGGCAGCAAGGAAACAGGCTGCAGCCCCTCAAGCCCACCCCTGAGGCCGGTGCGAGGGTGCGCTGCTGAGCCCCCACCTATTTCTCCTATAAGCCTTGCCTCCCTGCTGTGCTAGCCAGGATGGGGCTGGCTGCGTTGTGGGAGTTGACAGGCAGTTGGGTGTCCCACGACCCCTTCCCATTCCTCAGACACAACTGCCCTCTTGGCCCACACTTCCAGCCCAGGTTCTGTCCCCAAAGAGCTCAGTGTCATGGCAGGATCTGTGCTTGTGAGCACATCAGGAAACAAAAGCCATGTGGGACAGATGGGCCATGGCAGAAGAGTGTGAAGGTGCCCAGGAAGACTTCCTGGAGGAGTGGGCATGGGAGCTTGGCCTAGGCTCTTTTACCTGGCTGGTAAAGGGAACCATCTCGCCCCACCCCTCAGAGCCTGAGGTGACCATTGTGCGGGGGCTGGTTGATGCAGAGGTGCTGGCCAATGAGGATGTTGAGTTCAGCTGCGAGGTGTCCAGGGCTGGAGCCACAGGCATGCAGTGGTGCCTACAAGGCCTGCCACTGCAAAGCAATGAGGTGACAGAAGTGACTGTGCAGGATGGCCGCATCCACACACTGCGACTGAAGGGTGTGACACCTGAGGATGCTGGCACTGTCTCCTTCCATTTGGGCAACTGTGCTTCCTCCGCCCAGCTCACCATCAGAGGTAGCCACAGGCAGGCCCCACCAGTGACTGCACGGGGTTAGAATGTCTGGGCCCTGCTGGGTATGGAGCCAGACAGCAAAGGTTCCTGCCTTTGGAGGCTGGGGCCTGGCAGGGAGGTGGACCTGTGAGCTGGCATTTCAGGGTGGCCCCAGGATGTCAGAGGAGAGTAGGCTGAGTCAGGCTGGTGAGGCAGGTGGTTGTGAGCTTCCAATAGGCTGACACAGTGTTGGAGTTTGGGTCTTGGCCCTCGTGGCGGGGCCACTGCAAACCATAGCCCACTCCCAGCCCTCAGTCATCTGCACCATCTCCTCTAGTTCTCACACTAGTCCCATTTACCCACCCGTCATCCATCCTTTCATTCATCCATTTACCATTCACCCATTCATCCACCCGTTCACTATCCATCCATCCATCATCCATCCATTATCCATCGATCCATCCACAATCCATCTATTTATCCATTGATCAGCCATCCATCCATCCACCCATTATCCATCCATTCATTCCTCCATTGATCCATTCACCCATCCACTGTCCATTAGAGCAGACTCTGCCTGCAACTGGAGTGGGGAGCTGAGAACAGGCCCCCATGTGCATGTCTTTGTGCGTGGGGGAGGATACCCAGGGATGGACTCCCAGGATGATGAGACTGTGCTGATTGAGGGGGCACCTCAGACGCTGAGGCTGACACCCATGCCTCCCCTGTGTCCAGCTCCTGAGGTGACCATCCTGGAGCCCCTGCAGGACGTACAGCTCAGTGAGGGCCAGGATGCCAGCTTCCAGTGCCGGCTATCCAGAGCTTCAGGCCAGGAAGCCTGCTGGGCTTTAGGAGGGGTGCCCCTGCAGGACAACGAGATGAATGACATCACTGTGGAGCAGGGCACACTCCACCTGCTTACCCTGCACAAGGTGAGGCCTCTGGGACCTGAGTGTACCGGGACAGGAATGCTTCCAACTCCATTCAGGAAGGTCTTCCACCAGGGGGTTGTGTTGGGGAAGTGATGACCTCCTGTCACTGAGGTCTGGCAAGCTGGCTGGGCTCCTGGTCGGGATGGGGGCTCTCAGGGCCAAGCATGTCTCTCCCTGCTTCCTAGGTGACCCTTGAAGATGCTGGAACTGTCAGTTTCCACGTGGGCACGTGTAGCTCTGAGGCCCAGCTGAAAGTCACAGGTGGGCAGCCCCTTTCCACACCGGTCACTCTGCCTGCAGATGCCCAGCTTCCTGGGCACCAGAATGTCCCACCCATTGGCAGCTGTCAGCGGGCAGGGGGCAGAAACCCAAGACTTCCTACAGTGATCTTGTCTTGGGGCTGGCAATTTTCCAACCCCTGGCCACTGAAGCCAAGGACCAGAGAGGTCACTGGCGAGTAGGCTGGTGAAGGTAGTCTTGAGAAATTCCAGGGTGTGTGTGGGGTCCCTGTCCAGGATTAATGCCACCTGTGGGAGGGAGATGGGGGGCCCAGCTGCCATAGACTTGGGCCCTAAGGTGGAGGCAGGACCTTCCTGACTTCCATCCTCCAAAAGCCTACTCCTATGCTACGGATGCACGCACATGCCAGCGCATCTATGTTTACACACATCTGCATGCCTGACAGGCTCAAAGGTGCAGATGCAAAAGCATGCCTATGACAAGTGTATGGATTTGGGCAAGCATGCAAACAAGATTTTAGGAGCCTTCAGCCTGGGTCATACTTTGCACCCAGAGCTGGTCATCCCTGAGTGCTTGTCCTTGAGTGTTCTTCCCCTACTGTCCTGCCTTTAGGTCTCAAATGGGTCCCATCTGTGTACTCATCATCCATCTGTTCATCCATTTATCCATTTACCTATCCACCTTCCATCCATCTGCTATCCACCATCCATCCATCATCTGGCCATTCATCTATCATCCATCCTTCTATCATCTGTCCATCAGTCCATTCATAATCCATCCAGTCATCCATACAGCTACCATCCATCCATTCACCATCAACCAGCCATCCATTCACCATCCATCCATCCACCATCCATCCATTTACTATTCATCTATCCATCCCGCTGTTCCTCCATTCATCCATCCATCTGCCCATTCACCATCCATACATCATTTATACATCCTCCATTCGTCTATTCGTTATCCATTCACACACCCACCATCCATCCACCCACCCACTGATCCATCTGCTATCCGTCCATTTACTATCCATCTATCCATCCACTATCCATTCACCCATCCTTCCATTCATCTACCATCCACCCATCCATCCATCTATTCACCTGTCTACCATCCATCTACCCTTCCCCCATCCACTCATGTATTCATCACTCACTCATCCACTATTCAGCTATCTTTCCATTCATCCACCATCTATCCACCATCCATCATACATTCACAATCCACCTGCTATCCATTCATTCACCATAGAATATACTCTCTAAGCTCCTACCCTTTAGCAAGTCCTGAACCTCATGATGGGCCAGATGCAGTCTGCCTTCAGGGGATCCCCAATCTGTTGGAGGAGTTGGACATGGAGATAGTGTGTCCTTCATCCTAGGTGCCACCTCCCACTCCCAAGTCTTTAAAAGGAGACAGATGCAGTCAATTCTGTCACCTGTGGGTTTGGGGAAGGTTCCAGATGCCAGTGCCCTCAAGTTGAATGGTGAAGACAGGAAGTTTCCCAGGTGTCCTGAGCAGGGGCAGGATAGCAGGGGCCTGGTATGTTCATCAGAGTGGGCAACTGTATGGAGCAGCATGGAGCTGGGCTGTGCTTTGGCCCCTCTCTAGGTGAGGTATTCTCAGCCTGGGTGAGCTGACTCACATACAGACATCTGGCTGTGACCTTGTGGTGAGGGCCCTGGCACAGGTGTGTAAATGGGTGCCCATCTCAGACCTAGGTAGGTTTTAGGTGGTATGGTGGAAGAACTTGGGAACTTGCTGGAGACAAGAATGAAGAGTTGGTGGGGCAAGATGAGGAGGTGGTCAGATGTGCACTTGGGGAAGACAGTCAAGGGAAGACCAGGAGCTGGTGGTGGGGTGTCAGTGGTACACATGAGGAAGAGCATGGAGAGGCTTCCAGCGGAGGGCCTGCTTGGGTGGGCACAGGGGCTGATTTGCCTGGTGTTGTCCTAATGGGTGGCTGGTATCTCTGTAAGTTCTCCCCACCCACACTTCCTCACCCCATGGGATGGAAGTGTATTGTCTGGGCTTTGCCAACTGCAGTTTCTCTCTCTTTGTGAGGAGGCTCACAGGATGGTCTCGGGAAGTTACTCAGGGGCAAGCAACGATGGAGGGCGGCATCTCCGTTGCCCGATTCCAGGCAGCAGGTGGTGGAATAAGCCTTTGGTTCTGTCTTCCTCCCTTGCCTGTGTGGTGTGGGGTTCAACTGTGTGGGCAGCAGTAGCCTGGGCAAGTTCTATCTGCCATGACCACACTGAGTTTCCATCTGAGAGGTGGATGGGAGGGAGGAGGAGAGTGTGGAAGGCACAGGGCAGGCAGTGACCACAAACATGTCTGGGCAGCTCCTTGAGTTTGGGCCCTGCTGTGTGACCAGGCAGGGAGCAGTTGCCACTCCACATAAGGGCCCTGGAATTCTGGGCTGAAGGGGCCTTGGAGGACATCTGGACAAAATGCCCTCTTGGGATGGGAGAAGCATCTGCTTCCACACCCCCAGGGACAGGGAACTCACTTTCTGAGGCCAACTCCCATCTGCTCACAGTAGGAGGCCCTGTGGCTTCTCCTATCCAACCCACATTGGGTCAGATAAGGCACCAAATGCCAGAAAGAACCCCAGCCATGGGGCTTGGAGCTTGTCCATTCTGCCTTCTGAGAAGGGCATGTGTGCCTGTCATCAGCCTCCTGTGGGTGAAACCAGGCATGTTCTGAAGGGGTGTGTGGGGGTGCGGGTCTATGAGCTGAGGCTGAGCCACTCTCCACGGGCTCACTGTGGGTGGCCTCTGTGTCTCCCTTTGTGATCAGGGTAGGCCAGCTTGCCTGGGTGGATTTCTATTCCCTAACCCTAGGTCACCCTCCTGGTCTGGGTGATGCCTGCTCTGGCAGACCCCAAGGTGGCCCCAGTACCAGTTACTAGCCCCAAGGCTATTCTAGCAAGTCCCACTTTTGGTGGGGGTGAGGGGACAGGGTCTCCTGTTGCCCAGGCTGGAATGCAGTGATGTGAACATAGCTTAGTGTAGCCTCAACCCCCCTGGGCCCAAGCGATCCTCCCACCTCAACTTGGTGAGTAGCTGGGATTACAGGCACATGCCTCCATGGGGTCTCACTATGTTTCCCAGGCTAGTCTTGAACTCCTGGGCTCAAACAGTCCTCCCACCTTGACCTCCCAAAGTGCTGGGATTACAGACATGAGCCACTGTGCCTGGCCAAGTCCTACTTCTGACACCAATTCTACAGAACAACACACTTACTGTTTTTCTCCTATTATACTCTCATAGCACAGAACACTCTGTGACCAGATGTGTGGGGGCCATACACCAAGCGATTCTCTAGCAGACAGCAACTGGCTGTCTACAATTCAATTCTGATACTTTCTACTTGGAGTGAGAGTCAGATTTCATAGATTAAGGGCTTAGTCCCACAAGACTGCCCCACTGCAGATGCCAGTGGGAAGTCCCACGCCACCCACACTTCTGGCTGAACAGCTATGAAATGGGGTTCCCACTTCTCCTCCTTGAGTTTGATTAACTTGCTAAGACAGCTCCTAGAATTCATAGAAACACTTGTATTGAGCAGCTATTATAAAGGATACAGCTCAGGAATAGCCATGTGGAAAAGATTTAAAGGCAAAGGATGGGGGTGGGGTTGGGCATAGACCTTCCATGCCTTTTCTGGGTGTGCCATGCTCCTAGCACCTCCATATCTTCATCAACCTGGGAACTCATCAAATCTCATTCAAGAGCTTTTATAGAGCATAATCTCTGTTCCCCTCTCCCCTTCCTAGAGGTGGGAGGGTAGGAAAGTTCCAACCCTCTAAACACTTGGCCTTTCTAGAGGTCCATTCTGATGTTGTCCAGGACCCCTACCTGAGCCACATCATTAGCATAAACTCAGGTGTAGTCAAAGGAGTACATTATGAACACTCAGGAACTTCTGAGGGCTTTAGGAGCAGAGACACAATCTATTCTTGTGCCACACCCCCACACCAGTGAACCCTAAAGTGGCCCAGTCCTGTGGATTCCAGGGTGTCCCAGCCTCGCCCTCCTTCTTACCCTCTTGTGCAGAGGCAGCGCCATGCCTGGTACGTGGCTTGCAGAATGTGGATGTCTTCGCAGGGGAGGTGGCCACGTTCTCCTGTGAGGTGTCTCATGCGGGTGGGCCGGAGGCCCGCTGGTGGCTGGATGGGACCCTGCTACAGGATGGCCCCCAGAGTGCCATCACTGTGCGAGACGGGATCTTTCACTCCCTCACGCTCTCAGGCCTGGGGGTGGCCGACTCCGGCACTGTCACCTTCCGCGCAGGGCCCCTGGTCTCCACGGCCAAGTTGTTGATGAAAGGTATTGGCCGATGGCAACCCCTGCCATGCTGGCACTTTTGTATGCTTCCTGCGGGCTCCTGGGATTAGGGATTGGCCCCCAGGGCCACAGAGTAGGCACCACTCTATGCATGCTGTCTGCCTGCAGTGGCACAGGTGGGCATGGAGGGTGGATGAGAAGTCTGGGCTTAGGGAGTGGTGTAGCTGGACACCAACCCATGCCCTACTGGCTATCACCTTGCTGGCCGCACATGCCCAGCCATGAAACCCAGTCCCTTGTGTAGCCAAAAGCAGCCCCTGCTGAGTCTACCCCTGCTGTCACCTGCTTCCTCCGCTGTGGGCTTAGGCTAGGTTTATGCCCTTCTGGGAAAGAGCTGGCCATATGGGAGTCCCCTCCCAGTGACTTACATGGTGGCTTTGCCCCCTGTGCACCCTCAAAGAAAATGTGGAAGGTTCACCTGAGTCCCGGGGCACACAGCCATTTGTGGAGCAGGATTTGTACAGTGGAGATGGGACAGAGACCCCAAGAAAGATGGCAGAGTCCTTGCAGAAGGGGCAAGCTGGGCTGGGGCTCTGGCTCCTGAGCCAGGGCCAGAGGGCATGGGGTGGGGGGACTTTGGAGGGTTTGTGTCCCTGTTGGGGCAGTGTGCCCAGGGCCAGAGGGAGGTAGAGGCAAAGGGGACCAGGAGGGGCTCCCCTGGAAAGATATCAAGCCCGACAGTGCTGTCTCCCATGGGTGGGGGTGAGGTGTGTCTGCGGTGGATAGCCCTGGGCTGTCGTGGTGGGCCCCCTTCCCTGGTCACTGCTCTGCCATTTCCTGCCACAGCTCTGCGCTTGCTGCCGCTGAAGCCTTTAATGCTGACAGCAGAGGGTGGGGATGGCTGCGGTGGCTCAGCTCCAGGGGCTGATGTGTGTCCGGCATGTTGGCCGACAGATCCCGTGGTGGAGGTGGTCAGTGCCATGCAGGATTTGGCCGTGGAGGAGGGTGGCTCGGCCGAGCTCCTCTGCCAGTACTCACGGCCCGTGCAGGCCACATGGAAGATGGACGAGCGGGAGGTGCGCACGGATGGGCACCGTGTCATCATAGAGCAGGACTGGAACGTGGCCAGGCTGACCTTCAGGCCGGCCTTGCCCTGTGACAGTGGCATCTATTCTTGTGAGGCTGCGGGCACCCGCGTAGTGGCCCTGCTGCAAGTGCAAGGTGAGGCCGCCTGGTGGGCAGCCCCAGGCCCGGGGCAGCTTTGGCACAGCTTTGGCTGTGCAGTGATAGTGGAATGGCAGGCAGTGTCTGGTGGCTCTGGGACACAGGTGGCTTGGACAGGTGGAAACAGGCCACATAGGTGGCAAGCTCGCTACACCAGGAGCTGAGCTGTGGGTAGGCGGGGCATGCACAGCTGCTGAACTTGTGGCTTCCATGAAGAATGTGTGGCCAAATTCGAGACTCCTACACGTGAACCCACAAGAGAATTAGAAAGGGAGGGGAGAGCGGAGGAGGGCAGTGGATTAGGGAGGAGGTCTCTGGTTGTTGTGAGTCTGAGCATGGCATCCTAGGGGCCAGGCAGCAGGTCTAGTAGCTCTGTTTGGGGGTGCAGAGAAAGGGGGCTGTTTCCAGACACTGAAGCTGCAGTGGGGCCATGGCAGGTAAAGCATGGCTCTGAGCCTCATGGCTGTGTTTAAGCCCAGTTGTGCGGTTGGCGAGTTTCTAGTCTCGTGAACACCTGTGAGGTTTCTCACCTGTGAGGTCAGGAACCTAGTGCCAAAGTGGGCAGGGCATGGTGTGGCGGGGGGGGCCTGGGTGACTACAGAGGCAGGCACGGTGGCTCCACCCTGGACACTGAGTGCCCCCCTCCACATAGCTTCTGGGGAGGGGGCATTTTGTTTGACTTTTTGTAGTTTTCAGGACACTCCCAAGGGACGTGGGGATCCTGGAAGCGCAGGCATAGTCTGAGCCTCCCTCTCCCCGCAGCCAAGAACACAGTGGTGCGGGGGCTGGAGAACGTGGAGGCGCTGGAGGGCGGCGAGGCGCTGTTCGAGTGCCAGCTGTCCCAGCCTGAGGTGGCTGCCCACACCTGGCTGCTGGACGACGAACCTGTGCGCACCTCGGAGAACGCCGAGGTGGTCTACTTTGAGAATGGCCTGCGCCACCTGCTGCTGCTCAAAAACTTGCGGCCGCAAGACAGCTGCCGGGTGACCTTCCTGGCTGGGGATATGGTGACGTCCGCGTTCCTCACGGTCCGAGGTGACTGCGCTGTGCCGGTGCGGGGCGGGGCCAGATCCCACTAGAGGCTGCGGGGGGCGGATGGCAGAGGGGGCGGGGCTGGGGGGCTGCAGCTGCAGAGGGGACGTCAGTCTCCAAGACCCTCCTGCAGGAGGCTGGGCCACCCGCGCTGCAGAGGCGCTGAGGCGCTGAGGCCCTGGTGCTGCTGGCAGGGCCGGGGAAGGGAGCGGCACAAAGGGCAGGGTTTGCCAGGGGCCGGCCCCTCCCACCTGAGGCTGGGAGCCACCCGCTCCGCAGTGGGTGGAAGCCCCGGGGCCCGAGGCTCAGGAGGGGTGCACGGTGTGTTCGCCGTGCGCCGAGACCAGAGGCTCTCCGGAGCCAGGAGGGGGACGTGTCTCTGGGACCCACAGGAGGCTGGGTTGAAGGCAGGCATGACTGGGGGCCAGATGAGAGGTGTCTCCCGCGGGAGGCTGGGCTGACTTTGAGAGAGGGGTTTGCTGGGGCCGCAGGTGGGGAGCTTCGGTCTCCCAGACCCCTCCCACCCACGCAGGTGGGAAGAAGTGAGGGTCTGAAGTCCAGGCCCTGCTCCGGCCCTTGCCCTCACACCCCTTCCTCGGGCACACCCGCAGGCTGGCGCCTGGAGATCCTGGAGCCGCTGAAAAATGCGGTGGTCCGGGCCGGTGCGCAGGCCCTCTTCACCTGCACGCTCAGCGAGGTGGTGCCCGTGGGAGAGGCGTCTTGGTACATCAATGGTGCCGCGGTGCAGCCGGATGACGCCGACTGGACTGTCACCGCCGATGGCAGTCACCACGCCCTACTGCTGCGCAGCGCCCAGCTCCTCCATGCCGGGGAGGTCACCTTCGCTTGCCGCGACGCCGTGGCTTCTGCGCGACTCACCGTGCTGGGTGGGTGGTGGGCGGGCTCCCTTCTCCCTCCCCTGCAGGTCGGGTCTGGGGCCCGCCTGGCTTCCAGAGCTTGTGGGTCTGTGGGTGACCATCCCGGGCTGGGTTCTGCAGCATCTGCCCACTGCAGAGCTTGAGGTTGACTGCCTGCAGATATGGGCCTGGCCATGGGAGTCTGGGAGGCTGCCCTTGGCCAGGCATAACGATGCATGAGTCTACCACCCTGTGGGTTCATAAGGCCAAAGTCCCCTCATTCTGCTCCACCTCCCCCTCAGCTCCCCCAACTCCTAATGCAGATCTGAGCCCAGCTCTGGGGAGACAGGAGGTGCAGAGACCACCAGGGGCTCTCCACACTGGGTGGGCTCTGGGCACATATAGTCTCCATGTGACACGCAAGTGCGCCACCACAGGGCCTGGGCAGCATCCCTCACTCCCTGAGACGGGCTGGGCCACTAGGTACAGCAGCACACTGCCTTCGGGTGCAGCCACACCACCTGCAACCAGTATCAGAGCCCAGTGGCTTCCAGAGGGGCTGTTAGTGCCGACAGGAAGCCACCCCCCTGACTGGTTCCCCTTTTCCCCAGGCCTCCCTGACCCCCCAGAGGATGCTGAAGTGGTGGCTTGCAGCAGCCACACTGTGACACTGTCTTGGGCAGCTCCCATGAGTGATGGAGGCGGTGGTCTCTGTGGCTACCGCGTGGAGGTGAAGGAGGGGGCCATGGGCCAGTGGCGGCTGTGCCACGAGCTGGTGCCTGGACCTGAGTGTGTGGTGGATGGCCTGGCCCCCGGGGAGACCTACCGCTTCCGTGTGGCAGCTGTGGGCCCAGTGGGTGCTGGGGAACCGGTTCACCTGCCCCAGACTGTGCGGCTTGGTGAGTTGCTTCACTGGGGCCTGGGGAGTTCACAGCCCCCACAAGCTAGAAGAGGGAGGGGTCCCCAGGGGTGGGGCCTGCACCCTGGGTGCATCTTTGCTGATGGAGCCTGTCTTCTGTCCGTGAATGCTGTTACCCAGCAACGCCACCGAAGCCTGTGCCTCCCCAGCCCTCTGCCCCTGAGAGCCGGCAGGTGGCAGCTGGTGAGGATGTCTGTCTGGAGCTTGAGGTGGCAGCTGAGGCTGGCGAGGTCATCTGGCACAAGGGAAAGGAGCGCATCCAGCCCAGTGGGCGGTTCGAGGTGGTCTCCCAGGGTCGGCAACAGATGCTGGTGATCAGGGGCTTCACGGCAGAAGACCAGGGCGAGTACCACTGTGGCCCAGCCCAGGGCTCCACCTGCCCCGCGGCTGCCACCTTCCAGGGTGCGTCGTCCCTGTCCTTCCAGGTTCCAGGGTGGGGAGCTTTGGTGTGGGGGTGCAGCTTGGCCTTCCTCTCACAGGCTCTCTTAGGGAAGGGCTGAGGGTCCTTTTGAGGCCCATCACATAGGAGAGACTGAGGCTGCGTAGGGAGATGTGGTAAACCCCATGTTGCAGAGTCTTGATGGCCTAGGCCAGCCTGCCTGTCCCTGAGCAGGTCCTGGGTGGTGCAGCCCTTGGTTCTCCTATTCTGGTCCCTTTAAGCTTCTGGGCCCCTGCACACAGACATCCCCTGTACTCTGAACCCCCTGAAAACCCCAGTGCTCTGAGCCCTCCCACACTCTGAGGCCTGTCCCCTGAACTCTGAGCCTGATCCTCCGTGCATGGCAGCCAGCACCCCCATGAGTCTAGGCACTCTATCCCAGAAGCAGGGCCAGAAGGGCTCAAATCAGCCCAATTTGCTTTTGCAGAGTCCTTTCCTGTTCCAGTCATCACATACCCTGTGCAGGGAGGTAGACTGTGGCCTCACTCAAAGTGGGGGAGCCAAGGCTCAGGGGCTCTGAGACTTGCAAAGATTGTGCCATCCGAAGTAGCTAGTGCCAGGTGGGGGTAGAGGCCTAGCAAGGCCACAGCCCAGCTACATACTGATAAGCAGCTGAGGTCTGGGCTGATGGCTCTGAACTAGCCCACTGACCAGTCTTTTGCCTTCCTCAGTGGCGCTGAGCCCAGCCTCTGTGGATGAGGCCCCTCCTCAGCCCAGCCTGCCCCTTGAGGCAGCCCAGGAGGGCGACCTGCACCAACTATGGGAGGCCCTGGCTCGGAAACGTCGCATGAGCCGTGAGCCCACGCTAGACTCCATTAGCGAGCTGCCTGAGGAGGATGGCCGCTCACAGCACCTGCCACAGGAGGCAGAGGAGGTGGCACCTGATCTCTCCGAAGGCTACTCAACGGCTGATGAGCTGGCACGCACTGGAGAGGCTGACCTCTCACACACCAGCTCTGATGATGAGTCCCGGGCAGGCACCCCTTCCCTGGTCACTTACCTCAAGAAGGCTGGGAGGCAAGGCACCTCACCACTGACCAGCAAGGTGAGCCCCCCCAACTTGCCCTGCAAGGAGAGGTCTGAGACCTTCACCATCCATCCATCCATCCATGCATCCATCCATCCATCCATCCAGCCATCCACTATTCATCCATTCGCCATTGATACACCCATCTATGCATCTACTCATCTATCCATCTTTTCTTCCATTCATCCACTCATCTGCCATTCATCCATCTATCCATACATCCATTCATCCATCTTTCCTTCCTTCCTTCCATGTATCTATCCATGCATCTTTCTATCCATGCATTCATCCATACACCATTCATCTATCTCTACATCCATGCATCCATCCACCATTCATCCACCCATCCATGCATCCATCCATCCACCATTCATCCATCCATGCATGCATTTTTCTATCCATCATTCATCCAACCATCCACCATTCATCTATCCATCCATCCATGCATCCATCTACCATTCATTCACCCATCCATGCATCAATCCATCCACCATTCTTCCATCCATCCACCATTCATCTATCCATCCATTCATGCACCCGTCCACCATTCATCCACCCATCCATGCATCCATCCATCCACCATTCATCCATCCATCCATGCATGCATCCATCCACCATTCATCCACTTATTCATGCATCCATTCATCCACCCATCTATGCATCCATCCACCATTCATCCATTCATTCATGCATCCATCCATCTAAACCACTCATCCACCCATCTATGCATCCATCAATCCATCTATCCTTCCATCCACCCATCCACCATTCATCCATCTATGCATCCATCCATCCATGCATCCACCCATCCTTTCATTCATCCAACTGCCATCCATCTATTCAATCCAACTGCCATCCATCTATTCAGGCATCCATTTTTCTGTCCTTCCATCCTTCTACCTAATCCATCCATTCATACATCTGTCTTTTCTTACTTTCATCTGTTTATGCATCATCCATCTACCATCCATCCATCCATTCATCCATCCTTCCATCCATCCATACACGATCCATCCATCAATGCATGCATTTCTTCTCTTCTGTCTGTCCACCATCCATCCTTCAATCCATGCATCTGTCTATTCTTCCTTCTATCCATCCATCCATCCATCCATGTATCCATTCCTCCTTTCATTCATTCATCCATTCATGCATTCATTCTTTCTTTCATCCACTCGTCTATGTGTCCATCTTTCTTTCCTTTCATCTATTCCTTCATCTGCCATCTATTCATCCATATGTTCATCTTTCTTTCCTTTGTTCCATCTATTCATCCACCATCTATCCATGCACACATTCTTCCTTCCATCTAGTCATGCATTCACCCATCTGCCATCTATATACTCATCCATCTATCATCTGTTCACCATCTCACCATCTGTCCATTCATCATCTTTCTATAATCCTTCCATCTGTCCATCTATGCATGTATCCATTCATCATCCATCTACCATCCTTCCATTTGTCCATCCATGTATACTACCATCCTTCCTTCTTTTCATCTATTCACCCATCCTCCTATCTGACATGCACCCATCTACCCACTATCCATTCATGTATCTACTCACCATCCTGTTATTCATCCATCCATCTACCATCTACCCACCATCCTTCCATTCCATTCCATTCATCCATCCATCTACTATCCATCTGCCACTCCTGCACCTGTTCACCTGTTCATTCATTTGTCTGTCAGCCTGTTTACCCACCTATACAACCATACAACTCCATCCATCTGCTGTTTATCATCCATCCACCTACTCTTTCACCCATCCATCCACCATTTGTCCATAATCTATTCCTGTACTTGTTCACCTGTTTGTCTGTTTGTCTGTCAGCCTGTTTACCCACTTATCTACCCATACCACCATCTGTATAACCATTCACTCATCCACCAGCTACCCACCCACCCATCCATCTATCCATCCATCCATACACCGGTTCTCCCATTCAACCATCCATTAATTGATGTATCTCTCCATCCACCCTGCATCCATCCATTCATATACACATCTGACCATTAAAACTTTTGCCTGAAGAGTTGGAACTGGTCTCTTCATGGTGTTCTTCACAACCCTGTTCATCGTGGTCTGAGTGATTGTGTAAAGTGATTTCCAGGAAGTGGGCTTGCATTTTGGAAGGTGCTGTCAGACATCTAGGTCAAATTGAAGCTAGTGTTGGTCCAATTGGTAGGAGGAAAAAGGGCATACTGGAGCAAGACCTGGAGCTGCCCCTGCCATGCGTTCCACACCAGTCGTGCCCAGTTCCTGGCCTCAGATTCCCTATCTCACCATGACGTCAGGCTCTGTGCCCACAGGTTGGGGCCCCAGCAGCCCCCTCTGTGAAGCCACAGCAGCAGCAGGAGCCGCTGGCTGCTGTGCGCCCACCGCTGGGAGACCTGAGCACCAAAGACCTGGGTGATCCCTCAATGGACAAGGCAGCTGTGAAGATCCAGGCCGCCTTTAAGGGCTACAAGGTCCGGAAGGAGATGAAGCAGCAGGAAGGGCCTATGTTCTCCCACACATTTGGGGACACCGAGGCACAGGTAGGGGATGCCCTGCGGCTGGAGTGTGTTGTGGCCAGCAAGGCAGATGTGCGAGCCTGCTGGCTGAAGGATGGTGTGGAGCTGACCGACGGGCGGCACCATCACATCGACCAGCTTGGGGATGGCACCTGTTCTCTGCTGATCACTGGCCTGGGCCATGCTGATGCTGGCCACTACACCTGTCAGGTGAGCAACAAGTTTGGCCAGGTGGCCCACAGTGCCTGCGTGGTGGTCAGTGGGACAGAGAGTGAGGCCGAGAGCTCCTCTGGGGGTGAGCTGGACGATGCCTTCCGCCGGGCTGCCCGGCGGCTGCACCGGCTCTTCCGCACCAAAAGCCCGGCTGAGGTTTCAGACGAGGAGCTCTTCCTGAGTGCAGATGAGGGCCCTGCAGAGCCAGAGGAGCCTGCGGACTGGCAGACATACCACGAAGATGAGCATTTCATTTGCATCCGTTTTGAGGCACTCACTGAGGCCCGCCAGGCGGTAACTCGCTTCCAGGAGATGTTTGCCACACTGGGCATCGGGGTGCAGATCAACCTGGTGGAGGAGGGGCCTCGGAGGGTAGAGATGCGCATCAGCAAAGAGGCCCCCGCCCCTGTGGTGCCTCCAGAGCCATTGCCCAGCCTACTGACTTCTGATGCTGGTGAGTCTGCACACAGCCTCGGTCTGGGGTCACGAACCAGGGTGCAGAGGCAGGGAGAGGCAGGGGAGAAGGATCCAGAGTCTGCTGCAAGCTTAAGGGGTTACCCGTGCCCACCATTGGGTTCTTTGCAGGTGCAGCCCACTGAGGTGTGAAAAGCCCTGACTTTGAAGTTAAATAGAGCTGAATTTGAACTCCAACCCTGTCTCTTACTAACTATGTGCTTTGGGGGAAGCTGCTTAGCATCTCTGTGCCTCAGCTTTCACATCTGTGAAATGAGAATGGGAATGCAGTTCTACCTTGGTATACACAGAGGATGGATTTTAGAACCCTTATGTGTACCCAAATCCACACATACTCAAGTCCCCAAATCAGCCCTGCAGAACCTATATATATGAAAAGTCAGCGCTATACAGGGTTTTGCATCCCACAGTTGCTGTATTTTTTTATCCAGTTTGGTTGAAAAATATCCACACATAAGTGGACCCATGCAGTTCAAATGCATGTTGTTCAAAGGTCATTTGTGTTCACTCTCTAGAATTTTTTAAAAAGGAGACTCTGAAACCTGTATAAAATGCTGCACTCCTCATGGTCCAGTCTGCTACTGTTTCCCATTCCAGCATCTAGGAGTAATTAAAAAGCCATTTCCTTATTTACTTGTATCTCTCTAGGAATGTTAAAGAGGGTAGGATGAATGACCCACAGTGTTATTTCTTGAAACTTCTCTCCAATTTTGAGCCTCTGCCTTGCTGCAAATCCCTCACCTGCTCCTCCTGGACTTACAGGCCACACAGTCTTTATCTTTGCTTTACCTCCCTTTTCCTCCCTGTTTCCAACCCTTTATCGCTTTTGCCTCAGAGCAGCTTGGGAACCAAGCTGGCAAACAGAATTCTTAGAGAACAAGGAAGAGAGAGAAGCTTAGCAGGCAAAGATACCATTCCTTTTAGCTGTCAGGGTCTATGAGCACTCCCATATGAATGATTGCTCTGTACATCATATGTGTCAAACCATTCATATGGTGGCAACTTGCATGTATGTGGCAGCCGGACATGATCATTGTTCCCTGGGGCTAAATCACCCATCTATCCCAGCCCCGGTGTTCCTGACCGAGTTGCAGAACCAAGAAGTGCAGGATGGGTATCCTGTGAGCTTTGACTGTGTCGTGAGAGGTCAGCCCATGCCTAGTGTGCGTTGGTTCAAGGATGGGAAGTTGTTGGAGGAGGATGACCACTACATGATTAATGAAGACCAACAGGGTGGCCATCAGCTCATCATCACAGCCGTGGTGCCAGCAGACATGGGTGTCTACCGCTGCCTGGCTGAGAACAGCGTGGGTGTCTCCTCCACCAAGGCTGAGCTCCGTGTGGACTGTGAGTACTGCGTCTGGTTTGGTGTCTCCAGGGTGGGTGGTGTAGGGGCTCCTGAGTTGGTCTTGAGGATGATTCAGAGAGCATTCGTCTCAGGCCAGGCAGGATTTGGGGCCTCAGAGTCTTGTGGCTGATGGAAAGCTCTCTGGGAGCTAGGGCCAAGACAGGCCCCCAGTCTGGAGCCCCTTGGGGTAAGGGGTTGAGGGATCTCATCTCTGTGAGAGGCATCCTGGCTGGAACAGAGACCCAGGAAGGTTTGGAAGTGGACCTCATGGAGTAAGGTGAGGGGGTCAAGAAGGGTGAGTCCAGCCTACCCCAACCACTCCCTTGAGGTCCCTTTTGAAGGCTGTCAGATGGCTTGATCAGGAAGCCTCTCAGGAGAAGCTCAAGGGCATGGTGAATGGTTCATGGCACTGTGACTGGAGGGCAGTGGTATAATCATAGCTCACTGTAACCTCAAACTCCTGGCCTCAAGTGATCCTCCTGCCTCAACAAAGTTTTTAAATTTTAATAAAGTACAATTTACCTACTTGTTCTTTGGTTGCTTGTGCTTTAGTTGTCATTTCTAAGAAATTATTGCCTAATCCAAGGTTATAAAGAGTTAAACACCTATGCCTATAGTAACTCATATATTTAGGTCTTTGGTCCATTTTGAGGTTTTTTTGTTTTGTTTTATTTTTTTTGTTTGTTTTGTTTTTTTTTTTTTTGTATATGAAACGAAGTAAGGGCCCAAGTTTGTTCTTTTAATGTTGATACCCAGTTGTCTCAGCACCGTTTGTTGAAAAGACTATTTCACCGTTGAATTGTCTTGGAATTCTTGTCAAAATTTGATTTTCTCTAAATGTATGGGTTTATTTATGGACTCTAAATTCTGTTTCATTCATCTAAATGTCTTTCATTATGCCAGCATGACACTGTCCTGATTACAGTAGCTCTGTATTGGGTTTTGAAATTGGGAGGGTAAGTCCTCCAACTTCCTTCTTTTTCAAGATTGTTTTGCCTATTCTGGGTGCCTTGCATTTTCATATGAATTTTAGGATCAGCTTATCTCTTTCTTCACAAAAATTCTCTAGGTATTTTTTAAAGATTTTTTTTTTTAAATAACTGGTTATGAGTAATTTGATTATGATGTTCTTTGGTGTACTTTTCTTCATGTTTGTTGAGGTTGGACTTTGTTGACCCTCTTAGAACTGTGGGTTTAGAGTTTTCATTAAGTTTGGAATTTCTGTGACCATTATTGCTTCAAATATTCTTTTCTTCAATTACGTGTATATTAAGACGTATTATTATTATTTCTTCAAATATTCTTTTCTTCATTTACCTGTATATTAAGTCACATGGAGTGTGTACAGTTCACTAATGCTCTTTTCACTTTAAAAAATTCCTGTATCTTTCATTTGGCATAGTTTTTATTCATGCCTTTATGTCCACTGTCTTTTATTCTGTAATATCCATCCTATTAATCTCATTCATTTTATTATTTGTCTCTATAAGTTCTACTTGAGTTTTTTAAAATATATTCTACATCTCTACTTAACCTTTTGAATGCAGAGAATACAATTCTAATACCTGTTTTCATGTCTCCTCTACCAGTTCTAACATCTGCATCAGTTCTGGGTTGGTTTCAGTTGATTATTTTCTACTTTATGGGTCATCTTTTCCTGTCTCTTGGTATGTCTGGTGATCTTTGATTGAGTGCCTGACATTGTAAACTTTACCCTGTTAGGATATTTTTGTATTTCTGCCGATCTTCTTGAGCTTTGTTCTGGGATACAGTGAAGATACTTGGATGCGATTTTATTCTTTGGGGCCTAGCTTTTATGATTTCTTTGGTGGCTCCAGAGCAGTGCTCAGTCTAGGGCTAATTATTTCCCACTGCTGAGGCAAGAACTTTCCTGAGTACTCTACTCAATGCCCTTTGAGTTAGGAATTTTTCTAGTCTGACTGGTAGAACCAGGAGCTATTCCTGGTACTGTTTTCTCTAATCCTTTCAAGTGGGTCTTTCCTCACATGCAAATGCTAATCAGTATTCTGCTGAGTCCTTGAGGCAGGTCCTTTCTCTGTACTGCTTTCTTTTCTCCAGCACTTTGTCTGTGAACTCTAGCTGCCTTAGTCTCCCAGGACTCTGAGCTCCATCTTCTCATCTCAAGGAGTCTGCTGGGACCTACCTCAGTTTCCCTTCCCTGAGTCTACAAATTCAAGGCAGGAAACTGGCGCAATCATAGGGCTCATCTTTGTTTCCCATGTTTAGGAAATCCCTGTCCTGGCCTGGTGCACTTTGGCTCATGACTGTAATCCCAGCATTTTTGGAGGCTTAGGCAGGAGGATCACTTGAGCCTAGAAGTTCACGACTAGCCTGGGCAACACAGTGAGACCCTGTCTCTACAAAAAAAGTACAAAAAAATTAGCCAGGCATGGGGCTGTACATCTGTAGTCCCAGCTGCTTGGGAAGCTAAGGCAAGAGGATCGCTTGAGCTGGGAGGTTGAGGCTGCAGTGAGCTATGATTGCACCACTGCACTCCAGCCTGGGTGACAGAGTGAGGCTCTGTCTCAAAAAAAAAAAAAAAAAAAAAAAAAAGAAAAGAAAAGTAGAGACATAGAATATATTTTATTTAATTTTTTTTATCTCTCAAGATTTATTTTTCAGTTCTTTTTCCGTTAAGTTATTGGGGTACAGGTGGTATTTGGTTACATGAGTAAGTTCTTTAGTGGTGATTGGCGAGATTTTGAGGCACCCATCACCTGAGCAGTATACACTGCACCTTATTTGTAGTCTTTCATCCCTCGCCCCCACTCCCATGCTTCCCCCCAAGTCCCCAAAGTCCATTGTATCATTCTTATGCCTTTGCATCCTCATAGCTTGGCTCCCACTTATCAGTGAGAACATATGATGTTTGGTTTTCCATTGCTGAGTTACCTCACTTAGAATGATAGTCTCCAATCTCATCCAGGTCAGTGCAAATGCTGTTAATCCATTCCTTTTTATGGTTGTGTAGTATTCCATCCTATATATATACCACAGTTACTTTATCCACTCGTTGATTGACGGGCATTTGAGGCTGGTTCCATGATTTTGCAGTTGTGAATTGTGCTGCTATAAACATGCGTATGCAAGTGTCTTTTTGAAATAATGACTTATTTTCCTCTGGGTAGATACCCAGTAGTGGGATTGCTGGAACAAATGGTAGTTCTACCTTTAGTCCTTTAAGGAATCTCCACACTGTTCCATAGTGGCTGTACTAGTTTACATTCCCACCAGTAGTGTAGAAGTGTTTCCTGACCACTGCATCCACACCAACATCTACTGTTTTTTAATTTTTAAATTATGACCATCCTTGCAGAAGTTAGGTGGTATCACATTGTGGTTTTGATTTGCATTTCCCTGATGATTAGTGATGTTGAGACAGAATATATTTTAAAAACCCAAGTAGAACTTCCAGAGATAAAAAATCCAATGGATAGGATTAATAGCAAGTAGAGAAGAAGATTATAAATTTATTACAGAAGAGGGCGGGCACGGTGGCTCACGCCTGTAATCCCAGCACTTTGGGAGGCCAAGGCGGGCGGATCATGAGGTCAGGAGATCGAGACCATCCTGACTAACACGGTGAAACCCCGTCTCTACTAAATATACAAAAAATTAGCTGGCATGGTGGCGGGCGCCTGTAGTCCCAGCTACTCGGGAGGGTGAGGCAATGGCATGAACCCGGGAGGCGGAGCTTGCAGTGAGCCGAGATCGTGCCACTGCATTCCAGCCTGGGCGACAGAGCAAGACTCCGTCTCAAAAAAAAAAAAAAAAAAAAAAAAAAAAAAAAAAATATATATATATATATATATATATATATATATATGTATATATATAACAGAAGAAAAAAATACATAATTCAAGGACATGATAGAAAGAGGATGAGGGAGGTCTCTGGGGTCCCTTCTATAAGGGCAGTAATCCCATTCATGGAAGTTCCACCCTTATCACCTAATCACCTCCCAAGGGCCCATCTCTTCATCCATAGGGGGTTAATATTTCAGCATATGGTCTTTGGGGGGCATCTCAACATTTAGTCCATAAAAGAGGGTAAGTCCAACCTCAGTCACTCCATCTTGACTAGAAACACAAGTCCTAGCTGTTTGAGACCTGTATCTTTTCATCCCATTATTCCCTAGTAGGATGGAACTGGAATGTTCTACCACTATCACTGTTTCTTCTGAGGCCTCTGGATCATTCGTTATTAGTTTGTCATGTCAAAGAGGCTTGTAGTTAGTTATAGGCCTTGAAGTATGGGGCTGGTAATAGCTGGGGGTGGAGAGGCTACAATATCACTATTCCCCCTATGACTTCCTAGCTCCCAAATCTAAGTGGCTTCCAGGCAAGGCTCCGTAGTCAGGACCTCTGAGGGCCGAGGCCATCCTGGTGCAGGAGCATGTGCTGGGCAGATGGGATGGCAGGCCTTGCTCCAGTTCCCCTCTTCCTTCCCCAGTGACAAGCACAGACTATGACACTGCAGCGGATGCCACGGAGACCTCATCCTACTTCAGTGCCCAAGGCTACTTGTCCAGGTAGGAGCTGCCAGAGGTGGGCTGTGCCCCACGGACTGACGTTGCAGGGCCTCTTGGGGAGTGATGCTGCTGGGTGAGGGCAGGGCTTGGTCTGACAGTGTCCAATCCTGGAGCCTTCCTCCAAGCCCTGGCGGTCTCTGTCAGCAAACAGGGGCTTCCAACGTCATCCATGCCCAAGCCCCTCAGCACCCCGCCCACCCTGCTCCCCTCACTGCCCTACTTTCTGGCTGACCCCTTTTCTGTTCTCCTGCCAGCCGGGAGCAGGAGGGAACAGAGTCCACCACTGATGAGGGCCAGCTGCCCCAGGTGGTGGAGGAACTGAGAGACCTCCAGGTGGCCCCTGGCACACGCCTGGCCAAGTTCCAGCTCAAGGTGAAAGGTGAGAGGGAGAGGGAGTGGGGACACGGCCATGGCAGGATGGAGGCCAAGGAGCCGTGCCCCGTCAGCTACAATTGAAAGGAGACCCCAGCAACAGGGTCAGGCAGTCACTCTCCCTGCTGCCTGGGTGCTGGAGGCCGATACTCCATCACTGGTGGTGTGGGGGTGTTTGAAGGACCCTCTCTCCAGGCCTTCATCTGTCTCCCATCTGGAGGACACAGTGCCCGTGGGTGGTAGCCCAGGCTGACCACTCCCCCTCCCGTGGCCCAGGCTACCCTGCTCCCAGATTATACTGGTTCAAAGATGGCCAGCCCCTGACCGCATCTGCCCACATCCACATGACTGACAAAAAGACCCTGCACACCCTGGAGATCATCTCAGTCACTCGGGAGGACTCTGGCCAGTATGCGGCCTACATCAGCAATGCCATGGGTGCCGCCTACTCATCTGCCCGGCTGCTGGTCCGAGGTGGGTGCTCTGAGGGGCTGGGCAGAGACTTGGGCCCTGGGCAGCATCCTGGCCAGGGCTGACATCCCCTGCACACCTTGCCATATCAGGCCCTCAGCGGGGGTCCCTGGTACAAAGTGGCACAGGTGGCCAGAAGTTGGCCCTTCAGGGAGCGGGTGTGCAGCCCTCTGTCCTGACTAATGGGCAGGCTGGAGGTTGAAGTTGACCCAGGAAAGTGGGTAAACATTGAGGCTCTAGGTAAATCCACGCACAGCCAGAGCCAGTGTAGCTTGGGACTAGAGGACCCTACTTCCTTATTGTTCAAAAAGTTCTGAGCACTGAGAGTTCATTCCAAGTTTCACCCAAACCCGTCCTGCCACTGCTGCAGCTTTCCCCAGCGTCCCCAGGTGTGAGTCCTCTGCTGCTCTGGGCAGCATTATTTGGTTGTGTGCTGGTTCCAGTGTCGGGCCACAGAGTCCGTGGCAGGGTGAGGGTGGGTGGTGGGGCATTGGGTCTGGTCCATGCAGCCTGTTGCCTCTGTCACCAGAGTGTGTAAGTTGCAGGGCTTCATGGCCCAGGTTTCAGGCAGGGGTTAGGACGTTTGCTTGGGGAGCAGCGCTGCCCTTGAGTTCCCTCACTGCAGGGGGTAGAACTGCTGGGCTCCCGCACAGCGCTGAGTAGGAGCCATGGCGGGGTCCTGTGTGTGCTAGGTGTCTGACTCTAGTGCCTCTTTCAGGCCCTGATGAGCCAGAAGAGAAGCCTGCATCAGGTGAGGCAGCCCCAGACGGGCAGGGAGAGGCCAGGTGGCCATGGGTGCTGAGGGCCTGACCCTAGGGCTGACCGCAGTGGAGGTGTGGGTGGCCATGGGCTGGCTCAGGGAGGGCGCACCTAGGAGACAGCCCGGCCGAGGGAACAGTGTGGTGCTGTCCAGGTGCTGGCTGTGGAGAGCCACCTGGGGGCCTGCAGACATCATCGGGGGCCAGGAAGCAGGCGGTAGGGACTGTGCCAAGGTCTCTGCCAGCCACCCTGTGCCCCCTAGATGTGCATGAGCAGCTGGTGCCACCCCGAATGCTGGAGAGGTTCACCCCCAAGAAAGTGAAGAAAGGCTCCAGCATCACCTTCTCCGTGAAGGTAGAAGGTAAGGCATTTCCTGTCCCCTGCTGTGGAAAGATCACCCCTGGGGGATGGGACAGAGGTGCCCCCTCCTCACTCACATCATCCTGAGGGAGGGCCACAGACAGGGCTCCACCTCCAGAGGCCCTGCTCCTGGCGGGGTGCACTTACCACCTCCTGCCCGCCCCAGGACGCCCGGCGCCCACCGTGCACTGGCTCAGGGAGGAGGCTGAGAGGGGTGTGCTGTGGATTGGCCCTGACACGCCAGGCTACACCATGGCCAGCTCTGCACAGCAGCACAGCCTGGTCCTGCTGGACGTGGGCCGGCAGCACCAGGGCACCTACACGTGCATCGCCAGCAACGCTGCCGGCCAGGCCCTCTGCTCCGCCAGCCTGCGTGTCTCGGGCCGTGAGTAGGGGGTGGGGGGGTGGAGGGCTGGGGCATGGGAGGTGGGCACTGGGTAGCTTTGGAGTCTCCTTGGGGCACACTGCCCATCACCACCATCTGGGCTGGGACCCTGTGGGACACCCTCCTTCCTCTTCTCATTCTCTGACAGCACCAGGGAGACCCCAAGACGGGTCAGGCCCTGGTGGTGCTGGTGGTTTTGAGTCTCAGAGTCCCCTCTGGGCCCAGGACCCGTGGGTTCTGCACCGCCGGCTCCAGGGACTTTTCCTGAAGCCCCCTGCATCCTGGGCCTTGCTCAGCCCCTCTGAGGACAGGAGAACCCCTGTTCTCCTCCCATCACTGTTGGGGTGACCACAGGCCAAGAGTGGGATGGGGAGGTGAGCTTGGGCACAGCCCCTGCTCAGGGCTTCGGAGGGACCCAGTCCAGATCTGGAATCAGACGTGCCGGGGTTGGGAGCACTGTCCCGATGGTTTGCCCGGTCCTCCCTGACAGTGTCTAAGGTGGAGGAGCAGGAGAAAGTGAAGGAAGCACTGATTTCCACTTTCCTGCAGGGGTAAGTGAGGGTTGCCCCTGGAGGCTGTTCCAGTCAGGGCCAGGGAGGATGCTCTAGGAGTGGGGGATGGGACAGCGCTGCCCCTGGGAGAACACCTGTCCCAGAGCGTGTCCTGGCTCTGCCCCATGCAGGCCGTGTGGTTTGGGCCAGCTCTCTTCCTTCTCTGCACCTCAGTTTCCCCATTGTAAAGCGAAGGCTTCTGTTGGGCCTCTCTGGTATGGAGCCCCTTTCTCTAGTATCTTGGTCTGTTGTCCCCAGACCCTCTTTTTGTCAGGAGCTTCTGCATAAGGACAGAGGGTGGTGGGGTCCAGCCCAGGCCTCTCAGGACACCCCCTTTGCCCGTTTAGGACCACACAAGCCGTCTCAGCACAGGGGTTGGAAACTGCGAGTTTTGCCGACCTTGGTGGGCAGAGGAAAGGTACAGTCAGGCTGGGTGCATGCCTGTGAGGGGCCAGGGTGATCCCCTGATGCTGGGATCAGGGAGGAGGCTGCCCGGGGGTGGCTCCAGGCCTCAGAGGCCCCTCCTGAGCAGCACAGCACTGAGACACCTCCTCACACAGCCAGGACCAACCCGTGCCTGGACTTCAGGCTTGATTAGTGTTGGAACCATATCTGATCCCCATGGATCTGGGAGCCTGCGGGGTCCCTGGGCCAGCCCTGGGCACAGAGCTCACATCCAGCGGGCTGTGTAGATACCAGGGTCTGGGTAGAACTCCTAGGTGCTGGGCACTGAGAACAGAGGCAACACAGCCCCGCTTTGGACCCATGGCCCCTTCTGCAGCCTGATGCCCAGGTCTGGCCTCTGCTGACTCTGTCCCCAATGCCCCTCATCCACTGTCCACTGGCAGTCCCCACCATGCCCTCTGTCTCTGGACATTCTCAGCCCGCTGGTCGTGCCTCGGCTTGACACTCATGAGCCAGAGTGACTCCTCATCCTGGCCAGTTGCCACTGGCCTCCCGCCTTGCCAGCCACTGAGTCTCATCATCTCCCTGCTAGACATCAGCACCATGCGGGGGAGGCTTGGCTGTTTGTTCACCATTGGCTCCCAGGGCCCAAGATGGGCCTACAGCATGGGGTGCTTGGTACACATCTGAGGGGCACGCAGCAACCTGAGCAGAGTGTTTGTATCCCCAGGAGAGCCTCTGGCTGCCAAGGAGGCCCTCAGACACCTCTCCCTTGCTGAGGTGGGCACAGAGGAGTTCCTGCAGAAACTGACCTCCCAGATCACCGAGATGGTATCGGCCAAGATCACGCAGGGTGAGGGGCAGCGGCCCATGTGCCAGGGTCACTGGGATGTGTCCGGGGTGTTTGCCCTTCCCCTGAGCCCTGGAAAGCCAGAGGCAGGCCAGGGTGTCATGATCCTTGCACCCCCAGCCAAGCTGCAGGTGCCTGGAGGTGACAGCGATGATGACTCCAAGACACCATCTGCATCCCCCCGCCATGGCCGATCACGGCCATCCTCCAGCATCCAGGAGTCTTCTTCAGAGTCAGAGGACGGCGACGCCCGAGGCGAGGTGGGCAGCTGGAATCCTCTGGGAGCAGGGCAGGGAGAGGCCCTGACCTTCCTGAAGAGAAGGTGAAGGGTGGGGAGGGGCTCAGAGGCAGGACTCCCATGGGACTTTAGGGAGGTGGGACCCCAGCAAGTTGCAGGAACTGGTGAGAACAGGATCTTCTCCACACGGCGTCCTGTGGAGATTTGCCTTCCTGGAGAGCCATTTGTTTAGTTCATTCATTCACTCCTTCATTCCTTCAAAGGAGAAAGTGTCTCAGGCCTCCAGTGTACCAGGCACCCTGTTAGGGCTTGGAGTGGGTGTGGAGTCGGGGAGAAGGTAAACAAGTAACTGAGTGTAGGCAGTCCAGGCCTGGAGACCCCAGGGCTGTGGTGACCTCTAGGGGTGGGGGTGGGGCAGGGGAGGTCTCTCACATTCCTGCTGTTCTGTGTGGGACAGGAACCAGGCGTGTGCATGCTGACTGGGGATCCCTGCCCTGTGGCTCGGGATCTCGGCAGGCCCAGCTGGCACCTCCCGGGTCTCACCACTTTAGCACCCCCACCCCCCTCTCAGATCTTTGACATCTACGTGGTCACCGCCGATTACCTGCCCCTGGGGGCTGAGCAGGATGCCATCGCACTGCGGGAAGGCCAGTACGTGGAGGTCCTGGATGCAGCCCACCCACTGCGCTGGCTCGTCCGCACCAAGCCCACCAAGTCCAGCCCCTCACGGCAGGGCTGGGTGTCACCAGCCTACCTGGACAGGAGGCTCAAGGTACCTGAATGGCCAGGCAGGAGGGGTCCTCAGGGGTCCTGGAGGCCCCAAGGAGGGGCGTCCCAATTTGAGGGGCGAGAGCCCAATCCCCATAGGGCAGGGCCAGAGTTCAGCACCCCGACCGGAATACTCCTGTCCCTCACCAGCTGTCACCTGAGTGGGGGGCTGCTGAGGCCCCTGAGTTCCCCGGGGAGGCCGTGTCTGAAGATGAATACAAGTCAAGGCTGAGGTGAGTGCCTGCTGGGCTGGAGGTGGTGGCACTGGCATCCCACTGACTGGACAGTCTTCCAAAGAAGCTGGCCGCTTGCCCTGGCTTTGGGTCCAGGCCCTAACCCTGGAGGTCTTGGGGTCATGGCTATGCTGATTCCTCTGCAGGGGCCTCTGAAACAGTGCTCCTGTGTGAGCCTATCAGGGACAGGTAGGGGCCAAGGACAGCAGAGCAGGCCCAGAGCTGCCTGGGTTCCCGCAGCTGCCCTCCCAGCCTTGTACTGGCAGGACCCATCTGGGTGGCTTCCTGGTGTTGGGACCGGCCTTGTCCGAGAGGGAGCCTCTCTCCACCTGCTCTCCCACTTCCTGTGAGCAGGCGACAGGCTGCGCAGCAGGAGGCGCTCCCATTTAGCAGCTGAGGGAGCGGGAGCCTCGTGGCCCACAGTCCCTGCACGGGAAGCAGGAGCTCCGTGGTCCCTTATGGCGGCCCCCTCCTGCCCAGCTCTGTGATCCAGGAGCTGCTGAGTTCTGAGCAGGCCTTCGTGGAGGAGCTGCAGTTCCTGCAGAGCCACCACCTGCAGCACCTGGAGCGCTGCCCCCACGTGCCCGCAGCTGTGGCCAGCCAGAAGGCAGTCATCTTCCGCAATGTGCGGGACATCGGCCTCTTTCACAGCAGGTGGGTGGGTGGGGCCACACACACACGTCCATGCATAGACGCACTGTAGGGCCAGGCCTCGTGCAGGTGGGTTGGAGCCAAGGAGGGAGAGAACCTGTGCTGACTTGATTTATCCCTCAGCGCACTTCCCCTCAGAAACCCAGACGTGTGTACCTGGCTTACTCATGGGAAGGCCTGCGGTGCACCAACAGCTAACTGGCATGTGCGCAGGCCCACTTGCATGCACACCCTCACACGTGTGCACACATGAACACACACATGTGTACAGGTGCAGCCTTTAACACCATATACCCATGTGCATGGCACATGTGCACATCTGTAAATGCACACACATGCACACAGTACACACATATACCCATACACATGTGTACATCACCTGTGTGCCCACAGTGCATACCTATAGACGTGTGTACACATATATGCCTGTGTACATGTATACATGTTATACACATGGACACACATATGTACATGTTTCCACACTATTTTTGCACACCTATGCATATGCACTTCTGCACATATGTGCACATCCAGCATGTACATGCACATCCTTTCATCTTAACACTTGAATACATTCACACATGCATATAACACAGCATCTCCTTCCCCCACCACCTGCCTGTGTATGCAGCCACATGTGCTCATACACATTTACATGCATCCACAAATGTGCATGCCCACATACATGTACACATGTAATATTCCTGTGAGCTTTCATACACGGCACACAAGCACTTCTTTGCATGCCCACACATGTCTGCATGCATACTCTCACAAACCCCAGGAGCCACAGGCCCCAGCCCTTGTGCAGGGCCAGCTTCCTCCCAGAGGTGAGGGCTCAGGGCCAGGCTATGGGGCTCAGGCTGAGTCCTGATGCCATCCCCCTTCACAGCAGCTTCCTGCAGGAGCTGCAGCAATGCGACACAGACGACGACGTGGCCATGTGCTTCATCAAGAACCAGGCAGCCTTTGAGCAGTACTTGGAGTTCCTGGTGGGGCGCGTGCAGGCTGAGTCGGTGGTCGTCAGCACGGCCATCCAGGAGTTCTACAAGGTGCCCATGCCTGAGCTCATGGACTCCTGAACCTCTGTGCCTGCCCTTGGCTCCCTCTGAAGGCTCACTGAGCCCAGGCATCCTCCAAGGTTCATCCTGGCCTGCCCACATCAGAACCTGCGTTCATCCCCGACCTTGCCACTGCCCACAGCCTCCCTGCGGCCCCCTTGGGCCTCAGTTCAGAAATGCGGGTGGAGTTGCTTCTGCAGCCCTGTGCTCCTGGGCAGGCCACTTCAGCAGCCCAAGTCCTGTGCTTGTCACCTGTCAGTAGGTGATGACAGCTGTCACCTGGGGTGCAGGTGGTGTGTGCACCCTGGGGACCCACCCTCCAGCTCTCAGGGACACAGCCATCGGGGGCCTTGCATTCCTGCCCTAAAATCCACCCTCCTGGTTCCCACAGAAATATGCGGAGGAGGCCCTGTCAGCAGGGGACCCCTCTCAGCCCCCACCGCCACCTCTGCAGCACTACCTGGAGCAGCCGGTTGAGCGGGTGCAGCGATACCAGGGCTTGCTGAAGGTGGGCACCACCTCCCCTGCCCCACCTCCTCTGCCCAGGCTGGGTCTTTTGGGGTCCAGCCTGTGGAGCAGTCTGAACCCTGACCTTCGCCCCGGCCCCAGGAGCTGATCCGCAACAAGGCGCGGAACAGACAGAACTGCGCGCTGCTGGAGCAGGCCTACGCCGTGGTGTCTGCCCTGCCGCAGCGTGCCGAGAACAAGCTGCACGTGTCCCTCATGGAGAAGTACCCGGGCACCCTGGAGGCCCTGGGCGAGCCCATCCGCCAGGTTGGGGAGGGGCAGGGGCTGGGGCCGGGAGATGCGTGTGAGGTGGGTGGATATTGGGGTGTTGGGGGCTTGCATCTGGGGCTGCCAGAAAGTGGGGATGTGTGCATGAGTTGGGCAGGGCACTGGGTACTTGGGTGGCTGTGGGGTCTGCACCTCTGAGCAGTCTGGCCCAACACAGGCTGACCGCAGTCTACACCCTCCCCCAGGGCCACTTCATCGTGTGGGAGGGTGCACCAGGGGCCCGAATGCCCTGGAAGGGCCACAACCGTCACGTGTTCCTCTTCCGCAACCACCTGGTAATCTGCAAGCCCCGGCGAGACTCCCGCACCGATACCTTCAGCTACGTGTTCCGGAACATGATGAAGGTCTGTGGGCTCCTGGCTGCTGGGCGTGGCTCCCTGTCCCTCAGCTCCGGGGTGGATGCCGGTGGCCACGCCTGCAGCCACTGGTCCAGGGTGGCCTGAATGTTTCCTCATCGAGTCCCACATCTGTTGAGTATGGTCAGCCCGTGTCCCCATCCCTGTGCTGACACCCTCCCCTACCCACAGCTGAGCAGCATCGACCTGAATGACCAGGTGGAGGGGGATGACCGTGCCTTTGAGGTGTGGCAGGAGCGGGAGGACTCGGTGCGCAAGTACCTGCTGCAGGCACGGACAGCCATTATCAAGAACTCGTGGGTGAAGGAGATCTGTGGCATCCAGCAGCGTCTGGCCCTGCCTGTGTGGCGTGAGTGTCCACCTCCCCGGGGACCCAGGTGGCTGAGCCAGGATGGGGCACCCAAGCCTGTTCCTGCAGCTGCACAGGTCCCTACCTGGGTGGGTGTGAGGGGTGGGCTCGTTCCTAGGACAGACGGCTCAACCAGCCTGTGGCATGTGATGGCTACAGCCTCATGGGGAGCCCCTGGGCTGGGTGTTGGATTGGCCCTGACCCAAGGTCGGGGATACCATGGGGGCCCCAAGCTCAAGGCACCCACCCAGATCATGTCAGGGGCTGTGAAGGGCCTGGCAGCCCAGGGTCTGCTTCCTCAACTAGAACAGAATCTTCCCCCGAGCCCCCACTGCTCTCTGTTTAACACACACCTGCCTCACTCACCTGACTCTGGATGGGGACCTTGGATGAGGGGCAACAAAGGACAGTCCCCATAGTGGCCACACCATCGGATGTGGGGCTCGTGGTGCAAGGCAGATGACCTGCCAGGTGCACCTGGGGGTGCCGCAGCCCAATGTCCCCCCACAGAGTACTCAGGGCTGTGTGTGTCCTCAGGGCCCCCGGACTTTGAAGAGGAGCTGGCTGACTGCACAGCGGAGCTCGGTGAGACAGTCAAGCTGGCCTGCCGCGTGACAGGCACACCCAAGCCTGTCATCAGCTGGTACAAAGGTAAACCCCGGGGCCGGGGGCTATGGCCTTCCTGTCCGAGATGCTGGCCCTGCAACAGAAAAGAGCCTCCCGAGAGAAACAGGCTGTGAGGGCTGGGGACCCAGTATGGGATTTGGCCGGGAGCCTGGGGCACGAAGGACAGGCCTCATACGTTCACTTGCCACCTGCCTTCCAAATCAAAGGCAGCATGGTTGGGGACACGGAGATGCCGAGACATGGAGAGGAGGGAGTTCAGTGAGGGGACTCGGCTCTGCAAAGCTGCTAGTCCCATAGTCAGGGCTGATTGCAGCCAAAGGGCCCAGGTTAAAGTAGCTGCTGGGAGAGCTACCTAGGGAAAGGTCCAGGTGGCACTAGGCATGAACTTCCAGTTGTCCCCTCCCGGGGGCATCATTTCTGCCAGTGACAGCATGTGATGACATGCACAGGGTGGTGCCAACCAGGTGCTTCCCTGGCTTTGGTGTCCAGGGTTTTGCAGGCTCAGCCATGGAATCGTGGCTCACTGCTCTGTGGTGGGCCTTGGGCTCCAGCCCTTCTGGAAGCCAAGCTGATGCTGTATGGCCCAGGGACCCCCAGGAATCTCAGAAATCTCACGGTCAGCATAGATGATCCCATGTGGCCCAGGGCTCCCAAGGAGAACAGATGCTTTTACCAGACAGGATATCCCAAGGGCCTGAGATCACCTCCTAGGAGCTGCAGACTTCTCCCTGGGGAGCTGTGCTGGAGCCATGTCGGGTTTGAGCAGCAGAGGGACACAGTTTGGCTCTGTCATCTGTCACCTTGGCTGTAATGCCAGGAACCTGCTGGGGAGGGCCAAGAGGGGACCTGGGACACCAGCCTGGGAGTCATCTTGCTGGAGCTGGGGACCCGGGCTCAGGGATGGCTGTGGATTCCAGGGGTGTGTTGAAGGCTGAGCTGGCCCGATTTGCTGATAGGGTGGCTGGCTATGTGGAAAGAGCTTGGCATCCAGATGTGCACACAGTTGGGGCTGGACATCCACCAGGGTGGTTCCGTTTGCAAAGGTAGAAGGCTGGGGAGAGGCACGGTGGTGTGCAGACGGGGCTGGGTGGGAGGAAGAAGCACCAGGCCTGGGAGGACCCTGCAGAGTCAAGGTGCCTGCAGTGATGCTGGCAGAGGGGCCGAGGGGTGGTCGAAGTACAAGTAAGGCTCAGAAGAGGGATGTGGCCGGAGGCGACGAATGGGACATTGTCAGCTCACAGAGCATCTGACCTGCCAGTTGATGCAGACGCAGAGTGCATGTGGGGGGGGTGAGGCCCAAGCACCCAGGCTTGAGAGCCCCCACTTCCAGAGTCTGCAGAAATGAGGGGACGCGAACCCAAGGGAAGGAGCGGCCAGGGAAGTGGGGGCCCAGGAAGCCAGCCAGGGAGAGGCCAGCAGGGAGTGGGCAGGGGCATCCAGGGCTGCCAGGGTCCCCATTCTACCCTTCACACATGTGCAAGTCAGCCTGTCATGGTTTACACACGTACACATTACACACACTTGTACACACACGTACATAGAGACACATACAGAGATACATGCTATGCACTCATGAATATGTACATACACACCACATATATATGCATTACACACACATATACATTAACACTATATGTGTAATATACGTAGATGTACACCACACATACAGATACTACACAGACATGCATAGTATACAATACATATACACAAATACATACCATACACATGAATATGTACATAGATACACATTATACAGGTACACATGCATGCACACACACCACATGCACATGCATCATGCACAAGTGCACACTACATGTGCCTATACAACTACATAGATATATACACAGATACATGCAAACATGCACTATACACATAGATACATGCACATTACACACAAGTACATACTTTACATATGCACACACACTTTATACATAGCTACACGTACATGTATGCACACACTACACATATATAAATATACACATTAGAGACCACACATATGTGCACACGTAGATAATACTGCACACATATACATATGTACACAGCCACATACCATACACAATACACATGCACAGATACATGCAACACACATGCATGCTACACACATAGACACCATATATTTATATTCATAAATACTACACACTCATCTGCATGCATACATACACAGTACACATATATACACATAGACCCACCATACACATAGGTACACACAAGCATACGTACTACACACATATCTGCATGTAAACATGCACAAATGCTACATATACACATATATACATGTATAGTTATTTGCACACACACAGAAGACACAAGACGTCCAAGACAGAAATGATTCATCATCAACATGAGGCAGCAGCCAGAACAGGCTCTTGCCACAGCTCTCAGGGGTAGTGTGGGAGAAGCCTGCACATGCATGTGCTGCACCATGGATTTCAGGGGCTGCATCTTATCACCTTGGGTGTCTCCAGGGAGGGAGGCATCTCTGCTCCACTGTCCTGGAATGTCTGCTTGTGTGAGCACTGCTGTCTGGAGCATCTGGGCTGCAGGAGCTGGCCAACCATGGGGCATTATGCCCCAAGAGACCCAGCTCCACCCTATTTCCACAGGCTCCAGCCGCTCGGGGATTTTCCCACACTTGTGCCCAGCCCTCAGCCATCCTGGCTAATCTGACTGACGCTGGCTGGTATGTCGTCCTTCCAGTCTAACTCAGGCTGCATTTAATCAAGCCTCCCAGCAGGGGAGATGCCAACCTGTGGGACTGCCCTGGACCACCCCAAGGCAACAGCCGCCACGTGTGTGGCTCCCACACAGGAAGTCTTGAGAACACAGTTATTGTTTACAATTTGGGGACTCCTAGGAAGGCACACATCAGTACTGACTGATGGTACCTCCCAGATGACCCCCCAGGGGGTCACCTGGGCTGTCAGGTTAACCTCATCTGGCCTGGCTGACTGGCCTCCAAGCCCCCAGTTCAGTCCTTATAACCTAGTGCTGTTCTGGTGTTGCAGGCACCATCCAGGCACTCAGCCCTTCCTGTTCTCCCTGTCCACAGCAGCTGGGCCCGCAGGTCTGCCCATGACTGAGGACGGGGCTGGAGAGGAAGGACTCTAGGGAGTTTTGCCTGGGTGTGTTGGGAGGGGCCATCCCGGTGTCCACTGGTGAGAGCTGATGAACACAATGGCTTGGAGGGCTGCCCTGGGATACTTCTGGAGGAAGGCTCGGATGGGTCATTAACGCCTGCTCCCTGGGGTCTTAGGAGCTTCCCTCCTGCCACCTGTCCAGACCTCTCCTCTGGGAGGTTAGGTTCAAGAGGAACAAAATCTTTTTTATCAAAGCCTGCCAGAAGCCAGTTGAATGCCCTGAGCCCCGCTCCCTTTGGACCAGGCTGCCACCGAGGGTTGGTCATGGCAGAGCCTGGGTTTCCCTGTGGATGGAGGACCTCCCCTTTCCCTCGCTTCCTAACCACCAGTAGGCAGCTTGCACGAGAGAGCTCCTCTCTGGGGACAGCTGCCTTTGGTGACTGGACTGCCTTCCAAAGGTCTGTAGGGCAAGAGGAGGTGGGCACAGTCAGACTGCCATCCCCTTGCTGAGTGGCTCTTGTGGTAGATGTCATAGGACATCAAACTGCAGGGGGTGTGCGTGGCACACGCCTTCATGGTGTGGCTGGAGACCCAAAGCAGCTTCATAGCAGGTAGGCCTCCACAGAGAGCCTGGAGAGGGACAGCTGGCCTAGGGGCCATGGAGAACATTCCCCTTGGCCCTCCGCAGGTTCGCTGAACAATCAGCTTGCAAAAGGCAAACAGATAGGAGGAAAGGCAGACACATTTATTGAATGTGTAGACACTGGATCCTTCAGAATGAAGACCAAAGACCCAGAAGAAGCTGTCTATTTTAATGCTTAGGTTCCATAAAGTATGGACAACTGTGCTGAAATAGGATTGGGCAAATAGGGTTGGATCTAGTGAGAACAGACTGAGTGGGGACATCCTGCTATGCCTGTGTGTCTGGATTCTTCTTGGCCTTCTGAGCAGTGTCCTTTCCTTCTGAGTGAGAAGCAGGACCCTTGCTGGAATGGGGGTCTTGCATCTACAGCCAAACAAGGTAGGTCCGATCATTTCTTCATGGCCAAGTTTTACACAGAAAGATGGAGAGAAAATCGGAGTCCTATTTTTAGGCTTTGTGGCTGGCTTTAGAGAAAAAGGTGTTCTGGTTTCTATGACCCGCCTTGGGGAAGAGGGATTCTAGTTTCTATGGAAGCCTGGGAGGAGAATGAGGGGCTAGAGACAGGAGAGGAGGAGAAGGTCAGAGAGAGAATTTTGCTTCTGTGGCTGCTTGGGAGGCCCTCATTTTGGGGTCTTGTTTTCTAAACCCCAACACTGGGTTCATAGGAGCAGTCTGCCAGGATGGAGAGTGGGTTCACCACATGCAATGTGTTCTCCTCTCCTGTAGGCTTGAGAATGTCTCTCCAGGATGTCCTCAGTCTGACATGTGATGTAGATTCTGCGTCTGTACCCTGCCTATGGTGGGGCTTAGTGAGGTGGTGTCCTGGGGGCTCTGTACAGGAGCCTTGGCAGTCTGGCCAGGGTGTCCCCATCAGCAGCCTTGATTCACTTCATTGTTCATTGCCCCAGGAAGAGGTGTCTTTAACCTGCCAACCTATTTAAAATTATCTCTGAGCCTGGCATGGTGTCACATGCCTGTGATCTTGGATGCTTGGCAGGCCATGGCAGGAGGAGTCCATGCACTCCCTGCCGTGTCCCCTCTGCCTTCCCTTGGGGGAGTCTGTCATCTCGGGGAAGTTGCTTGAGCCAGGAAAGGATCTGGTATAGAGGGGATGGAAGGGGTTAGAGGACAATGACAGAACAAGACACACCTCCGTGGCTCAGCCAACCATGGAGGTAGGACCCTGTCTCTACCGCAAACACATAGATCCCCTACTGTCACCCCCAGAAGAATGGAAGGCCAGCATGCTGGATGCAGGAGGCTGCTCCACAAGACGCCCAAGCTGTGGCTATTCTTCCTGAGTGCGGGCTTGGTGCCCATCCTTTCCCTTCCTAACCAGCCAGAGCTAGATGGGCTGAGCCCTCTCCTGCCTCACCCATCGTGGCTGCTGGTGGCCCTACCCCAGCACTCAGTTCAGGCATGAGTGTCCGTGGCTGTGGTCTGAACAGGGTCGGAGTCTTCCTTCAGATTCAGCACTGGCTCTGGCATTTATTGTGAAGTGGTTGAACTGAGGCTGAACCAGCAAAGTCCCTGGCAGGGACTGGAGAAAGAGCGCCAACCAAGGCACCGCCCAGGTGTCTGTGTTTGAACTCACTCCTCAGTTCTCAGACTGCAACTACCTGCCTAGTTTCTCTCCTTAGCAGGGCAACAAAGTAGAGAAAGAGATCCACAGGGCCACTTCTTCTTTTCCTTCCAGAAGGCCATGCCTCTGACAGTGTCACTTCCCTGTCTCCAAAATTGTAAATCAAAAACTGTGAAGGGCCCACAATTTTACCCCACTTGCAATCTTGCAAGCCAGCCTGATAGCCAGATGTAGACAAAAGACACAAGACTCATGGGTCAGAGACAAAGACTTTTTACCAGCAGTGCCTCAGTGTCTCTCATCATTGCCCTCACCCGTTTCTGTGAGGAGGCGATGGAACCAGGTGTTAGTTGCATGCAGGGGTTGCCCCACGAGAGAGAAATCTTGAATCTTAGGAGACTTGGAGCTCTTTTTATGGGGCTGCTGGTACATCTGCCCATGCTTCACTCCAGAGATAGTGGATGACTTCCTACCCTGGGATGCAGAAATGTCTCCCAGGAAAGGAATGGAAGGGTTTTGTCTCTGTTGCCCTGGAATACAGCCAGGCAGACGGGCATCTTCTGCTTCACTCTCCTTACTTTCTACTCTACTCTCTTCTTCTTCTTCTATTCTAAACCTGGCTGTGAGTGCCTTTGCTCAGAGGGTTGAAATGTGGAATCTGAATTCCAGGGAGAATTGTTTTCTCACAGCAAGATGAGGACAGAGCTGCTGGTAGCATGGCGGCCCTGACTGCTGGTAGCTTTGGGGGAGAGAAATGGAGCCTAGGGGATGGGCTTAGTGGGGATGGGAAGAGATGCCCTGGAGGGTGTGAGCACAGCTCCTTTCTGGAGTTGCCATAAAGGGGTGCAGAGATCTGAGGTGGTAACTAGAAGGTTTTTGAAAAAAAATTATTTAAGATTATTTCTGAGCTGGGTGGGGTTGCTCACACCTATAGTCCCAGCTACTCAGGAGGCCAAGCGGGGAGGATCGCTTGAGCCCAGAAGTTTGAGACCAGCATGGGCAACAGAGTGAGGCCCTGTTGCTACAAAAAGTTAAAAAAATTAGCCAGGCATGGTGGCGCACCTGAGGCGGGAGAATCACTTGCGCCCAGAAGGTCGAGGCTGCAGTGAGCTGTGATCGCCGCACTGCACTCCAGCCTGGGCAACAGAGCAAGACTCCATCTCTACAAATATATATATGTATGTGTGTACGTGTGTGTGTGTATAATGTGTATATATATATATGTGTGTGTGTATATATAATATATATCTCTTATAGTTCTATACAAATCATAAGTTAGTGCTGGTTGTGACCTTTGTGATTTAAGCAATCTGTGGGGCACACCCGACACTATTGGAATGTGAATCGATGCTGTTTTGTATATTTAGACATTATGTGGGAAGGAGTTCTCCACAGTGAGAGGCCGTGCCTTCTGGTCCCTCACCTGGGAAGGAAGCATGCCTTGGCCAGAGAGGTGTAGTCAGTTGTGTGTTCATACCAAGGTGATTTACTTCACATTCTTCAGTCTTCAGATATTCGTATTAGAAGGCTGTGCATTTGGAGGCATGAGGATGTGGCCTGGGAGAGGAGAGTGGAGCTGGGGGTGAGACTTTGGGCTGCCGTGTTCTCCGCAGGAGCAGGTGCAGGGAAAGAAGGCATGGAGGGCTGTGGGCAGTGATTTTGAGAAGGGGCTGCAGGCCCTAGGCTGGGCAGGCAGGGGTGAAGAGGGGATCAAGGTGCTGTGAGCTGGGGTGCAGTCAGTGTGTTAGAGGTCCTCAGAACATTGCAGGACTGCTGAGAGCTGAGGTGACCAAGGACTCAGCTGCCCATAGAGGATGTCCTCTGTGGGGCTCAGGTCCCTTGGCCTGCCCCCTGCCTCTAGCTAGTGTCCAAGGTGGACAGAGAAAGAGAGACAGAGTAAGAGACAGAGACACAAAGAGACAGAAAGGCACAAAAGGCACAGACAGAAAAACAGACAGATAAAGACAGACGTGGAGTCAGAGACAGACACAAAGGCAGAGACAACAAGGAGACAGAAAGAGAGACAGAGACAGAAAATAGACACAGACACAGAGATAGAGACAAAGAAAGAAGCTGAGTCCGAGACAGACGAAGAAAGATGGAGACAGAGAAGCAGAGACAACAGAGAGAATGGGAGCTCGTGTCAGCCTCTCCCTCCAGAGTTGCAGGTCAACCTGGAAGCTGGACCCGGCAGGGAGCCCGTGCCTGGCCCTTGTGCTGCAAGTGTGGCCCCTCCGTCCCCTCCCCGACCATGACTGCAGCCCCCAGGCCAGGCCCAGCTTCTCCCCGCTAATGGAGTGAGCCCCTGGGTCCCCACCTGAGTGATGGCCCCCGCTTGTCCTTTCCAGATGGGAAACAAGTGCAGGTGGACCCCCACCACATCCTCATTGAAGACCCTGATGGCTCATGTGCCCTCATCCTGGACAGCCTGACCAGTGTAGACTCGGGCCAGTACATGTGCTTCGCGGCCAGCGCCGCTGGCAACTGCAGTACCCTGGGCAAGATCCTGGTGCAAGGTTAGCCTGGAGGCCTTCCTGGGGGAGGAGCCACCCTGACCCTCCCACCATGGCAGGCCCAGCTGCGGCGGGGTGGTGGGACAGTGGGATGGACATCCAACCGTGTTCTGAGGGGATCACTGGGGACTCATAGAGGGCACTGGGAGGGGTGGGGACCCTGCAGCCCCTTCCCTGGCATCAGCCTCAGCTCCGTCATGGCATCTCTATGTCTCTGTATGTCTCTGTGTCTGATGCACTGTGTCTATTTCTGTCTTTGTCTGTCCATGTCTGTATGTCTCTCTCTCTGTCCTTTGATCTCCGTCTCTGTCACCCTGTCTCTGTATGTCTTTCTTCTGTTTCTGTCCTTCTGTCTCTGTTTGTCCATCTCTATCTATGTGTCTCTCTGTCTGTCTATCTTTCTGTCTCTGTTTCTCCATCTGTCTCTCTGTCTCTGTTTCTTTATCTCTGGTCTCGATGTCTATGTCTCTCTCTCTCTTTCTGTCTCCATTTATGTCTCAATTTCTCTTTCTCTGTCTCTTTCTGTCTGTTTTTCCATCTCTGTCTCTTTGTCTCTCTCTATTTTCCTCTCTATATTTCTTTCTCTGTCTCTCCTTCTCTGTATCTTTATCTCTCTCTGTTTCTCCATCTCTGTCTTTCTGTCTCTGTGTCTCTTTCTTTGTAAGTCTCTGTCTCTGTCTCCATCTCTATCTCTATGTCTGTCTCTGTCTGTCTGTCTCTATGTTTCTATCTGTCTCTCTCTCTCTGTCTCTTCCCTCCACAACCCCACAGTCCCACCACGGTTCATGAACCAGGTCCGAGCCTCGCCCTTTGTGGAGGGAGAGGATGCCCAGTTCACCTGCACCATCGAAGGCGCCCCATACCCGCAGATCAGGTGGGGCCCAGGCCTGCCTGGGGATGGGGCATGAGGGGGCCGGCTCCCACCTGGAGCATGGGGCACGGACCATGTGTTCCCGTGTCAGGGCTGGGCTGGACATGGACACTGGCCTTCAGCTGAGAATGGGCTTTGTGGGGCTCTGGTTCATTCTGGATGTGGGACACCCCTCAGCCAGGAGGACACGGCCAGGCTGTGTCTTGGCTTCTGGAAGGGTGGGCTCTCTGAGGACCCCTGGGGTCTGAAGGCAGGACAGCTGGGTCGTGAGCACAGGTAGCACAGCCGGGTTTGGCCCTGAGACAGGACATAGGAGGATGTCGCCGGCGGGGTAGAGCATGGCCCGAGTCCTGCCTGCCTCACGTGCCCTCCGGGTGGATTCCAGGTGGTACAAGGACGGGGCCCTGCTGACCCCTGGCAGCAAGTTCCAGACACTGAGTGAGCCTCGCAGCGGCCTGCTAGTGCTGGTAATCCGGGCGGCTGGCAAGGAGGACCTGGGGCTCTACGAGTGTGAGGTGAGAGGTGCAGGAGTGGGGACCTGCCTCGGGGCCCAGGCCATCCGTGCCGGCCGTCCTCTGGGGTCTGATTGTGGAGGGGCTTAAGAGCCCAGGCCCTGTCCTCAAGGTGGGGGGCTCTTGGCAGAGGCCAGGGGGCACCATACCCACTGCTACACCCTTCCTTGATGACAGGCCAGAGGCCACCATGCCACTCTCACCCCCCCATCACAGGTGGGGGCCACCATGCCACTGTCACTGTCATCCCTGGCCACACCACTGCCCCATGCCCTGGCCTTATTCTTCCTCTGCCCCGAAGCCTCTCCTCGGCTCCCATGTCAATCTGGATGCCTTCCTTGGCTTCCCTGGCCATTTCAAGGATGCCACTTGGTTTTTGCCTTTGGGGGGCCCGGCATGGCCTCATGAATTTTGTCATTCATGTCAAATGGAGTGTCAGTCATCCAATGTAGCCTGGCCCTGCTCAGGTACCTTTTACCTGTGGAGATGTCCAGCCTACAGGTGGACAGAGCTGCCTTCTGCTCCAGCCACTGTGTCTGCAGGGCCGGGACAGGGGCTCCCCAGGGTGGGGCCCAGTCCCAGTCCTCTGGCCCTTCGAAGCCTGCAGTGGTTGTGGTGGTCATGGTGGCTGTGTGCCAACTGTAGGTGCCCCAGACCCCAGGCGCTGGCCTCTGTCCAGCTCCTCCAGGGGCACTTGTCTGGCCACCACCCCCCACCATGTAGCTGCTGCTGTGAGCCTGTGGGGAGCCTGCCCCACACCACTCTGGCTGGGGAAACCAGAGACCCAAGTGAGCTCTTGATTTGCACTAATATCATCACTAGCCATGCATGGGGATTTAAATTTAAATTTAAATCAACTAAAGTTAAATCCAAAGCTAGGTGCTGTGGCTCACGCCAGTAATCTCAACAATTTGGCAAGCCAAGGCAGGAAAATCCCTTGAGCTCATGAGTTTGAGACCAGCCTGGGCAACATATTGAAACCCTGTCTCTTAAACAGGGTTTATGTTTGTCTGACTGGTGTGTCATCTCACACCAGTTAGAATGGCAATCATTAAAAAATCAGGAAACAACAGGTGCTGGAGAGGATGTGGAGAAATAGGAACACTTTTACACTGTTGGTGGGACTGTAAACTAGTTAAACCATTGTGGAAAACAGTGTGGCGATTCCTCAAGGATCTAGAACTAGAAATAACATTTGACCCAGCCATCCCATTACTGGGGATATACCCAAAGGATTATAAGTCATGCTGCTATAAAGACACATGCACACGTATGTTTATTGCGGAACTATTCACAATAGCAAAGAGTTGGAATCAACCCAAATGTCCATCAGTGACAGACTGGATTAAGAAAATATGGCACATATACACCATGGAATACTATGCAGCCATAAAAAAGGATGAGTTTGTGCCCTTTGTAGGGACATAGATGCAGCTGGAAACCATCATTCTCAGCAAACTATCGCAAGAACAGAAAACCAAACACCGCATGTTCTCACTCATAGGTGGGAAATGAACAATGAGATCACTTGAACACAGGAAGGGGAACATCACACACTGGGTCCTATTGTGGGGAGGGGGTGGGGGGAGGGATAGTATTAGGAGATATACCTAATGTAAATGACGAGTTAATGGGTGCAGCACACCAACATGGCACATATATACATATGTCACAAACCTGCATGTTGTGCACATGTACCCTAGAACTTAAAGTATAATAAAAATAAGTAAATAAAAGAAAATGCATAGGCAAAAAAAAAAAAAACTAAAAAATTACTCAGGCCCAATGGTGCACACTTTTAGTCCCAGCTAGTCGGAAGGTTGAGGTGGGAGGATCCCTTGAGCCCAGGAGTTGAAGGCTGCAGTGAGCTGAGATCGTGCCATTGCACTCCGGCCTGGGTCACAGAGCGAGACCCAGCTTTAAAACATACATAAAACGAAGTTAAGTTCAGTTAAAGATTCGGTTCCCTGGCTGCTCTGGCCCCATGTCCCATGCTCAGAGCTGCACGTGGACAGGGCAGACGGAGAGCATCCTCATCACTGCAGGGGACCCTAGGGCCATGTGGGTCCCCCAGGGATGCTGTGGCTGGGCTGGGGCCCTTCCCCTTGTGGGGGACACACCAGAATGGAGGCTGCCCATGCTCCCAACATGGCCACAGGGAGAGGGCCCTGCCCGTGAGAAGCCTTGGGCTCTGAGCCAGCCCTGCTGTCCTTGCAGCTGGTGAACCGGCTGGGCTCCACACGAGCTAGTGCAGAGCTGCACATTCAGAGCCCCACGCTGCAGGCCCGGGAGCAGTGCCACAGGGAGCAGCTCGCAGGGGCAGTGGAAGGTAAGTCCCACCCCTGTCCTTGCCACCAAGGCAGCTCCCCACGGCTCAGACCCACGCTGGACCCTCACAGGCCTGGCCATGCCCGGGGGGACATGACTCTCACCTTTCCCAGTCAGGGTCTGCTGCCTGGAGGACCCTGGAGGAGGGCTGGGCTGGCATCGTGGGGCAGGGAGAGCCACAGATGGGAGATGAGGAGGCTGCTGCGGGCCAGGCACAAGTCCCAGCCCCTGGCTGGAGGCAGCACCTGTGTGGGCTGGTGGAGTGTGGGCCCTGAGCCCAGAGCCTGAGTGGAGGCTGAAGAGGTCACTCTGGGTGAGCGGGGTTCCCAAAGCCCTGCTGCGGTCCAGAGAGGGAAAGCCTGTGCACAGAGGCCAGGCCTACACCCAGGGCAGCTCGCCGGTGGTGGACAGGAGGCAGTGGGCAGGAGGCAGTGGGGAGGTTGCGGCAGGAACAGTAGGAAGGACGTCTCTGCAGAGGGCCAGGCCACTGGGCCCCAGCTTGGCTCCCAGGAGAAGGGGCAAGTGTCAGGGGCCTGACCCCTCCATTGAGGGTAGGGCTGGTTGTGGAGAGACCTGGCCTGGTCTGGGACTGCTCCTGGGTTCCTGGGAGGGCCTTGGGCTGCAGAATGACCTCACTAGGGGTGGAAGGTGATGGGCCGGGGGAGAGGTGGGACACATCACCTCATTCCTCCAGGCTCCCGGATGCTTTATTCAGGGCAGGGCAGCCAGGATGGGAAGGGGGTCATCGGGCATCCGTCTTGGGCTCCCAGTTGGGCTGCCCGTCTGGACAGGTTTTGAGCCTCCTATCACTGGGGACATACAAGTGGAGGCTGGTTCAACACCTGGCGGAGCTGCAACTCTCACTGTGGGTTGGAATACGTGTCCTCCAAGTCTTAAACATTGGCTCCTGCAACCCCACCTCAACTGTCTCTCCCAGTGCCCAGTGTCTGAAAGCCAGTTGCCCATCTGGACCCCACAGAGCTGGGCCATCTTTGATGCCCTCCATGACCCTCAGGGAGACCCCTCCCTTGCTGGGCAAATGTCCTTGTTCCTCAGCCTACACAGTGCCACAGGCACTGGCCAACCCCTGACTGCGAGTGCCCCATGTCTGACGTGTCTCTGGGGGCCCTGTGACCTCCGTCAGCCCCACAACTGGTGGCCACAGCACCACACACAACTGCTTCTGGAGCTGCCAGCACCTCAGCCTCCCATGAGTCTTGTGTCTCACGGCCAGGGAGGTGCCCAGCTGGGACACTGGGACACCCAGTGTCCCAGTCTTGCTGGTGACAGGAGTGTCCTCCACAGTCGTTCACTTGGCTGTCACAACAAATCTCTCTCTGGGTCTGGAGGAGGGGGTGGCAGGGGAGAGAGGCCACCAGTGCTGGACAGGGTGTTGGCACCTCGGCGAGGTGAGAACGCAGGTCCTTGAAGACCCTGAAGCTGGAGCCAACACCTCCCCGCTTCTAACTCCTATCCTGCTGCTTCATCTTTAACCCAGCAGCTCTGCAGCCCAAACAGGCCCTGGCAGGCCTCTGCGGGGTGGGCGCTGCCCCCTTGCTTGTGGATCACGCTGCGCACGGCTGCACTCCTCCCATGGTCGCAAATACTCACTCTGGCCCACAGCTGATCAGGTGGCAGTTTAGGTACATGAATTAAGGTGCCAGAGAGTGTATGGGCCCAGAGGTGCCTGGCTGTCAGCCCCAAGTACGGGGAGGATGAGTGGGGAGGCCCTGGATTTTCCCATCACTCTGTAGTTCCCATCACTGGCCTGCAGGTGGTGGACACATTGACTTTCTCTGGGGTCAGCTTAGTCTAAACACACAGAGCCTTTTGGTTGGATCTCATTCTCTCCTCCCATGGGCACTCCTCTCTCCAGGGGGAGCCTGTGAAATACACACTTACACATATGTATACATGTGCATGCACACACATATGCATGCACGTACACACATTTGCACATGTGTGCCCAGAAATGCACAGTACGTGTGGCTTGCAAGTGTACATATAGATGCAGGTAGTCCCTGAAATTCATGTGCTTCTCATCTGAGACAGGTGTAAAGCCTTTCTCCACATGGCAATCTAGCAAAGCAGACGGTGTCCCACCCCCCACCCAGAGCCGTGAGGCCGTGTGCCCCAGGCCACGTTACTTGACTTTTCTGGGCCTCCTGCTTGTTTTTTTCCCTCAGGGTGCTGGGAAGGGTCACTGAGATGTGAAGGTGCTGGTGGCCTGTGGACTGTCCACTGGCCAGCTGGCTAGGGCTGGGAGGGGGCCATCTTTGTGCCCTGATGATTCTGCCTGGGAGCTGCAGAGGAGGAGTCCTTGAGGTGAACTGGAAGGAGGAGCTGCCTGATCCCAGATGCGTCCCATCCCATAGCTGGAACCACAGGCCCCATCCTGCTGGCTCTGGGGAGGGAGGCAGCTAGGAAAACCAAGAGAGACCATGGAGTGTGTGAACTGAGGATGCTCCTATAGGGAGATTTGGGCTGACGCTCACTCGGAGCTCAGCACCCTGCCCAGGCATCCCCTGGGGCTGTTCTTGGCAGGACTTCTGTGGCTTTGTGCCACAAAGCTCAGGTGTGCCACTTTCAGGACTCCAGAGTCCCTCTCTCCTGAGGATTTATTGTAACAGAGGCCCCAACTGCCTCAGCCTCAGTGTAGCTGCTGGCTCCCTATGCAGCCACAGGCCATGTATTCCCTTCTAGGACTTGGCTTCTGTGTCTGAGAAGTGGGATTGTAGGTCTGACAAATTCACAGGGCTCCCTTGGCACATGGGTTGAAGGAGAAGCTGGGATTTCTGTGCTGGGAGTGTAGGTAGGGTCTTCATTCTCCCCCCAGACCCTCGAGACCCTCGAGACCCTGCAAGACCCTCGAGAGGGACAGTGGGTCCTGCCTTCACGAGGGAACACATTGTCCTCAGCCCTCATTCCACAGCCACTCAGGACAGGCATCGTCACCTCCATGTCAGAGACCAGAGAACTGGGGCTCTGAGTAGACAGCCTGCCCAGGGGCAGCTTAGCAGGCGACTATAATGCTGTGCCACTCAGATAGCTCAGCCCCCAGCACTGGCTGGTCTGTAACCCTCGCTATTCCGACTGTTTTCTTTGTAGTCACTGAGCAAGAGACTAAAGTCCCCAAGAAAACCGTCATCATGTAAGTGCAGGCGTGTTCCTAACCTTCCTTCTGACTGCAGTGCCTCCTGCATGCCACTGACCTGCCTGGATCATGCCCGTGTGGCCTAGCCACCTGCTTGCCGCCTGTCTGCTCACGTAACATTCACCCTCTGACTGCCAGCACCTTACAGGTACTTGCAGTTACCTTGCATAGGCACCTTCCCCTGGGGCCTCGATTACCTCCACACTTCACAGCTCTCTCTTCCAGGGCCTCAGTACACTCCATGGTCCCACTATTTCAGCAGAGTAGACTTATTCCACACACTTCACAGTGGTTCATCCAGGGATTCATCAGGTGCTAGGCCTGACAGCTGCTTTCCTCAGTGGGCCAGAGACAGAATTCTAATCCTCAGCACCCTGGGATTTACGACAGTGTTGTCCAACAGAACTTTCTGTGATGATAGAAATGTTCTATATTGGCTGGGCACAGTGGTGCACGCCGGTAATCCCAGCACTTTAGGAAGCCAAGGAGGTCAGGAGTTCGAGACCAGCCTGGCCAACATGGTGAAACCCTGTCTCTACTAAAAACACAAAAATTAGCCGGGTGTGGTGGTGGGCCCTTGTAATCCCAGCTACTCGGGAGGCTGAGGCAGGAGAATTGCTTGAACCCGGGAGGCAGAAGTTGCAGTGAGCCAAGATCATGCCACGGCACTCCAGCCTGGGTAATAGAGCAAGCTCTGTCTCGAAAAAAAAAATAAAAAGAAATGTTCTATATCTCCCCTGTCCACTACAGTAGCCACTAGCTACATGCGTCTTTTGAAGCATCTGGAATGTGTCTAGTGTGATTGAAGGACAAATTTTAAATTTTAATTTTTGTTCATTTGAATTTAATTTGCATAGTACACTCATAGTGGACAGCACAGCCTTAGGGCCCTTAGAGGTCCCCAAGCCTGATTTTCACATTTGGAAGATGGGGAAACTGAAGTTCAGGGAAGAGAGGAGGTTAGCTCTGGGTGGCTAATGATTGGAAGCCAGCGGAGATCCCACTTCCCCAGTGCCATGCCCACCGTCCCTTTCTTCATCCTTCAGTGCCTCAAGGATTTAGCAAAATCACACATGCTGCTGCTGATGAAGTAACACAAGAGGACCAGAACTGGGTGAACCCATAAATGTAGGGTTGGTTTTGACCTGAATAATCTGAGAGGACTTCCAATAGAAGGTGTGTGCAGGTGGGAGTGATGGAAGAGCTTGCAAAAGCCAGGAGGCAGGAAAGACTATGGTTTCCTAAGGCCAGATGGCTGAGAAGCTCCAGCACGGGAAAACTCTTAGTTCTCAAGGGGCCTACAACCTCCAAAAGGGGCCTTCAGTTGGCCCTATTATAGGAAAATCCCATTGCCAGACATTTGTTGAGATCCTGGGTTAACCCTTCTTTGGCTTTCTCCCTCCTTCCCTAAATCAAGTTGCTTCTATGATGCCACCCCACAATAGATGGGACTGCCTGGATGCTCGTGAGCACCCCACTCCTGGAGGTATGCAACGGTGCCAGAGCCTCACATAGATTAGTTCTACATTTTGTCCCTTTGGGAGCACTATTATTATCTACATTTTATGGATAAGAAAATGGAGGAGCAGAGATGGAGCCAGAATGCCCCACTGGCAAAGCTTCAGAGGCGACTCATGCCTAGGGAAGGGAGGACCAGGTGATTTACAAGCATACAAGTCCAGTCTGTTCCAGACTTAGGAAGGTGGGAACCCTCACCCTGCAAAGAAAAATTTACCCACTCAACTTGAGGAATGGAGGGAGCCAACTGCATAGGCATAGCGCTGAACCCAAGGGAGGACCACACAGGTAGAGGCACCAGGGAGGCAGTAGACCCGAGAAGGAAACAGGGCTTGGAGGCAGACCCCATGTGCTGTGCTTGTAGTATCAGTACAGGATGCCCATGTGTCCTTGTGCAGGTAGCAGTGAGTCCAGCATTTGGGGGGATATTTAGGAGTCCCCATCCCCATCCACCTGTTGGGCTGCACTCAACTTACCACCCTGCATCAGCATGCAGCAGATCGGGCAACGTGAGGTGAGCAGATGGGGCCTGGTCCAGGCTCTCAGCAACAAGCGTACTGCCCTAGAGCCTGCGTGTGAGGCAGGAAAGCAGCCTGTGGGCATGAGTGGGCCACATCTCTGAGCCTCAGCTTCCCCATCAGTTAAGTGGAATACATCACTCCCTCCTTAATAGCTGAGGGCTGGAGGAGGCAGGACCTGTCATTGCTGTGCACCCCAAGGGGTGGTCACACATCTCTGGGCTCATCCCTGGGAGCAACTGCTTCCAGATGGAGCCCTGAATTAGACAAAAGCAAAGCTAAACGAGAGAGAGGCAGTACCTTGGACAAAGAAGACAGCTGGCAGTAGCTCACGTGGTGACAACTTTGTCACCTCATACGTGCCACATTCCTTGCCCTGAGCCTGAGGGAAGTGCAGGGCTGAGGGCAAAATGAGTAATAGGCAGGGAACTGGTATGTGTTGTGTGTTACTCAGCACGTTCTGCTTCCCTACCTGTTACTCAGTTTGCTCTCAGTGCTCAGCAAGGTCAGGGACACCGGGCACCAGAGGAGGACCTGGGCTGACTGCTGCACTTCTCCCTCTTGGCCCCAGGCAGATTTTGAGCCTCTTTGAGCCTCTCTGTCCCCTATGAAGTGGGATCAGACCCTCTCCCAGGTTACTACAGAGTCAGACAAGAGAACTTGCAAAGTGCTCCATGCACAGCCACATACAGCCGACCTTGCATTCTGCCTCCATCACTCCTCCCCAGTCCCATTTTGGGAGATGGAACCAGGCAGGAGGAGGGGCTTGTCTGACATCACACGGCTCATCACGGCCAAGCCAAGTCTGGGGCCAGGTATCCAGCCAGGTTTCTTCCTTGGCCTGCCTAAAGCCTTTCCAGGCCTCACACTCTCAGACCCAAAGGCTAGGAGAAAAGGTCTGAGCTCAACCCCCACCCCGCCCCCGTGGCATGAGCTGTCCAGCCCATCCCTGGCTGAGGATTTTCGGGGTGTGCAGGCCCTGCCCTCTTAGAGTTGGCCACTCACCGTCCCCCATGATACAAAGCACAAAGCCTGCTGGTGGCATGGACCTGGAGGGGAGACTATCACTGGGGCCACTGCACTTAGGATGTGACCCAGTTTTTGGAGGCACTTGCCTTTGCAGTGCGGCACGGGCCTCCCCATATACCTCACCTCTTGTTTTCAGATCTGCACACCAGAGACTGAGGTTGGCCACATGGGACCTTGTGCTTTGTTTCTTTGGTTCTATGGCAGGGGGTGGGGGACTCTGCAGGTTGGGCTCACATGCATGTGTAAGAGTTCTTTGTGCACTCTCACCGCTCGCTTGCTGGTACAATAACCTGAGCTCTTATGCTGCCCTGGCAATCCTGGGCACTGTGCCCATCTTTTCTTGGGCCCTCTCCTCCCTCCCCCAGAGAAGAGACCATCACCACTGTGGTGAAGAGCCCACGTGGCCAACGACGGTCCCCCAGCAAGTCCCCCTCCCGCTCACCTTCCCGCTGCTCTGCCAGCCCGCTGAGGCCGGGCCTACTGGCCCCTGACCTGCTGTACCTGCCAGGGGCTGGCCAGCCCCGCAGGCCTGAGGCAGAGCCAGGCCGGAAGCCCGTGGTGCCCACACTGTACGTGACAGAGGCCGAGGCCCACTCTCCAGCTCTGCCCAGACTCTCAGGGTCCCAGCCCAAGTGGGTGGAGGTGGAGGAGACCATTGAAGTCCAGGTGAAGAAGATGGGCCCGCAGGGTGTGTCTCCCGCCAGAGACGTGCCCAGGAGCTCATCAGGGCATCTCTTCACGCTGCCCGGTGCCACCCCCGGAGGGGACCCCAATTCCAATAACTCCAACAACAAGCTGCTGGCCCAGGAGGCCTGGGCCCAGGGCACAGCCATGGTCAGCATCAGAGAGCCCCTCGTCTTCCACGTGGATGCCAGAGGCAGTGTGGACTGGGCTGCTTCTGACGTGGGCAGCCTGGAGCTGGAGGAGACCGGCGTCACCCTGGAGGAGGAGTGCACCATGGAGGAGGCGGGAGAGGAAGAGGGGGAAGACGGAGATGCCTTTGTGACGGAGGAGTCCCAGGACACACACAGCCTTGGGGATCGTGACCCCAAGATCCTCACGCACAACGGCCGCGTGCTGACACTGGCTGACCTGGAAGATTACGTGCCTGGGGAAGGGGAGACCTTCCGCTGTGGTGGCCCTGGGCCCGGCGCCCCTGATGACCCTCCCTGCGAGGTCTCAGTGATCCAGAGAGAGATCGGGGAGCCCACGGTGGGGCAGCCTGTGCTGCTCAGTGTGGGGCATGCACTGGGTCCCCGAGGCCCTCTCGGCCTCTTTAGGCCTGAGCTCCGTGGGGCATCACCACCAGGACCCCAGGTCCGTAGCCTTGAGGCCACCTCCTTCCTCTTGCCGGAGGCCCCGGCTCGGCCTGTGGGCAGTGCTCCCTGGACGCAGTCTTTCTGCACTCGCATCCGGCGTTCTGTGGACAGTGGTCAGAGCAGCTTCACCACAGAACTTTCCACCCAGACCATCAACTTTGGGACAGTGGGGGAGACGGTCACCCTTCATATCTGCCCAGACAAGGATGGGGATGAGGGGGCACAGCCCTGATGCTGCTGCTGTGGTGGCTTGGGGCAGCAGGGAGAGGGGCGTGCCCTTGAGGCCTAGGACGCTGCCCAGCCTCAGCAGCAGCCCCTAGGAGCCTCCTGAGGGCCTCCCTGTCCCTGGTCCTGGGCCCTTCTTACCTCACTCAACTTCAGCCAGGAGGACTGGGTGGCGCTTGTAACGTCAGAATGACTGGCTCAAAGACCTCGGCTCTGGGCTATTTCCTCTCAGCCTGGCAGGAGCCTTGGGACTGTGGACGAAGGATGTAGCCTTGGGCATTTGTCCTGTTCCCATGTGGGCCAGGTCCATCCCTCCTGGTCACAGCTGCCAGGCCTGACATGGCCTTGCCTCTTCTGCAGTCTTGGTGACTGAGACCCTTGGGTGGGTGCTTCCCAGCTCTGCAGGCCCTCCTGGCCTTCTCTGCAGGGTGGACATGGGGTCTGTGTGTGGGCAGCAGCCTGTCTCTCAGCAAGAATAAAGTAGCTTCCTGCACACCTCTCTGACTCTCCTTGCCTCTCCACTGGGCAGCCCTGGGTCCCCTCCACCTGCAGCCCTCAGGGGAGCCCATACCCTCATCTGCCTTTGACTGTGAGGTCCCCTGGCTGGCCACTGCCTGTGGAGTCCCGGCCCACCCTGGGGTCCCTGAGTGGACCTGCGACAGCTGGTTCCCATCATGGAGAGGCCACTCACAGGGGCACACAGCATGGCCAGAACAGCCAATCATGCTCCTTCCTAGCATGCTGGGTACCAGGCAGGCCTTCCCCAGCCCTGGGCAGCTGGGACTGTTGTCATGGCAGACGTGGGGATGTGGTGACCCCATGGGATCTCAGCATCAGAGGTCAACTTCATTGTCTCTGGCCGGACGATCCCAGCACCATTAGAGGACAACCCCAAGCCCTCCAGCTCCGAGGCTGGCCCAGGGGTCCTGCTGACTGCGTTGGAGTGAGGAGGGTAGAGAGGAGGGTACCCTGGCAATGTAGAGAGCAGCCCAGGTCTCCTCTCCAGGCTGGCAACTGGGGATGCGGCAAGGGCCCTCAGCAAGGGCTTGAAGACACAAACAAGGCGGGAGGCTTGGGGCAGGTGACCTGCTGGACCCGTGTGCGAGGTGCCTGGCTGATGGCCAGGTGGACGGGGAGGCTGCTGAGGGGGAGCTGCCAGTGGGGACCATGCCCAGCAGGGCTCTAGAGGAGTCTCTTGCAGCCAGCAAGGGGCCAGGTGGGGCGGTCGGGGCTGGGGTTGCAGGTAGAAGGGAGAGCAGATTTGGGTCACAGGTGGAGAAGAGAAAGCCCCTGGCAGGCGAGTTCAGGCAGGGGCTGCCCTGGGAGGGAGGGCCCATCCCCAGGAAGGGGTCCACGGTCATGGCTGCCTGGACACCCACTGAACCCAAGCTTCCTCTGGTTCTCGCCTTGGCACCAGGCTGTGCCCAGGTTTGAGGAGAGGCCAGCCCTGGTAGGGGGTTGCAATCAGTGGTAGAGCCAGGGCCTGGGGCAGGTATCCAGGCCCGGCTGCTCCCTGGAGGTGGTGACACTCTCCTGAAGGTTCCCGGGGAGGATGGGCCTGAGCTCGCAGGGAGTCTAGGAGGAGGAAGTGCCTGCCTGCAGCATGGGTCTGTGGTTTTTTCCTCTCTGTGTCCCAGGCCTCCACCTCCAGGCAGCCTCCTGAGAGGGGAGTGGGTGGGGAGGAGCCCAGTGTTGGACCACCTGGGCAGTCTCTGAGGAGGGGGACGGGGTTCCTGGAGACCCCTCCGGAGGCTGCAGCTATCCCAGACCCCTGGGTCTCACCTGCTCTTCACTCATCTGCCTCTTCTACAGACACCACCTTGGAGCGAGTGGACCAGATCACATCCGTCCTGGAGAGACTGCTGGGCCCCAGGGTGCCAGGCCCCTTCACAGGGGACCTCACTGGCCCCAGCCCCTGCCCCGGGGGGGCACCTGCACTCCAGGAAACCGGCTCCCAACCTCCAGTCACCGGATCTTCGGAGGCACCCGGTGAGGCCCAGACGCATGCTGACAACAAAGTCCCCCAGGGATTGACCCCAACCTGGCTGTGCAACGTGAAGGGTACCCATCACATGGGCATGAACTGGCTAGGCCCCAGTGACTCCGATTTGGAATCCCAGTGGCTCCATGCACTGGGGGTCCTGGGCCAAGCCTACCTCTTGCTTGGCCTCAGTTTCCCTGTCAGAATCTTGGCACAGAATGGGTTCTGGAAGGTTCCTCCTGCTCTGAATCTGTTCCAGGAGCCAGAGGCTTCCCATGGTTGGCCTGTGATGGCAAATTCAGGTGCCCTGTGCTCCTCAGTAGACAGGGAGGAGGGGGAGCAGGGGGTGAGAAAGGGGAGGAGGAGACAGGGGAGAAGTAAGAGGGAGAGGAGGAGGGGGATGGAGGGGGCAGAAGACAGGAAAGGAGGAGGAGGTGGAGGAGGGAGGGGCAGAAGCAGCCAGTACCCCAGACAGACCAGATCAGACTGGCTGCTACAAGAGCCAGCTCTGTGGGTCACTCAAGCCCCTTCCCCCAGGTGTTGGGGGTCTCCTGTTTTGAAGCACTTTAATGGCTTCTTTTTTTGTCTTTGGGACGGGGTCTTGCTCTGTCACCTAGGCTGGATTGCAGTGTGCAGGGGTGCGACCACAGCTCACTGCAGCCCCAACCTCCTGGGTTTAAGTGATTCTCTCACCTCAGCCTCCCAAGTAGCTCCCATGCCACCATGCCCAGCTAATTTTTTTATTTTTGGGTAGAGATGGGGTCTTGCTGTGTTGCCCAGGCTGCTCTCAAACTCCTGGGTTCAAGCCATTCTCCTGCCTCAGCTTCCCAAAGTGCTGGGATTACGGGTGTGAGCCTGGCTGCCCACCTGCCCGAGCCCTGGCCTCGCTCCAGCCCGGTCTTCAGGTCCCCGATCAAGGAACTTTTCCTAAAGGGACAGATAGTGCATCTGGGGAAACTGAGGCCTGGGTTGGGGGAATCTCATCCAAATCCCTGCTGCTCACCGAAGGTGGATGGGGGCCTGGAGTCAGGTGTCCAGAGAGCCATGAGGACGGGGCTGAAGCGAGGCCAGAGCTGGGGCAGGATGGCAGCCAGGCTCCTCCCCTGCCCCGTCCAGCATCCTCTGCATCTTGCTTCTGTGGGCTTCTTGGGTCCATGCCCTTCTCCTTCTCTTTTGGCCCAGCCCCAGCCTTGGTTGTCTTCACACAAAAGACCATCACGGCCTTGCATCCTGTGTGCCTACCCACTCTGGTCACCCCACACCATCTTGCAGGGGCTTCCCTGATGCACCCTCCCTGGCCACCCCTACCTGGTTCCATCACCTTGGAGAAAGGCCGTCAGGCTGGAGCCAAACAGGATGAGACCTCCAGGGCTCAGTGCCCTCCCCAAGGACAGCACGGGACAGTCCCCCACCATGGTCTCACGCTTAATCCCCTGAACACATGCTCCAACAGTCCCACAGTCCCTATGCTGCTTCTGTGGCCTCCCGCAGGCCAGGTGGCATAGGGTTCGGGGCAAGCAAGCTGCCTTCCCCCATGAGATGAGAAGGCCAGCCCCTCAGGTCTGCTTCCCCACAACAGGCACAGAAGCCCCCAGGCCTTCAATGAGCGCAGGCTCCTCCCTCTAGCTGCCTGGGCACCCTGGGGCCACCTAGGGCTAAGGGGCGTCTCTCTAGGCCCCAACTTGGTGTACATTTGCTCTGTTTGCCTATCACGGGGCTGGCTGGGAGCAAGGCCTGGCCCAGGAGAAGGGGCACGGCATCCCTGTCACCCTGGGAAATGGTCTCTTCTCATTCTTCTGCCTGTCACTCTTCCCCATGCAGTGACCGAAGGCCGGCGTCTGTAAGAGAAGGACAGGCCGAGGCTGGGGCAGGGGTCTGGGAGGACTAGCCCTGGCCCTCACTTGAACTCTGCCTTGTGGGTGGAGTGTACCCTGCCACATCCAATGGGCTGTGTGCCAGGGCCACAGTGGTTGAGCAGACAAACCCGCCCTAGGTGCCGCTTGGCCCATCCGGGGCAGATCGTGGGCTCCTTCACAGGCCTGACGCTCGTTCACTCTGCCCGATGCCTCTGCAGAGTGGGCATGGGTTGGCCTGCTCTGGCCATGACCCCACCCGCCCTGCCTGTGGCGGACACCCTTTCCACTCGTCCACCTGCTTGAAGCTCAAGTGTATTCCCACAGCCACCTGCCCTGCCTGCGCTGCCTGTGCCACCGGCCGGGGCTGTCCCGAGCCCCACTCCTCTACCCAGTCTGCCCTGGGTCTCTCCTGTCCTCTCCCTCACAGCTGGGTGGAGTGGCGTCAAGGGCCCTACCTGTGACCTCTGGGCAGCCCCATGGGGTGATGCCCTGGCCCTCTGGATCCTGCCCACCATTGCTTGCATGCTAGGAACTGTTGAATGCTCCTGGCACACACGGTGCTGAGACAGAGCTGCCTGTCCTGCCTGGCTGGCAGGGAGTGTTCTAGAGGGCAGAGGCCACCGCATCCAGTTGTCAGTCTGGCGGGTGGGCAGGGGACCCTCGGGGCTGGTGGCACCAGGTCGGATATGGAGGGTGCTTGGCACCTGGGCTCTGCAGGGTGGCTAACTGCACATGCTTGAGCTGTGGGCTGGGTACTGGGTTTGGGGCCTAGGACCTTGCCAGGATCTCACCCACAGCCCAGGGCCCCGGGAGCCCAAAGCTCTGCCTGGGCTTTCCTAGCCTGGGAATGTGGGGACCAGATGCGGGTACCACCTGGGCTCCATCTCATGAGGCCCTCATCTCCCAGCAGCCGTGCCCCAGAGGGTGCCACAGCCCCTCCTCCACGAAGGCCCAGAGCAGGAGCCAGAGGCCATTGCCAGAGCCCAGGAATGGACTGTGCCCATTCGGTAACCACCCCAGACTGCTGGGTCCTGCACTGGGGACCAACCCCAGGGGACATCTCTGGGCAGGCAGGGCAGGGCACGAGTTACTGCGGTGTCCTCACAGCCCTCCACTCTTTGCCAGCAGCTACCCCAGGCATGGCAGGTCTGGGAGGAGAGGCCACCCTTGGGATGAGAGGTGTTGGGGGGCCCCCTCCACACTAAGGGCTGGGCACCCGTCTGTACATCTCATCCCAGAGAGGCTTTGCTGCAGCCCCTTCCTAGTGGTGATGAGCAGGGATACCCTATCTCATCGGGAGGCCTGGCTGCTCAGAACGTGTGGGGGCCCGGCAGAGCCTCACCCCACTTCCTAACCCCAGGATGGAGGGTGCAGCCAGGCCTGGGGCAGGCACAGGGGAGCTGCTCTGGGACGTCCATAGCCACGTGGTCACGGAGACCACACAGAGGACCTACACATACCAGGCCATCGACACACACACCGCAAGTACGGGGTTGGGCCCAGCTGGGTTATAAGTGTGATCCCCATACCCCCTGTCCAGGGCTGGGGGGCATTTGCACATCTGCAGAGGCCACGCAGCCTGTCTCAGCCCTGCCCCAGCCTGGGATGCCCACATTCTACTCACTGTGTCCCTTCAGAGGGGCCAGAACCCTCCACTGGGGAGACGCAAGTGGCAGTGAACTTGGTGTTAATAGGATCCTGTCCCTGAGAACGGCAGCCAAGTTAGTGAGCTCCACTGGCCCCACCAACTCCTCCTGATCACCTGGCCAGCTGAGGTCAGAGTGGGAGAGGCAGTGGTTCCATTGAAGGAGCACCCATAACTGTCAGAAGCCTGGGCAGTCAGGATGGGGTGCTGTTGCTTGGGCTGTGGGGGGCGTTCAGTTGCCCACAGTATATCTCAGGGCCTCAACAACCACCCAGGCATGGTGGGCTGTGGCTGGCACCCAGGGTTGTGTGGCTGGGGAGGTGGTTTCCATGGTTCCCTCCCTGCCCTCCCAGGGCCCCCATCCATGCAGGTAACCATCGAGGATGTGCAGGCACAGACAGGCACAATGGCCCAATTCGAGGCTGTCATTGAGGGCGACCCACAGCCCTCGGTGACCTGGTACAAGGTAGGTGTGCAGGTCCAGGTGAGCGAGATTCGGGAATGGCCCCAGGATCTGGGGGACCCACGGGAGATGGGTGCAGTCCACACTGTGCACTTCCTCCCACATCCCCTCCAGACTGGACACACAGCAGGTGTCGGAAGCACTGCTCAGTGAAGGGTGGGGTGATGGGGTCCCCCAGAGTGGGCTGATGGCAGCCCTGCTGATCCTGTGCCTCCAGGACAGCGTCCAGCTGGTGGACAGCACCCGGCTTAGCCAGCAGCAAGAAGGCACCACATACTCCCTAGTGCTGAGGCATGTGGCCTCGAAGGATGCCGGTGTTTACACCTGCCTGGCCCAAAACGCTGGTGGCCAGGTGCTCTGCAAGGCAGAGCTGTTGGTGCTTGGCGGTGAGTTGGTCGACCCCTCCTGGGCCCAGGCTCTGCAGCTGGGCTGGCCAGGTACAGGTCTTGTCTCCATGGGGCAACCTCTCTTCCCATTGGTGGTACCTGGGTGGGTGTGGTCCCTGGGTGGGTGTGGTCCCATAGTCTTGGGTCCAGGAAGCAGCTCCCATTAACACCACAGCACTGGGTTCTATGGGGATCAGGGTGGTCACCTTTGCCCATACCAGCTGCTTCCCATTCCTTAGGGGACAATGAGCCGGACTCAGAGAAGCAAAGCCACCGGAGAAAGCTGCACTCCTTCTATGAGGTCAAGGAGGAGATTGGAAGGTAGCACCTAGCCCCCTTTCCCCTGGACAGCCAGATGGCTCCTTTCCTCAGGCCACCTGGGCTCTCCTCACTCCGTCTTTCCTAGGGGTGTGTTTGGCTTCGTGAAAAGAGTGCAGCACAAAGGAAACAAGATCTTGTGTGCTGCCAAGTTCATCCCCCTACGGAGCAGAACTCGGGCCCAGGCATACAGGGAGCGAGACATCCTGGCCACGCTGAGCCACCCGCTGGTCACGGGGCTGCTGGACCAGTTTGAGACCCGCAAGACCCTCATCCTCATCCTGGAGCTGTATCCTGCCCTCAGCCCCTGAGAGGGCTTGAGGAGGGGCATGCAGGGCCAGGCCAGGGCTCAGAGGAGCCATGTGCTTGGTGTCCCCTGCCTGGCTGGGTGGTGGCGACAGCCACCCAGCCGGGAATTTGGGTGGGGAGTCTTCTGTTCCACGGGGCAGTGACTGGAGTCCCCAGGGGGTACTGGTGGCTAGCTGGCCCTGATGACCTGATGCCCTCAGCAAGGATGGTGGGGGTCCGCTCCCACTCTGTAGATGGCCTCTTAGAGAGGAAGGAGCTGCTTGGCCTGGCTACTCTGGGGCACACCCTGCCACCCACATGGCCTTGTCTTGGAGGTCTCCTCTGTCCTCTGGTGCTCTTGACGGTGTCAGCCGGACACATGCCCCACTGCCCCAAGTCGGTGTCCTCTTTGCAGGGAGAGGGTGCTGGATGGGCTCTGTACAGAGGGGACACGATGCCCCCTCCCACTGTGCCAGTGCAGTGACTGCCCTCAGTCCCCAGCGTCAGCCTGCAGCCCCTCCCTTTTCAGGGCTGCATGCCATCTGGGGTTCAGAGGGGTCCCCACTCCACTCTCCTCAATCCTGAGCATCACCCCCTGCTGCCCCCAGAGATCAGATGTGCCCATAGTCCTGGCCACCTCATTGTGAGTGTGGGTTTCTGGGGGCAGGCAGGTTTCAGCCTCCCAAGCCTGTTTTTCCTTGATGGGAGGATCCCAGGTGCTCATCCGAGGAGCTGCTGGACCGCCTGTTCAGGAAGGGTGTGGTGACAGAGGCCGAGGTGACTGGGCCGCCGCCTGCCACTGCCCCAGCCACGCACCCTACCCCAGACCCCTCTCAGACACCAGGTCCCTGCAGATACAGTCCCAGCCACAGCCCTCTCTAGCTCAGGAGCCTCTGGGGCTCCCCATGGCCTCCAGGGCGTGTTGACCCCTCAGTCAGGCTCTACACGGCCTGCCACCCCGCCTCACTTGGCCAGCTGACCAGCCCTGCCCACCCCTCCCCCACTGAGGGTCACAAGTCCATCGTATCCTCCCCACCTTTGAGGGATCTCCTGGCTTAGGGGCACACAGGACGCAGGAGGGCTTTGCATATCAGCTGCCGAAGCCAGGAGGAGGCCGGACTTGAAGTGGAGAGGGAGGCTGGGGCTGGGCTCCCACCTGAACAGCAGCCCTTGCTACAGGTCAAGGTCTACATCCAGCAGCTGGTGGAGGGGCTGCACTACCTGCACAGCCACGGCATTCTCCACCTGGACATAAAGGTTAATATGTCCTCATCGCTGCACCCCAAAGCCTGGGACCTGCAGGCCAGTGGGGCAGGCTCACCACTCCCAGCTTCACTGAGAGGGCTTGCTTGCCTCCAGGGACAGGGAGCTCACCACCTCCAGGCAGCCCTTTCGAGTGGGGTGTGGCTCTGGTGGAGCAGAGGCTGTCCCCAAATGGCTGCACCAGGTGCTCCCCACTGCCTCACCCTGTCCCTGGGCCTCTGGGTGTCCCCACCAGGCCCACCAGCCCCAGGAGTCACCCCTTTAGGGCATGGCTCTCACTCACTCCCAACTCTCCCCGACAGCCCTCTAACATCCTGATGGTGCATCCTGCCCGGGAAGACATTAAAATCTGCGACTTCGGCTTTGCCCAGAACATCACCCCAGCAGAGCTGCAGTTCAGCCAGTACGGCTCCCCTGAGTTCGTCTCCCCCGAAATCATCCAGCAGAACCCTGTGAGCGAGGCCTCCGACATCTGGTGAGTGGGTGGCTGGGCCAACGGGTCTGGGTCTGCAGCTTCTCTGGGAAGCCGGTCCCCACAGATGGCTGGGCCCTCTCCTCTGCCCCAGGGAGGCAGCAGGCAGCCTACTGGTCAGCCAAGGGGTCCTCCCTGAACCCGTCTCCTCCTACAGACCTGGGCTCCCCGCTTCCCTGTGTGTGTGCCTCTTACCTGAGGGCCAGGCCTGGGGCGACGCACAATGTGTGGTTTTGTCTTGCAGGGCCATGGGTGTCATCTCCTACCTCAGGTGAGCAGAGCCCTGCTCCATCAGCTGACCTAAGACCCCTCCCTTGTAGGCCCACTGAGGGCATGTGCACCGCTGGCTGCTCACCAGATCAGAGACCCGAGACCCAAGGGGCAACTATCTTGGGAACAGGCGGTCAGCCAACCCTGATAAGAGGTTCCTGCCCAGAGGGTCTCACAAACACCCTGTCATCAGAGGGCTGTGCCGGGTCACGAGGCAGCCAAGCCACTGCCCTGCAGGACTGGGGGTTGTCCAGCAGTCACTCATAACAGCCACTGCTGCCCTGAGGATGACGGTGGTATAGACAGCCTGGACCTCCTCAGCAAGTTGATCCTTAATTCCTAATTCAGGCTGATCTTGATGCCTGCCCCAGACTGGATCCCTATTTCAGACTAAGGCTGGTGCCCACCCAGGCTGACCCTACATCCGTGCCCCAGCCTGAGCCTGGATCCCTATCTCAGACTAAGGCTGGTGCGCACCCAAGCTGACCCTATATCCCTTCTGCTACTTGAGCCCAGATACCCCAGGCTTGGTCTGGGTCCCTGTTCCAAGCTGAGCCTGGATCTCTCTGGGCAAATCAGAGAAACTTGCTGGGATTCTCAGAGCTAGATGGGAGTGGGACTAAGAGCCCATCCGCAGTCAGGGCCTCATCTGAGGGCTGGACCCTCCCTCTGCCTTCAGCCTGACCTGCTCATCCCCATTTGCTGGCGAGAGTGACCGTGCCACCCTCCTAAACATCCTGGAGGGTCGCGTGTCATGGAGCAGCCCCATGGCTGCCCACCTCAGTGAAGACGCCAAAGACTTCATCAAGGCTACGCTGCAGAGAGCCTCTCAGTGAGTGCGCACCCAGGCTTCTCCTGCCCGGGGCCAGTCAGCCCTGCCCCAGGGGGCAACTGACCACCTGACCCCTCCTGAGCCTTCCTCTCCCTGCAGGGCCCGGCCTAGTGCAGCCCAGTGCCTCTCCCACCCCTGGTTCCTGGTGAGTATCAGGGTCAGCCCCACACTATGCAGGCGGAGCCTGAGGCCAACAGGGGCAGGGCCTCTGGGCAACAGGGTGTGTGAGCACAGAACTGTGGCTGTGGCCTGGACTCTGCCCAGCCCAGAGGACGTTTGTCCCTGTACTTTAGTGAGAGGGCTGTGGGAACCTCAAGCTGGAACCACGTTTCAGTGCCCCAGCCCCCAACGCCCAGCAGGAGGCAGGGAGAACTGTGAGGAGCTCAGGGACAGGGGGTCGCTGTCACCTCTGACCTCTGGCCTTTGCCATCTGCCCCACCTGGACATCTTGGGTGAGGGCTGTGGTGTCCTGGATCCAGGGGATCCCAGGACTGGGGCTGCCCAGCAGGGCTTCCATCATGGGAGGGGCCCCTATCAGGGCACCATGGTCTCCCTGCTATGTGGCTGCCCACCTTGGTCTCCCAGAAATCCATGCCTGCGGAGGAGGCCCACTTCATCAACACCAAGCAGCTCAAGTTCCTCCTGGCCCGAAGTCGCTGGCAGGTGAGCCATGACCATCTGAGTAGGGACCAGTGAAGGGGAAACTGAGGCCCCACAGGGCCAGCTGCGCACCTAGGAGTGCAGGGAAGTGGGGCTGGGCTCCTTTGAGCATGCTGAAAGGAGATGGGAGTCATCTGCTGGGCACAGTGGGGATGGGTGCACAGAGTCCCATGGTGCAGGAAGGCGGAATGACTGTGCCCTGGGGGCAGAGGACCCCAGAGCTCCTGGGTCTCCCCACCTGATGCCTGCTGCCCCCATGCGGTTCCAGCGTTCCCTGATGAGCTACAAGTCCATCCTGGTGATGCGCTCCATCCCTGAGCTGCTGCGGGGCCCTCCTGACAGCCCCTCCCTCGGTGTGGCCCGGCACCTCTGCAGGGACACTGGTGGCTCCTCCAGTTCCTCCTCCTCCTCTGACAATGAGCTTGCCCCATTCGCCCGGGCTAAGTCACTGCCACCCTCCCCGGTTACACACTCGCCACTGCTGCACCCCCGGGGCTTCCTGCGGCCCTCGGCCAGCCTGCCTGAGGAGGCCGAGGCCACTGTGCCCTCTGCCGAGGCCTCAGCTCTGCCTGCATCTCCTGAGGGTGCTGGGCCACCGGCCGCCCAGGGCTGTGTGCCCCGGCACAGCGTCATCCGCAGCCTGTTCTACCAGCAGGCGGGTGAGAGCCCTGAGCATGGGGCCCTGGCCCCGGGGAGCAGGCGGCACCCAGCCCGGCGGCGGCACCTGCTGAAAGGCGGGTACATTGCGGGGGCGCTGCCTGGCCTGCGCGAGCCACTGATGGAGCACTGCATGCTGGAGGAGGAGGCTGCCAGGGAGGAGCAGGCCACCCTCCTGACCAAAGCCCCCTCCTTCGAGACCGCCCTCCGGCTGCCTGCTTCTGGCACCCACTTGGCCCCTGGCCGCAGCCGCTCCCTGGACACAGAACATGACCCTCCGAGCACCCAACGCTGCTCCCCAGAGGCCTGCTGTGAGGCACAGCGACTGCCTTCAGCCCCGTCCGGCGGAGCTCCTATGAGGGACATGGGGCACCCTCAGGGCTACAAGCAGCTTCCATCCACTGGTGACCCCCCAGGCACTGCTCAGCCAGAGAGTCCATCCCTGGACCACCCTTGGGGGCAGCCAGCCCCCTTCTGTCATGCCAAGCAGGGTTCTGCCCCCCAGGAGGGCTGCAGCCCCCACTCAGCAGTTGCCCCATGCCCTCCTGGCTCCTTCCCTCTAGGATCTTGCAAAGAGGCCCCCTTAGTACCCTCAAGCCCCTTCTTGGGACAGCCCCAGGTACCCCCTGCCCCTGCCAAAGCAAGCCCCCCGCTAGACTCTAAGATGGGGCCTGGAGACATCTCTCTTCCTGGGAGGCCAAAACCTGGCCCCTGCAGTTCCCCAGGGTCAGCCTCCCAGGCGAGCTCTTCCCAAGTGAGCTCCCTCAGGGTGGGCTCCTCCCGGGTGGGCACAGAGCCTGGCCCCTCCCTCGATGCTGAGGGCTGGTCCCAGGAGGCTGAGGATCTGTCCGACTCCACACCCACCCTGCAGCGGCCTCAGGAACAGGTGACCACGCGGAAGTTCTCCCTGGGGTGTCGCGGGGGCTACGCAGGTGTGGCTGGCTATGGCACCTTTGCCTTTGGTGGAGATGCGGGGGGCATGCTGGGGCAGGGACCCATGTGGGCCAGGATAGCCTGGGCTGTGTCCCAGTCCTCAGAGGAGCAGGAGGAGGCCAGGGCTGAGAGCCCACTGCCCCAGATCAGTGCAAGGCCTGTGCCTGAGGTCAGCAGGGCTCCCTCTGGGAGCTCTCCAGAGCCCGCCCCATGGGAGGACGTCGGGCAGGTCTCCCTGGTGCAGATCCGGGACCTGTCAGGTGATGCAGAGGCGGCTGACACAATATCCCTGGACATTTCCGAGGTGGACCCTGCCTACCTCAACCTCTCGGACCTGTACGACATCAAGTACCTCCCATTCGAGTTTATGATCTTCAGGAAAGTCCCCAAGCCCGCTCAGCCAGAGCCACCCTCCCCCATGGCTGAGGAGGAGCTGGCCGAGTTCTCGGAGCCCATGTGGCCCTGGCAAGGTGAAATGGGCCCCCACGCAGGCCTGGAGATCACAGAGGAGCCAGAAGACATGGATGCGCTGTTGGCGGAGGCTGCCGTGGGCAGGAAGTGCAAGTGGTCCTCACCGTCACGCAGCCTCTTCCACTTCCCTGGGAGGCACCTGCCACTGGATGAGCCCATGGAGCTGGGGCTGCGTGAGAGAGTGAAGGCCTCCGTGGAGCACATCTCCCGGATCCTGAAGGGCAGGCCGGAAGGTGAACCCCCACCCCACCCCAGGCATCCTTCACATCCAGGGGCCCCCATTCTGTAACTGGGGCTACTGCACTCCAGGTGACGGCAGGAGGCCCCCGGGGCACCCCCGCCGGTGTCCAGGTGCTGCCCACACCTCCTGTCCCTGCCTCAGGTCTCTGAATCTTGGGGTCACCTCTCCAGCCCTGACAACCCTCCCCACGGGGCAACTGAGACCCAGCCCTGGGACCCAACATAGCTGAGGAGGCCTGGGGAGGCTGTAGGTGGTATGCCCCTGGGGAAAGCATTTGAAGGGGCCAGAGTCTTCCTGAACCAGAATCCTTCCTGACCCCAGAGTCCTCCCGACCAGCCCCAGACCCTCCCTGACCCCAGATACCCCAACGCTGTACTCTCCCAACCCCAGATCCTGCCTGACTGCAGACCCTCCTAACCCCAGATCCTCCTGAGTCCTCCTTGACCCCATAGTCCTCTCTGACCCCAGACCCTACCTTACCCCAGACCCTCCCCAACTCCATGCCCTACCTGACCCCAGACTCTCCTGACCTCAGGCCTTCCCTGACCCCAAAACCCTTCCCAACTCCAAAACCCTTCACAGCCCCATAGTTCTCCCCGACCACATAATCCTCCCTGGTCCTGGACCCTCCTGACCCCGTGCCTGGAGGTGGGGAGGGTGCCTGATATTCGTGTTTCCTCTGTGGCCTGGAAGTCTGAGGTGTGGGCAGCGGGCCAGCCGACCACAGTTGCTTCCTGTCCCAGCTGCTCCGGGTCCTTGCAGCCAGAGGCGGCTGGTGCTACCCAGAGGGGCCAGGCCTCCTGACCATGATCTTCATCGGCCCCCTTCCTCCTGCAGGTCTGGAGAAGGAGAGGCCCCCCAGGAAGAAGCCAGGCCTTGCTTCCTTCCGGCCGTCAGGTCTGAAGAGCTGGGACCGAGGTGAGCAGGCCCAACACAGAGACCGGGCCCCATTGCCTCTCAGGGTCCCACCAGCATGGCCAGACAGGTGGGGAGCAGGCTTGCACTCACAGGGGTGCGGGAACCGATGAGGGGTCCTGGTGGGTGTGGTGAGCTGAGCAGTCTTGGAGGACTTCCTGGAGGAGGAGGTGGTGGTGCAGATGGGCCAGTCTGGGGAGTGGGGAGTCGTGGGTGGTGGGGCAGGGCTCCTCCTGGTGTCCCCACTGCGGGGTCCAGGCCATGCTCTGGGTCCTGGAGGTCACCCCTGAAGGCTGATCTCATCTTCCCTCCTCAGCGCCGACATTCCTAAGGGAGCTCTCAGATGAGACTGTGGTCCTGGGCCAGTCAGTGACACTGGCCTGCCAGGTGTCAGCCCAGCCAGCTGCCCAGGCCACCTGGAGCAAAGGTAAGAAGCTATTCCAGGGGCTGGGGGCTGGTGAAATCGGGTGAGTGGCCATCGCCAGCCCCACAGGATGCCTCGCTGTCCAGAGGGAAACTGAGGCCCAGGGAGAGGTGTGAGGCCTGGCTGTGGCATGAGGCTTGCTCTGTACTTTTGCAGATGGAGCCCCCCTGGAGAGCAGCAGCCGTGTCCTCATCTCCACCACCCTCAAGAACTTCCAGCTTCTGACCATCCTGGTGGTGGCAGCTGAGGACCTGGGTGTGTACACCTGCAGCGCCAGCAATGCGCTGGGGACAGTGACCACCACGGGTGTCCTCCGGAAGGCAGGTGCGTGGGCCACACTGGGGGTGGGCTAGGGAGGCTGGGCCAGGGGTGCTGGGAAGCCTCATCCTCCGTGGAATGCTTCCGGGCCCGTGCATTGGCCGCTGAGGCGGCTGCTCCCCGACCCTGAGCAGCCCACATCCCTATGGGGCCAGGCACCGCACACGGCCAGGGCTGCAGGAGGCCCGAGAAGGTCAACAGAGTTCTGACCACACGGGCTGCCCTGGGCTGGCGGGAGGTCCTGAGCTGGTTCCAGCAGAAGGAACCAGCCCTGGGAAGGACGGCCGGATGCAGTTGCTGACATTACAGGGCTCGGAAGGAAGCCTGTTCATCCACGCTCCCTGCCAGGGAGAAAGCCCATCCCATTGGCCACTTGCCAGGAGAACTGAGTTTCTTGGGCACATGACCCATTGCATCATCTTCCCATGTTCCTTCCACGCCCATCCCTCCAGCCCATGCAGGAGTGGGCTGCTTCCAGTTCCATATCTCAATCAAAGTTGAGTTCCAAGCACAACACAGTTCCCTGGGCATGTTTCTGAGGTAGTCAGGATGGGGGCTACAGGCCTAGCTCTGGGACCCCTGGCCCAATGACCAGAGTGGGCCAGCCTGCCTGAACCTGTGTAGGGCAACCCAGTGAAGCCCAGCAGCCCCACCAGGGCCCCTCTGACCAGAGCCTGGGCCCCTGCACAGGGTTCTGGTCACACCGCGGTGAATGGGCCAGCCCAGGAGCGGGTTCTGGCAGGGCAGACACCTCCCCAGCCCCTCGCCAGGAGAGGCCCCTCCTACCATTCCTCACTGTGATTGGACCCTGAATGAACAGGACCAGGGAGGGTGGGCTCCAGAGCCCTGGTAGCTGCCAGGGTGAGGCAGGGGCCAGCCAGATATTGCCCCCTGGAGGCTGGGTGCCCACCCTGGAGTCACTGACCATTGGGCAGTGCCTTGCAGAGCGCCCCTCATCCTCGCCATGCCCGGATATTGGGGAGGTGTACGCGGATGGGGTGCTGCTGGTCTGGAAGCCCGTGGAATCCTATGGCCCTGTGACCTACATTGTGCAGTGCAGCCTAGAAGGTATGAGGTGGCCCCTGCGCCCAAGGCTCCGGCCACCCCTCATGGGGGCCATGTCGAGGGGCCCTTGGGGAGGTGCCTGGCCTGCTCTGTGCCCGTGGTTGGCCTCAGGGAAGGGTTTCTCCACCCCCACTGATGTGGTGTGCAGAGGCCTCAGTAGCCCCTCACGTGCTCCTGTGTGGCCAGGTGGCAGTTGGACCACACTGGCCTCCGACATCTTTGACTGCTGCTACCTGACCAGCAAGCTCTCCCGGGGCGGCACCTACACCTTCCGCACGGCATGTGTCAGCAAGGCAGGAATGGGCCCCTACAGCAGCCCCTCGGAGCAAGTCCTCCTGGGAGGGCCCAGCCACCTGGGTGAGCCACACCACACTCAGGGCTTGGAGGGTGGGAACAGCAGCTGGAAGACCCAGATTATGCTCCCTCCTGTGCAGGGTCTCCATAGCTGTCCACTTCCTTCTGGGGAGAGACCTGCTCCTGGGCTTGGCATTCGAGGCCTACACACTTTAGGGGCTACCTCACCCCCAAGGCCCCCCCTTCACTCACCTACACTTCCATACACTTGTTGGCGAGCCCACAAGTCCATTCTGCTTCATGCTGAATGTTGGTAGTGAGTGTTGATAGTGACTGCCCCTTGCTGCCTCTAGCTTTGGTGGAGGAATGCTGGGGTTGATTAGTAATGTCTGTCCTGGGCTCAAGACAGACAGAGAGGGCATGATTGCTATGGGTGGTCCATTCTCAAATGCCCCTGCAGCCCTCATACACACCCTCACTCAGGTTGGCTCTCACTGTTTGCTGTACCCCCTCCCTGTGCCCATACCCCCAGAACCTGAGGAACAAAAGGTGGGAGTGTGTAGGAGCTCAAAGCCCCAGTTGTCAGGGTACCTGGGAAAGGGTGATGGGAGAGGTGGGGAGAGCTGGGGCTGTGGGGATGCCCTCTTCACCCCCTCTTATGGCCTGCCCCTCCTCCCACAGCCTCTGAGGAGGAGAGCCAGGGGTGGCCAGCCCAACCCCTGCCCAGCACAAAGACCTTCGCATTCCAGACACAGATCCGGAGGTGCAGGGGCCTCGGGGGCTGCAGGCGGGTGGGGCCAGGGCCTGGACCCCCCCTTGCTGGCCACCCATGGCCCCACACTCACCTTCTCGCTAAGCTGGGCTCCTGCTGTTCTGAGTGTTGGGAATCGGGGAATGGGAGGGGATCACCCACCAGCCTGACCGCTGTCCCCTTGAGCAGGGGCCGCTTCAGTGTGGTGCGGCAGTGCTGGGAGAAGGCCAGCAGGCGGGCGCTGGCGGCCAAGATCATCCCCTACCGCCCCAAGGACAAGACGGCAGTGCTGCGTGAATACGAGGCCCTCAAGGGCCTGCGCCACCCGCACCTGGCCCAGTTGCATGCAGCCTACCTCAGCCCCCGGCACCTGGTGCTCATCTTGGAGCTGTGCTCTGGGCCCGAGCTGCTCCCCTGCCTGGCTGAGAGGTGAGGGTGGCCTGGGGTGGCATGGTTGAGCTGATGGACTGATGGACGCAGGCCTCTGGGGTGGGGCCGAGGACCAGGCCCCTCTGCACAGCCCGGTGGCCCCCACCCTGGAGCCTGGGCTGAGCAGCTTCTGCCCCCCAGGGCCTCCTACTCAGAATCGGAGGTGAAGGACTACCTGTGGCAAATGCTGAGCGCCACCCAATACCTGCACGCCCAGCACATCCTGCACCTGGACCTGAGGTCTGAGAACATGATTATCACCGAATACAACCTGCTCAAGGTCGTGGACCTGGGCAATGCACAGAGCCTCAGCCAGGAGAAGGTGCTGCCCTCAGAGAAGTTCAAGGACTACCTAGAGACCATGGGTACGTGTGTGGACAGTTGGGGGGAACTCACCTGGGGCGGGGGGCAGGAAGAAGCCCCCTCTCCTCCAGTGCTGTCCCCTCTCCCAGCTCCACTGCCACCCACTCAGCCGCACACCTGGCCCACACACCTGTGCCTCCACCTGTCCCACCTGTGCCCCTCCACCTGAGCCCAACCACATGTGCCCCTCCCAGCTCCAGAGCTCCTGGAGGGCCAGGGGGCTCTTCCGCAGACAGACATCTGGGCCATCGGTGTGACAGCCTTCATCATGTGAGTCCTCCAGCCTGTCTGGGGGTTACTAGGTGGGCTGGGTAGTCTCCTCCCTCCACCCGAGGGTGACCTCACGGCCCCTGCACCCCCATACCCGAGGGTGCCCTCACGGCCCCTGCATCCCCGTCCACCCGAGGGTGACCTCACGGCCCCTGCTCCAGCCACCCGTGGGTGACCTCCGTGCTCCTGCATCCCCTCCCCCTCCGCCCTGGTCTACCCCAGGAGGGTGACCTCAGGGCCTGTGCACCTGCCACCTGTGCAGGCTGAGCGCCGAGTACCCGGTGAGCAGCGAGGGTGCACGCGACCTGCAGAGAGGACTGCGCAAGGGGCTGATCCGGCTGAGCCGCTGCTACTCGGGGCTGTCCGGGGGCGCCGTGGCCTTCCTGCGCAGCACTCTGTGCGCCCAGCCCTGGTAAGGCGCGCCCCTCTCCTCCTTCTTCTCCCCGCCCTCTCCTCCTTCCGTCCCGCCCCGCCCCGCTACTCCCTTTCCCCTCCGCCCTCTCCCCTCCCCGTCCCTCTCCCCTTTTCCACTCCCCTTCCCCACACCCCTCCAGCCGCTGGGCCACGCGCTGTTTGTCGGTTCCAGGGGCCGGCCCTGCGCGTCCAGCTGCCTGCAGTGCCCGTGGCTGACAGAGCAGGGCCCGGCGTGTTCGCGGCCCGCGCCCGTGACCTTCCCTACCGCGCGACTGCGCGTCTTCGTGCGCGATCGCGAGAAGAGACGGGCGCTGCTGTACAAGAGGCACAACCTGGCCCAGGTGCGCTGAGGGTCGCTCGGGGCCGCACCTCTCGGTCTCCCCGCTGTGGCTCGCTGCAGACGCGCCAATAAAAACGCACAGCCGGGCGAGAAGTCTTCCGTCTCTTTGCATTATTTTCTTTTGGGAAGGGGAGGGAGTGAGGGCTCTGTCCCCGCCTTTCTGGCTGGGACGCCGATCAGGCTGCCCAGCTGTGTCTGGGCCTGCGAGGCCCTTAGAAGGCGTCCTTAGGGGTCGCTCCCTCACTCCCATGCTCCGCGCGTTCAGCCCCGCGGGGCGTCTCCATCCTCACACCCGTGCGCGTTTATTCCACCCGCCGTGCGCCTTCCTCTCTTCCATCACGCTGACCTCCAGCCCCGCAGCCCGCTTTCTCCGCCGTCGGGCCAGCGGCTTGTTTCCAGAACTTCTCTGCCCCAGGAAGAGTTCTTGGGCAAAGCGTGCAAGTGAGGGCGGGGAGCCGCGGGCCACGATCCGCTGGCGGAGAGAAGGCTTCAGAGTCGCTGGCGCGCGGCCTCGGTGAAAACCCAGTATTTGAGATTCCAGGGGCAATGACTGCGCTGGCCGAGCCCCGCCGTGCCCCTTGCCAGGAGTGCGGGAAGCCAGGGCCGTGGGGTGTGCGCATTGTCGCTCAAACGCTCCTGAACGCCCTTTCTCCTACTCTTCTTTGACGTGGGAAAGGGAACTTGAGATAGGTGCAGCCCAGGAGACCTGGGAGCTGGCAGGGAGGGCCTTCTCCTCTTGCAGATAAAACCTTTTGCAGAGGTCCCTCAGACACAAGGCCAGGCCACTTATACCTATGTCTGAGCACAGGTGGAGAGAAGGCTAACCGACCACTCTTGGCTAAAATGACTCATGGTGATTCCTGGCCAGCTTAGATTTATGGAGACATCCAGTGATGGAGTTGTCCTGGCTCTCTCTGACAGCATGCAACCCAGAGTGAGGCCCGGTTGTTTTAAACACTCCTTTTAATCACCAAAACATTCAGCTCTTCATTGCATCCTCTTCTCGAGCAGCCCCAGGGTTCCCAGGGTGGGGATATGTTCTCCACTGTCCCCAGCAATAAGGCCAACTTGTTGGACAACAGCTTCGTTTCTGGGGGGCTGGGGCTGCAGGGTGTAGACCGCAGTCTCTGCCCTCCTGATTCTTAGCTCATCTCAGGGGCCTAATGCTGATGGGTTCATTCTGCAGTGTCCAAATGCTGAACACCTCCCCTGAAATCTTACTAAGCCCAGGACACTTTGAATTAAAATCCAAGCATCAGCCAGGCAAGCCTGGGATTACAGGCTTACACCTATAATCCCAGCACTGTGGGAGGCTGAGGTAGGAGGATCACTTGAGCCCAGGAGTTCAAGACCAGCCTGGGCAACAACCCTTGTCTCTACAAAAAATAAAAAATTAGCTTGGCGTGGTGGTGCATGCTTGTGGTACCAGCTACTCGGGAGGTGAGCCCAGAGGTCAAGGCTGCACTGAGCTGTGATTGTGCCACTGCACTCCAGCCTGGACCACAGAGCAAGACCCTGTCTCTAAAAAGAAAACAAATCCAAACATCTTCTAACTTGAACTGACTGCCCTCACTCCCTCTGCCCCCACACTGCCTCTGACTTTACCTTCCTCCTCCTTTACGACCTCCTGAGAGTCAGCGTGTCACCACTCAATGCATCACAAAGGGCACAGGCACCGTGCACTCACTTTCCCATGATGCTGATGTCAGGGTGGGGTGGGGGGGAAGGTAGTATCTTTTCCTCACCCATTGCAAGGCATATGGATGAACCTTGCATGTATGGCCCCAATCACAAAGACAGGTTAACAAGATAAAGCATGACACACATCTATTTAACAAAAAGTTTTATGTGACAAGTGAGCCTTCAGAAACAAAAACCCAAAAAAACAGGCAAATCTGTCTATTTTTTATGCTTGGGTTTGATGAAGAATGAACAGTCATGTAAAAATACGCTTAGAAAAAAAGCAGGTGTAACTTAATGGTAATAAACTGGGGGCAACTGGCCAAGGCCTGTTTATTCAGATTCTTCTTGGCCTCTGGAATGAGGATCCTATGACCTGCTTTTGGGGGAGGTAGGTCAGATAATTCTCTTATGGCTTCCTTCAAGGAAGAAAGGCAGGAGACGGCCAGAGAGAGACAATTTCCTTCAGCATGAGATACTCAGCATGTCAAGGTGCCATATTTTGGGGTATTACATTCTAAGCCCCATCACTGACATCTCACAAAACTGTAGTACAATATGATGACCATTAAGACTGGTACAGTCAGGACAGAGAACATTTCCATCTCGAGAAATCCCTTATGCTGCCCAAAAAGGCATAAAAATAACCACACCCACTTTCCTCCCACGGCAACACTCCTTAACACTGGCACTCAACAATTTGTTCTGCACTAATATAACTTTGTCATTTTAGGAACATTCTATAAATGGAATAATCCTATATGTGGTATCTTTTGCCTGGCATCTCTGGAAATTCATGAAGGCTGCTGCATGTGTCAATAGTTCATTCCTTTTTATTGCTGCAGAATATTCCATATTATGGATACACCACTGTTTCTTTAACCACTTATCCATTGAAGGACATTTGGGTCATTCCCAGTGTTGGGAGATTACAAATAAAGCTGCTATAATCATTCATGTACAGGTTGCTGTGTGACTATAAGTCTTCATTATTCTGGGATAAATGCCCAAGAATGCAACGGCTGTGTTGTGTTGTCATTTCATTGGACAGTTTTGTATCCCCTTGTGGGTGAAATATCCATTCATGTCTTTTGCCCATTTTCTAACTGGATGGTTTGTTTACTTAATGTTGAGGATGAAGAGTTCCACGTATGTTCTGGAGACCAGCCATTTGCCATATATGTGGTTTTCAAATATGTTCTCCCACTTTTGGGCTTGTCTTTTCTTCCTCCTAACAGAGACTTTTCTTTTTTGAGGCAGCATCTCAGTCTGTTGCCCAGGCTGGAGTGCAGTGGCACAACCATGGCTCATTGCAGTCTTGAATTCCTGGGCTCAAGAAATCCTCCCACCTCAGCCTCCTGAGTAGCTGGAACTAAAGGTGTATGCCATCACACCTGGCTAATTTACTTTATTTATCTTTTTTTTAGAGATGGGGTCTCACTGTCTGTTGCCCAGGCTGGTCTCAAACTCCTGGGCTCAAGAGATTTTCTCGCCTCAGCCTCCCAAAGTGCTGGGATTACAGGCGTGAGCTACCTCACCTTAACAGAGTCTTTCACAGAGCAAAAGTTGTTAAATTAAAAAAGTTTTAAGCTGTGATAAAATACACATAATGTTTATCACTCAACCATTTTCAAGTGTACAGTTTTTTTTTGTTGTTGTTGTTGTTTTAGACAGAGTCTTGCTCTGTTGCCCAGGCTGGAGTGCAGTGGCACAATCTCAGCTCACTGCAACCTCCGCCTCCTGGGTTCAAGCAATTCTCCTGCCTCAGCCTCCCAAGTAGCTGGGACTACAGGCATGTGCCATCAAACCCGGCTAATTTTTTGTATTTTTAGTAGAGATGGGGTTTCATCATGTTGGCCAGGTTGTTCTCAAACTCCTGACCTCAGGTGATCCCCCTCAGCCTTCCAAAATACTGGGATTACAGGCATAAGCCACCATGCCCAGCCAAGTGTACATTTCTGTATTGTTAATTATATTCACATGTGGTGCAACCATCACCATCATCCATCTCCAGAACTCTTCATCTTGCAAAACTGAAACTCTGTCCTCATTAAAACCCATTCTCCCTCCTCCCAGGCCCTGGTAGCCCCCATTCTACTTTCTGTCATTATGAACTTGATTTCCTTTGATACTGAGGAAAGAAAGAGACCCTCTCATATTGTTTTATACTCAGTACCTGTTTTAAGAAAAAACAAGGAAGCAAAACCAAAGACAGGGAGCCTGGCGCCAGACCCAAAACCAGGCCTGGGCCTGCCTGGCCTAAACCCAGTAGTTAAAAATCAACTCATAACTTAGAAACCAATGTTATTCATAGATTCCAGACATTGTATAGAAGAACATTGTGAAACTCCCTGTCCTGTTCTGTTTCACTCTGACCACCGGTGCATGCAGCCCCTGTCACGTACCGCCTGCTTGCTCAAATCAATCACGACCCTTTCATGTGAAATCTTTAGTGTTGTGAGCCCTTAAAAGGGACAGAAGTTGTGCACTCGGGGAGCTTGGATTTTAAGGCAGTAGCTTGCCGATACTCCCAGCTGAATAAAGTGTTTCCTTCTACAACTCAGTGTCTGAGAGGTTTTGTCTGCGGCTCGTCCTGCTACATTTCTTGGTTCCCTGACCGGGAAGCCAGGTAACTGACAGACGGCTGAGGCAGCCCCTTAGGCGGCTTAGGCCTGCCCTGTGGAGCATCTCTGTGGGGGACTCTGGTCAGCCCGAGTGACGTGATCCAAAGTGCGCTCCAGGGTAGGCAATTCCCCGGGTGGAACGCCTTGCCAGAGCAGTGCATAGCAGACCACCGCGGAGGATTAACACAGTGGCTGAACACCGGGAAGGAACTGGCATTTGGAGTCTGGAGATCTGAAACTTGGTAAGACTAGTCTTTGGAACTTGCCCACTCCATTTGAGTGGGAGCGTGGCCTGATCACCCATGGCATGCCTTTATTGGCACTTTGGTGTTGGTTTTGGTTTTGACTTGGTTTGAATTGCTTGACAGGACTGGTCTTGGAAACTTGCCTCCTACATTTGAGTAGAAGCTTGGCCTGATCGCCCATGGTATGCCTGTACCGGCACTTTGGTTTTTGTTTTTGACTTGACTTAGATTGCTTGATACTTTGGTTTTGGTGTTGACCTGGCTTGGATTTCTGGATACTCTGATTTTGGTTTTGATTTTGGTTTGGTGTCAACTGCAGAAGTGTGTGTGTGCTCTTTTTACCTGTTTTTTGCTTGGTGGTGTGCACGTTGTGTGAGTGTGGTGTTTTGTCTCAAAGAAGCATGGGTCAGGCACAAATAGGCCCACCCTACTAGGAACTATGTTGAAAAATTTCAAGAAAGGAAAAAAAAAAGGGGGGAGGCAGAATTTATATAAAAAGAATGTTATATGGTAAATTCTTGTCCTGAAATAAATTAACTGGTTATTT